CTTTGTAAATATTCCATGACTTTTACAGGTCTTATAACGAAATCGATGTCATTCAGCATTTCGGTCGGAGTCCAATAGTCTATAATGTAAAAGTAGAATCATCTGTCTTTGAATAAGCTGCCTAATAACCATCACGAACTTCACTGTATTTTGCAGATGATCTTAAAAATGTGTATCAGTGGTTCAACTAATCGCCTTGTATTCCCAGAGCTATCAGTCAAAAAATACCCAACTGTAAAACAACGTCATCGATCCTACATAAAAGAAATATAGCTTAATCTTTAAATGAACCTTTCAAAATTTCATAAATGTCTATTTTACAAAATCGTTTTGCTTGCTTTGTTTGACCAATCGATACTTATCGTTCTCACTTATTTCCTCTTACATACTTCCTTTCAAGGTTTGGGCTAAAGAACAACATGGTATTTCAAAATCTGAACCGTCATATTACGTTAATCGTAAGACAAAAACTGTTTGTAACGTCAACGATTCTCCCGAATCACTCTCGAAAATCGTTGAAGCTGTCCCTGGTACCTATTTACCTTTACACGTCAATGGTACAGAATTTCAAAATACAGATATGTTAGTTCCTTGGAAGAAAAAAAACTATACGGTGACCGATCAGTTGAAAGGTAAATATACTTTGACTAATTTATTGATTTCAACACATAAATATTGGTATAAAGGGGCACCAAGTACATATGCGCCACACAGTAACAATGAGAATGTGAAAAGATACAAAATGTAAAGTGCGTATAGGGAAAAAGAGAACAAAAACGAGAAGAAATTAGTGTGCGAGAGTGAAATAATAATGATAGGAGAGGTAGTTCGGTTAGCGAACGTACAACCAGAAAGAATTCTTCCAGTTAAAAAAGTTACGTTCATTTTTTATGAAGAAATTAGGCGAAAGTTACAACAGTATCGCCACTAGCCTTTATACTGAGTCATGTCTGATAACGTCTTAATCCACTGTGTTGCACCATGTCTGGGACCCCAACCAGGGAGTCGTGAAGGACCAACAGAAGCCAGTCCTGTACAGCTTTCCTTCACACCATGACACCATGTCATACACTAACCACCTCTCCGCTTTTTTCCAACCAGTCCCGGCGCCCGCAAATAATGCACGACGTGGAATTCTCTTGGACGACATTCGTAGAACATGTCGAAGCCACCGAAGTCTGTTTCAAGATAGTGATAGTAATTGAATTATCGTCGCTGTGCCCGTACACAATGCCGAACCTCTGCATTACTGACATGGTGTTACCAGTGGATGTCAGCAATGCTTCGGAGACAACGGTGGTCAAACACAGAGAGTCATCTAACATCCTCAACTCAGAGAGTCCAGGTTTCACAATCATAAAGCGAAACTGTTCTCACCGACGCGTTGTAGATCCGATCTTTTACAGTCAGACTAACTTCATGCAGGCGCCAAAGATGGCCCAGATTGGCATAAGCCACTCTGACCTTCACTATACATGAATTGATCTCATCACTCAGGCCACCAACAGCACCTATGCAGCTACTCAGATGCATGAACTCCTCAACTACTTCTATCTGCTCACCATCCAGGGTGAGTACAGGATTAGACTCCTGCCAGTCTTGTAGAAGTACTTTGCACTTCGAAGGTGCAAAACACATACCATACCTACGGACACTGATTGTCAACTGATTAAGTGTGGATTGCATGGCTTGGGCATTATCGCACAGTAAGACAATATCATCCGCATACACAAGGTCGAGAAGTCTTTCTCCAGGCAACAGATCCACACCACCATTACTTACATCCATTAGAGCTGTTTCCAGAATGTCATCAATGGCAAAGCTGAAGAGGAATGATGAGATTGGACAACCCTGTCTAACCCCACTGCTCGAATGGAACAATGGAGAGAGGTGATTGTATGCCCTCACTCTGTCTGAGGTGTTTGTATATAAGGCTTTTAGGATGTTAATAAACTTCTCAGGCACACTCTTCTTCAATAGACAATCCCAGAGAACAGTCCTGTCCAACGAATCAAAGGCAGCCCTGATGTCAAGAAACACTAGGATTGTTGGTCGGTGATAAGTATGACGGTGTCCTAACATTTGGCAGAGGGTGAGGATATGATTGATACATCCTCGACCAGAACGAAAACTAGCCCGCTCCTCGCGAGTCAATATTTTCTCCGGTTTTGAACAATACGAAGTCTAACGGAAGCTAATTGTTTGGGCGCAATCGGAAGTAGACTTGTCCCCATGCGTATTCATGGAAAGACTGGATGTTCCTGAGAGTCAGTTACTAAGGATATATATATATATATATATATGTAACTTGATGCTCACACTTTGGAGAATTCAATGTTGTGATTTAGAAAATTCTTTTCTTAATTTATTCTGATCGAGTCGTTGGAAAATATAACATTTCTCAATAAATAACTTTACAGAAACACCTTTTTTCTCAAAACGTTTGAACAGATAGTCATTTGGTATGAGAAATTTATTAAAGCATTAGTAAACATATCAGACATTGTTAGAATAATTGATGTACAAACTCGAAGATGGGAAGAATTTGATCACATTTTTATTCAAGTAATATTCTGGGTGTTATCATATTAGTGTCTGATAGGTTTCAAAACAGCTTATTATTTGTTATTATCTCAGTTGATATTATTTTAGATCTGTAAATTTATACATGAATTAGGTGTCTATTTCATACAGTTCATCAGTAGTCTTAAATAACGTAGGTTATGTGACATATAAATGTTGTATATCACCGCAATTTGCCACAATATATACATTAGTATAGCAAAACGAAGTTAACATAATGAAAAAAGATAGGAGTCTAAATATTACTATTATTAGCGATCATCTTAAATTAAGCAAATGAAATATAATTACGAAAGAACAAATGAAATCCAATATAAAAAGCAGTATATGATATTCAAGATGGTAATGAATAAATACAGCTGCACTACTTTGGTCGATTGTTGACGCACAACATTAAGATATCTAACAGTAAATAACGATTATTCCGCAAATATCAGTCAAGAATGCCTACGTCTTCGTAGATACACGTTCATCCGACAATTAATTACCTGGTGGTAAATTCTTAGGAATATCAATAATTTTCTCTTTTGGAATAATTCCAATTTAATATAACAAATGATAAGAATGACAATCATTTGTATTATTTTGTTTATCATAGAGTCTGATCAACCATTACCCAATTCAATGTATGGTCGTTATTATCACTTATTTGTTATGGGAGAATTGGATGACCTAATATCAAAAGTACCTGCTCTAAAAATTGACAAATCTTTCTACGAACAAGGAAATTGGGTTGTACATGTAACAAAAGTTGTATAAATGTAAATTTATATATACAATAAAAATTTATATTCATATATATATATATATATATATATATATATATATATATATATATATATATATATTGATTACTGCTATGTGAGTGTATTTTTCACTTTCCTGGACTTGTTAATTAACATTTAACGGAATAGTAACACTGAATTGTTGACCCATTTCTGGTGAACTGGAAGGTTTTTCTTAGTTATTTCATTATATGAAAATCCTAATACAGTAGAAGACTAGGTAAAAATGATGCAATAGAAAACCATAAAAGAATCATTGACTTTCGTTTTGAGCCATGACTGATAACGTTTTCAGCCACTAAGATTGGACCTCGACTGGGGAGTCGTGACGGACTGATAGATCCTAATCCTAAACAGTTACTCCTAGTACTCCGGTGCTATGTCGTCAAGGTGACCACCTCTACCCTTTCGACGTAGTTGCAGAATCAGCAAACAATGTGAAATACATCAGTCTCTGGGATGGCATTCATAAAACATGTCCAAATCGACTAAATGTTTTTACAAAGATAGTGACCAACAGAATTATCGCTTCAGTGAAATCATGAAGCCATGTTAGTTAGACCTCCATTGAAAACATGGGGCCATGGTGTTCGTTTCTTTCTAGCATGGGACCCCACAGAAGTGCGGATCTACATCCCCGCACATGGGGATCGAGCCCAGGGCCGCGCGCGAACGCCCAACCTCTAAATTCAACCCGCGTTATTGTACGATCTTTCATTGTTGCCTCACAACCGACATGGTTAAGCTCCACTGGTCTCGGCTTCTCACTAGGTCGGAGGTCTTGGGTCCGCTCTCTGCGTTCGGGGACATGGATAGACACCGCTGAGAAGTTGCATACAACGATAAGACGGCTTTTCTGCACTTTCAGGCTTTCAGTGGTAGTCCAGCCTAGGTTGATATGTGAGTTAAACTATGGAGTTCTACGATCTCCACAACCTCACACTGACAATGTTGAGATGTGAATGAGAAAATTAGTTTATTAGTTTGTTATTGACAGCTGATTACATAAGCGTAACACATAAGGAAACCATATTAATTGAATGGAATGAAATGAGTGTTTATATAAACGTTTTATAGACAAAAATATTAGGCTCATACTTTTGAATTCCGATGTAATGTGAAGGGCAAAATCACGAAGCACAGATCAACTTGAATGGGGATTGATTTATTTGTGGCAATAAATTAGTCTCATTTCCTTTCCCATTGTTCGAAAAATTCATCGAAGTCCCTAGAAATCGACTTCGTCAGCTATCTCGCTGTTATCATCTTATCGTTCTAAATTCGATTAATCAATAATCATCCGGATAGTGAATTGTCAATCATAAAGCATAGGAAACCATACGCTTTCGATATTTCCAACACAGGAGATGTCATACGTTTCCTGATGGTTTTTCAAGTTTCAATAATCTTTAATATTGACCTATTATCCCAGTAGTTCACGTATTTATTAGACAGACTATATGTAATCAGTCAGACTCAATATTATTTGGATGTGGAAGTGAGTCGATAGTACGAGATTAATCATTCTCATTTTTCTGTCCTATATATTCTATAGAATCAACTAAAAACTACATAAATAGCACTATTAACCTATTCTTACCCAAGAACTATACTAGAAAGGAATTAAAAACACACTGTAAGGAAATATATATATATTTTAAAAAATGGTTTATTAATATTATCTAATCAAAAGTTTACAAATTGTAATCAGTTATAATGTAAATCTTTGATAATTCATTATAATTTGTTAATAATATAGGTAGTTTTGGACATATTTCATCTTTATTAGGAGGCCATGATTTAATCCATTTAGCATTGATATAATTCATTTTGTTGAATATTTCATTAGATACAGTTGTTAATTGTAAACTAATTACTTTAGTAATTTTTAATAGACTACTTAAATTATACTCCGTTTGATTATGAATACGCTTTTTAGTATTTCTATGAATTATTAAACGAATAGAATTGATTATTAATCCATTTTTAAATATTTCTTTGTCTCCTGGTTTTCGAATCTAAGGAATGATTATGACAGGAAGAATACATATAAGGGTGTATATATATATATAGGGGGGGGGGCTATAGTTTCATTTTATTATCAACTTTGTACAGTTTTGTTGTTCAAGTGTTAAGTGATAGCAAGTACTAGTCAGTTAATTAGAACGAAAAATAAGTAGGAATTGTTTGAAAACTTTTTATTTCTTACAACAACGCTTGATACTATTGAGATCACGAATTGACGTGAGTTAGACACTAAACATCTGTTTCGTCTCTATATGGAACTCATCAGGGTTAGTACTGCTAAAAAAATCTGTCCCTTAACATAAATAAACGAAGGCAAATAGCCTAAAGGTGTGAATACATTATTCTGAAGTAAGAATATCGGGCTATTATAAGACGATTAATTCGTATTTGCCATATAGTCATATTCTAACAATTTACTGTTTCAAATACAAATATGCTTTGTTGTGTATGATCGCGAATTTTTTTGAGAGCAGCTACAACGTTTCTTTTATAGCAAAGAATACTATCTTCTAATTCTGACATGTGCAGAGCATATGAATATTCAACTAGTATTCTACCTCTACATGAATATAATACAGGTCACAGCCGACGCTGGGACTGGTTGGAAAAAGCGGAGAGGTGGTCAGTGTATGACATGGTGTCGTGGTATGAAAGAAAGCTGCAAAGGGCTGGCCTGTGTTGGTCCTTCACGACTCCCTGGTTGGGGTCCGAGAGATGGTGCAACACAGTGGCTAGAGACGTTATCAGATATGGCTCAGAATAGAAGCCAGTGGAGATCCTGCTGTAACCTTCTCTTACTTTCTTCGTAAAAAGTGGTTGTATCTTCCTTAACTGGAGGATTTCTTCTGATTGTACCTTTCCGTTTCCCCCATTATTACTATTATTATTATTATTACACTACCTTACACTAATCTGTTCGTTATTGTTTTTTTTCTTCGAATTAGATTCCGTATTTAAGTAACCCTTTATTCATTTTGTTTCATTAGGTATTTGAATTGTTATGATAATCGGAAATAATTAAACAAATTAGTTTGTATGTTTCTGAACAGAAATCTGTGCAATACAATGAATTTAGCTTATTTTGGAAGTATTGCCGTTCTTGCTTTGTTTAAGATAAAGTAACTTAGTGGCCTGTTTATGATAGTATGTCTTGGAATCATTGACAATTGGTATGTGCATCTCAACTCCATGGATTAAGTTTTATAGGCTATGCTTTGATTTCAGGTATGACTAGAAAGAGTATTGCGAATAAAACTCATTCGAGTTAATTTTTTTCTGGATTGCTCTCTGAAATATTCTGTTAAACTATCTTGTGTGACTTTTCTTCTGATGCCCATGTAATAACTAATCTATTTTGAATAACAGCAATATAACATATCTGTATTGGTTAAACACAAATAATAGTCTAGTTCGAAGAATTTTGTGGAGATGGCTTTAATATGTAGGTTTTATCTGCCATAGATTAATCTCAAGTGAGGTATCATTGAAAACCAGGAATCACTGGAGAGGTGTTTCGTCCCACTATATGACTCTTCAACAATGTATATCCACAACCCCACAAGGGATTGCACAAACGGTAAATATAACCCGTAGATCAAACTGATTTGCACAAGCTTAACTGAACTAAAATAGTTAGCTCACTAGTTACTTCACTTAAAACGCTTTTAAAATTCCATTGAGAAATAGTGACTGATGGAGCTCAAATATATCGTGAATGAAACAATTGTGATTAGTGGTATCAGATTATCGTTAAGCTATATCTTAAACTAGTTGAAGGTAAGTTTATACAAGTGGAGATCGACCCAGTGACAAACTATTTAGCATAAGACTCCTGGGTCCGATCCTCAATCCAGTTGTGAGTCTTGTACTGAAAAACAAACAAACAGATTCCTAGTCACCTTAAGTTTTCAATGGTACCTCGACAGAAATTAATCTATAATGAATGCAACCTACAAATATTAATCTTTTAATATTCACCACATTATGGTTCATAGATTATATGTAATTAAACTCAATACCGTGGATGAAAAACTATTCACTACATATCATCTATCAACTTGAGATAATATTCTACTTATTCTATACGATGATCAATATGTTAGTTTACTCTTTTAAAGAGTGTTATTAACCCTAATCTAAAAAGAAAAAAAATAGTTGCCGTGAATTATGTTACTTTTCTCATAACTTACAGTAGATATTATATGATATTGTTCCATTGAATTATTTAATGTAGAATATAGAATCCAATCAAATAATGATTTAGGATTAACAATAATTGAAGCTGGTAATGTTAAACCAATTAATTTCTTTATATCCCATGAATTCATTAATTGATAAAAGTGTTTTGCAATTAATAATTGATGTTTTAACCATATAAATAATTTGTAATTGTTTGATGGATATTTTCTGGCATAATGATGATAATATTTTATAGATCGTAAATATGCGTAATACTGAGTTGTCAACATAAATATAGGTGAAGTATTTTTAATGGACAATGATGATGATGATGATGCCGATGCCGATGATGGTGGTGATGATGACGATGATGATAAATAACGTGATTCCAATTGTTTGAAGGTTGTTTCAAGTATCCTAACACCGATATGAATAAAAGTAACAAACAATATAAGTGTTAAGTTTGTTTTACATTGTTCCTGCTCATTCCTTTCCTACTCTTTTGTATGCTCGTTTATACTACTTATTTATATTCAATAAGCAGTTGTATGCCCAACAATTTTCACTACCATGTTGTAACTCAGGTTGTACTGTAACATTCTGAAATGTTCACATATATCTTTAACGTTTATTTTACTTATCATTAAATTTATCATTATAATCACTGTAATTTAATTGCTGTAACGGTTATCCACAGTTTTATGCATTTGTTTAAACGCAACAGTTTCCATATTGTTTGCTCTTGGTTCGAGTTTCGGTTGTTCATAAAAACTGTTATCAAATTTAGACACAGCTATCGGCTGTCTTTGGACTATCGTATGTTGTAATCATTCTTTATGTTACTCTTACAGGAAGCCTTTGCTATTTTCATTCTTGAACGACGCATTTAAACGCCTAGACACCTCACAAGTTGAGGTTTGTAATTAAATTTTGTGTATTATTTAATAAAGAACCGCTTTTGTAGACAAATCGTTGTTTTGGAACTTCGATTTGCGCGTATCTCAATCGGGGTTACTTGGACGCTTCGATAGAATTAACAATAAGATTGATTCATTTTTTATTTTAAAAATGTATGTACAATTTTACCAGTTTACGTACTATAAATTGCAATTCTAGGACATAAAAATACACCTATCTTACTGTAATAAACGAAGATTTAGGTGGGGACAATCAAATGTATCTCTAATACAGAATTACAAAGTTCTATTGATAAAATATGAAAACCATATATTCAACCATTCATTTACAAATCTTTCACCAACTATCTCAAACTTCATCGTTTTTTCATTGTCACAACAATTACTCTCTATTCCTGTTTTATTCGATTCGATCTTCTCAACCTTTTGTTACCACGCATTCCATTTCTGACTACGGTTATACACTACTTATATCGACATAAGTAGCATACACCATACTACTATTAACTATTTAATTAATATTTATAAATCAAGATGGTTTTATTGGTGCTTTTAATGAACACCACCTAACTAGATTATTCAATATAAAAGTCAGACGAAATTGTTTAGTAATACGCATCAAGTTTAGTGATGATAATGAGTTTTCAACAAAGTATATACAAATTTTCAAGAATCTATAACATTATATTCAGTCAATTAAGTAGAAGGTTCATTTCATTGAAATGATTGTATATCCATATCAAGGATTTTATAATTTTGTTTAAATATGACTATGCAAAATATGATCTCTCCTTTAAAAATGTATTGAACATCACCATGATATCATGTGAATAATACAAAAAGTATAGTTTAAATGTGCTCAGAAACAACTACCATGCAATATGTTTTAATTTCAGTAGTATATTACATTTCTCCTGTTAAACTAATACGATATTGTTTCACCTTTTCTAATTTATTTCAACCATTACACTATGTCGGTTAACTGCGTTATTTACTCACGAGTTTTCAATAAAAAAATTAAGATCTATCATCAAGCTAAATGTTATAGTGTGTTGATAATATCATCTCTCTGAATGAGATACCGATTTAAATCTTATAGGTGAGCATCACCTTCTTGAAGATTATAGTTACACCTTTAGTGATGTAGTTAAAATTCAGGGCTTCTTGTTAAACGTCTTCAATTACCTAACGTTTAGCTACAATATAAAGAAACTTAGTGTAATGTACTACTAATTCAGGCATATACTACCATTTTTCACCATGAATATTTCATTAAAAGTGTTTACTAAGTAGTTATTACTCTGTAGATATTATTTCAATAACAAACAATAGTAATTTTTTATATAAACTTATGTATAGTTGATACTGTTTTCCTAGAGTCGGTCCTTTATGTAAATTACAAAACTCAACAATCTTTACAAAATCCCCTTTATTAGTAATAATCACGTCGTTACTAATGGCCAACTTTCAGAGATGACTTCCGAATTTTGATGAACAGCTGTAACTAGTAGAGTTCAGCCATGCCAACTTTGAGAAAGATTTCGTCAAGCCAAACGGATAATGATTTCACAAAATCGTGTGTTAATTGGAGATATAAATCATTGGATGTCAATTCGACGATCTGAAAGTTAAGCACAAACTGTGAGACCTGAACGAAGGTTTTACATATGACCTCTATTTGGATGATGGTTGATCATTGTTAAAGAGTCCTGTACTAGGATGAAAAAACTTCGTTTAACCAGTCCTTTTTACTTTTCAATAACTATTTATACTAGGATGAAAGAACTTCTTCTAACCAGTCGTTTTTACTTTTTCACTTTTCAATAACTATCTGCCCCCAAATGCCCTGGTATGACCGAGAGTGGAGTGGGCCCGCCCTCCCTCTCGAAATGCTCTCACATGGCCACGCGTATACAGCCTCTGCCAGGGAAGTCCTACTCACTGCCTTCTCGTGGCAGGGGTGTTGTTTGCGAAAATGGGAGGACGAAAAGCGAATATCCGGCGCTTTAACCGGATTCCAAACTAATGGTGCACATGGGCTCCAGTATCCTGGGGAAACAAATGGTGTATGAACCAATTGTTGGTCATCGGCCACCATGGAACTGCATCTCCTCACGATGCTCCACTAACTTGTGTGTCAGACCTTTAGATCCAAGGCTCCGGGTGTGGCCCCCTAAGAAAACCACCTGCTTTTGTCCGGGAACCCGGACAGTATCACAGCTCTCACGCATATCGAATGATTCATGTGGCGCATATCTGTTTGGTACCTCCTTGTACCAATGTTTATGTGTTTAAATAAATAAATAAATAATTCAATAACTATCTAGCTAAAGTTAGTGCGTTATGTAAACTAAACTTCTCTATCATGATATTGAAAGAATTATACTAATTTTAAAGGTTTAAAATAATTTCCAAAGTATAGTAACACAGTATAAGCTCTTAAAGATTATTTTTCATATTCTCACATTAATTCTTTCTCAATCGTAGCCCAAATTGTATCTATCGATTGTTTTCGTTTATCCATGTCTTGTTTGTTGTATATACATTCGTAAAGTTTGCTGACAAAACAAGAAACATAAAATAGACATTATTGTTACACGAATAAATAGATACAGACTGATTAATCGGTAACAACCCATATTTTTATTGTGTAATCAGTGGTATTGATTGAATTATATATCTATCTATCACGACAAAGGCTCAATGTGGTAATTAATCCAAATGACTCGAATTAAAGTGTGATTTTTTTGGTATTAGATGGTTTGAAATAAGTAGAGATAATTCCTGTCAATTAAGATTAACTACAAACAAACAAGTGAAGAGGAGTATTAGAGCCGACAAGAAGAAATACGTGGAAGAACTAGCAACGACGGCAGAAAAAGCTGCTAGAGAAGGAAACATGAAACAGCTTTACGATACAACGAAGAAACAATCAGGGAAATACAGTAAACCAGAGAGGCCGGTCAAAGACAAAGAAGGCAAGCCAATCACCGAAATTCAACAACAACGTAACAGATGGGTAGAATACTTCGAGGAACTCCTGAATAGGCCGTCTCCAAAGAATCCACCGGACATCGAAGAAGCACACATAGATCTTCCTATAGATGTCAATCCACCAACTACGGAAGAAATTAGAATGGCCGTCAGACAAATCAAGAACGGGAAAGCAGCAGGACCCGACAACATACCAGCTGAAGCACTGAAATCAGACATCGAAGCAACCACAAGCATGCTTTATCTTCTATTCAAAAAGATTTGGGAGGAGGAACAAGTGCCAATGGACTGGAAAGAAGGACACCTCGTCAAGATTCCAAAGAAAGGAGATCTGAGCAAATGTGAAAACTACAGAGGCATAACACTACTGTCAATACCAGGGAAAGTCTTCAACAGAGTGTTGCTGAACCGGATGAAGGATGCAGTAGACGCCCAACTTCGAGATCAACAAGCTGGATTCCGTAAGGATCGGTCGTGCACAGACCAAATTGCAACACTACGGATCATCGTCGAACAATCAGTTGAGTGGAACTCATCATTATACATCAACTTCATTGATTATGAAAAGGCATTCGACAGTGTAGACAGGAGGACGTTATGGAAACTTCTTCGACACTACGGAATTCCTGAGAAGATTGTCAATATTATCCGGAACTCATACGACGGACTACAGTGCAAAGTAGTGCATGGAGGACAGCTGACAGATGCATTCCAAGTAAGGACTGGAGTCAGACAAGGCTGTTTACTCTCTCCCTTCCTCTTTCTTCTGGTGGTCGACTGGATTATGAAGACCTCAACATCTGAAGGAAAACACGGAATACAATGGACAGCTCAGAATCAATTAGACGATTTGGACTTCGCAGATGACCTAGCCCTCCTATCACATACACACGAACAGATGCAGATGAAGACAGCCAGTGTAGCAGCAGTCTCTGCATCAGTAGGCCTCAGCATACACAAAGGGAAAACTAAGGTCCTCAAATTCAAAGCGGAAAACAGCAATCCAATCACTCTTGATGGCGAAACTCTGGAAGATGTAGAATCCTTCACATATCTGGGAAGCATCATCGATGAACAAGGAGGCTCAGATGCAGACGTAAAGGCGAGGATCGGCAAAGCAAGGGTCGCATTCCTACAACTGAAGAACATATGGAACTCAAAACAACTTTCAACCAATATCAAAGTAAGAATCTTCAATACGAACGTCAAGGCAGTTCTACTGTATGGAGCTGAAAATTGGAGAACTACAACAACCACAATCAAGAAAGTACAAGTATTTATAAATAGCTGTCTTTGCAAGATACTCAACATCCATTGGCCGGATACCATCAGCAACAGCCTTCTGTGGGAGAGAACAAACCAACTTCCAGCTGAAGAAGAAATTAGGAAAAGACGATGGAAATGGATAGGACATACATTACGCAAATCGTCAAACTTCATCACGAGGCAAGCCCTAACTTGGAATCCTGAAGGGAAGCGAAAAAGAGGAAGGCCAAAGAACACATTGCGTCGGATAATAGAAGCAGATATGAAAACGATGAATTACAACTGGACGGAGCTAGAAAGGATTGCCCAGGACAGGGTTGGATGGAGAACGCTGGTGAGCGGCCTATGCTCCTTCACGAGGAGTAACAGGCGTAAGTAAGTAAGTAAGTCGTGGGTCTATCTACAAGACTGACACTTTCGATGATGGGTACATGGTGATGTAAGTTTAAAAGAATATCAGTTTCACTAAGATTAGCATGAAATTTAAATCTCAGATATCTTGTCGGTTGACTCCGATTACCCAATATGTATAGGAAATTATGACTTAATTTTGAAGAGAATCACAGTATTTGCTTAATTTTTACCAGAGGTTTTATGTCACCAGACAACAAGGTTCAACTCAATGAAAGAAAAGAATCTTTTTATATATTCCTTTGAGACATTCAGTAGATATATCAATCGTCTGTTAAGAACTTTCCAGTTATCATTGATTTATGTACCGATTATTAGATCTTTGCAAAATTAGACAAAGAAAAATATTGAGATGGTGGTATACAAATACATATTACTCATCTTGTATGTGTGAAATATATTGATATCATTTGACATTTTGTAAAGATAAACAGAAGACATGGAGAGTGTCTTAGATTATGACTTACTCAAAACTTCTGATTCTTCATAAATTTTATCAGGTTTTTCCACATAGGTGATGTATTTGAGATGAAAAGAGCTTAACCAAAAATAAATTCCGACCAATGATTTTTGAGATGTGAAATAAACTATAAAACCTGACTATAATAGAGATACCAGCTCCGTCTCAACTACCGAATATTGTTCACGATTATCATGTAAAAGATGAGCATGAAATTATAATTAACTTATCTTACAACTCATTAAGCCTGGCTGCAGAAATCTGGACTTTCTAATCAACAGATTTTATCAACGAAAATTCCGATAATGATCGAGAAATCATAGTCAACGACATTTTATATAGGAATTAAACTGATGGATTCATGTTTCATAAGCTTTCTGGTATAAATTCCACCATCATATAGTGAATACATCAAAAACGATATATATATGACTTCTACAGAAATCACTGCCAACAAAGAATCGAACATGGATGCTTGGTTTGAAAACCTTTTAATGATTCGTTTAATTGAAAATTAGATTTCTTCATGAATTGGTATGAAATAGAGAACTACTGAAAACCAGAGAATTGAACTACTCTCTCGTTCTAGCATAAAACAGCTTAACAGTGCATATCCAAGACCCCCTAGGAATTGAACATACAACATTCCAATATTGTTATCTTTAAACCCTTGATAAGGAATGTACTGTTCAAAATATCCAGCTTTCGAGCGATACATAATACAGTGCAACTTGGTTCAATACGACTGATTGATAATTGCCCTAATACCGACATGGTTGAATGTGTGATATTTCATTAAGACTTAAAGAACTCATCTCGAAACCAGTTACCTGTGAGCATATGATGAATGTTAAGAAGGGAAGTTAATATAGAACACTTTAAATTTGATTTCGTTTCTCATTACAGGGTAATATAAAATGTATGAATGCTTCTTTTGAATATCTCATGTAAACATTGCACGAGAAATATTCAACATATGAACACATTAGTCTTCTTAGAAATATGAAGAGATTTCGGTAACTTACTCAGATTCAATTTTCTCATATAATCCATCAGACTCTTCTAAACACAACTGTGAATTTTCTTCGTTTATAGATTCATTGACATTTTCCTGTGGATAGCAAATCGGCTTTTCTTTTTTATTTACCAATGAGGTCTGAGTTGTAAAGTAGTAAAACCAATTACGTATAAATAACAATACTACTGTTAATGGGCTTGTAGGTGTCATTATTACAGTTTGACTTGATAATTTCAAATAATCAGTATAGGGGTTGTGGAGATTATTAAGCTTTTGATTGAGATCATGAACCGATTGATGTCAAACCACCGTTGGAAACCTGGAAGCACTGGACGGCCGTTTCGTCCTATTATGGGACTCCTCAGCAGTGCGCATCCCGCTAAGCGTTCGTGCACAAGGGTGAAGGCCCTGGGTTTGAATCCTGCGGGCGGGATCGTAGATGCGCACTGCTGAGGAGTCCAACAATAGGACGAAACGGCTGTCCAGTGCTTCCAGGTTTCCAACGGTGGTTTAACATCAATCGGTCCATGATCTGAATAAAAAAATTCAAATAAACTGAGGATTAGGTAGATTGTTATGAATAAGTAGTATATTTTTAGTGTCCCAATGAGTAGAAAAATTGAGTTTTTAGATTTTCTGACATGGCTTACATTGAGTTATGAAACTTCAGAAAATTTAAAAACTTAATTTTCCTACTCATTGGGATACTACAAATATTTAGCTTATTAATACTACTATAACATATTTGGGTAGTATGAACTATTTAACAAAATAGCACAATAACGTTAACAGACGATAATTTTGGCCTCACGAATGTTTTAACAAATGGCTAAATCGTGTCGAGTGTGAGGAAGGTAACCATAGATGACAATGGAAGATGGTCGTGCAATATTTCGAATTGCTAAAGGACAAAAATGTACACCATTTGGTTCCGACTCAGCTGTCCGGAGATTAGGTGTTCGCACGGGAGATCTGTGGGTGTTGGGTTCGACTACCGTGATATGGACGAAAACGAGCACTGCTGAAGAGTCCCATAATGGAAAAACCTGGTCATTCGGTGTTTTTGAGTTGTCAATGTTGGTATAACTTACATCAGTCAGTAATCTCAAAAACATGAGAAATACCATCAAAATCTAAGATAGGTAATTCGTTAACACATTACAACTCAACTAAAGCACATGGAAATCTAGACTTTGTTCTTCCCTCAGCTATAATTGTGACATCATTTGGAATATTCAAGGATCTGATTTAAGTAGCCGAATTTCCAGTTTCGTTCGCATCAGGACACTATAATGGACACGTATGACATATTCTGTTCTCTCCTATCCTTACTCTATCTTAAATTGTCAATGTATTATTTATTAGTCTAAATCGTCTATTCATTTTGTGTACAAGACCTGTTGTGTAATAGTATTTACATTTTCTCGAAGTAGTATATATCCTGTAAAAGCTCATCTTTGTCCCCTTATTCGGCAAACCATTACGTGAAATTAAGATTGTTCATTTAGTTTTTCTCTCGTCGAGCCCTCAATAGTTATAGTAGGCTAATATTCTATCTTTACTTTATTCGTTTTGTAGCAATATACGGGATTTATTGTGCTATCACCATGTCATGTCGCCAATACATTTAGTCATAAGTGCGGTCCCGATGACGTACTTTCATGAATCTCTTTATGAGACCAATTAACTTACAAACTTTTTGTACTTATAGTGCTAATATACCTTACATATTCGTATATTAGTCTACTTAAATTTATATATTAAAACTGTAGTTAGACTATTTCGAAGCTAATTACTAGTATATGTACAAATGTGGAAATATTCCACAAGTAATTTCGATTCCAAACTGAAACTACTGAAAATCAAAGAGCAATGAACATATCGAGTAGTAAACCATAACCGGTAGAGCTAATCAACTCCATAGTCAAACAGAAATTCACTGATATTACTAAATATATCGTGAAGAGATTAGTTTTAAGATAGCTGAACACTGAGTTCCGATTAAGTAGATACGTAAGATCGCTCTTGTCCAGAAAGCTTGGTCTTTTTATCTTTTAATATATGTGGGGTTATAAGTACACATAACTGAACAATTGTCAAACTCGAATAAAGCAATTTTTCAACACTCCTTGAATTTTAATAATTACCCAACTGATTTAGGTTTATGGTGATTATAAGCTTCAAAAACTATACATAACTATCATACTAAAATATGAACTACTCAATACTAAAATTACATCAATTACTGATGTTCTTACCACTTTCCACGAACTCGTAGTAAATAACAACTGATCACTCTCATATTGGAATAACAACGGTAGACATTTTAATCTTAACCAACCTAGGCAGAAATAAATGAAACGATAAATTATTACTTTAAAAGAAGATAGATTGAGTTTTTCTCTCTCAAAAACCTAAATAATTTAAAAGAAGAACTATGGTTGCCGAATTTGATGATTGTTATATCCTAGCGAAGATTAAATGATGGGTAACTTCTGAGACCTATTAGTGGACTAATATTATCTACATATTCTTATGGTATACCTATTCAGTAATTAGATTATGTATATCTATATTCCCATTATTATAAGCTTCATTTTGACTTATAGATTATTCTGGTACGATTTACTGTTCTTAAGCTATGTTCAGTTTATTGATTACAGTCTCCCACGTTCACAGACACTGATATCAACTAAACTAGGGAGATATGGAGAAGAAAACTAATAAGCACTAAACAGTCATAAGGGAAACTGTTGACCCACTGTTTTTTCGAAAAATACATTCACTGCCATACAGTTCCCTGTTTTAAACATTTTAATCTGCTAATTATGTCTTTGATATAATGGACAAATGGAAATAATATCTCGTTTTGACGATAATATTATTAAAATACGATAATTCAATCAGTGACTGAGATTTTGCTATCACAAAACAGGAAACTCGATTAATGGTCTATATACAGACTGGATCCCATTGAACCAGATATAAGATTCGTGACCAAATAAAGAGAATCAGAATATACACTAGCCAATACTTGATTCTATACAATTTACAAGCAGTCACAATTAGTGAAATCCAGAGTAGAAATCAATAGTGGGAAAGGAACTCATATATTTGTTCACGTTCAGTGGATACTTACATTTATTGTCACTAGTCATACATCTGTTATAACTTGCGGACTTTGTGCCCTGTTAATATATAACGCGATGATACCGCCAATTACAGAACAGTGGATTATCGATCGGATCAATGACGTATAAAACTCGTACGAGCAATCTAGAGTCCTTATCACTCGTGCTTCCTTTCTAGCCCAGCCTGCTTGCCTGTCAAGTCCACAACACCAATCTCAGCTCCTGCAATATTAATCATTTACTTCAAACATACTGGGTTTATATGCAAACCAAACAGACCACATCGCACCATGAAATAGAAAATAACATCTATACAAGATCTAACCAAATGTGGTTGTGAACGTGGGAGATAGTAATTGATAATAATTAATAGACTGGGCATAACTCAAGAATGGTAAATCGTATAATAATAGTTCATAGGTGAGAATAAAGCTTATGACAAGAGGAACACAAATATGAATAGTTTATTTACTTAACAATTATACGATAAAAATATCCGTATAGTATTGATCAATACATGGGTCCCAAAAGTTCCCATTCATTATTCTTATCGGGATATAACAACATCAGTCTTCCAAACTATAAACTACGGTGCTTTCATTAAAAGGTCCACAACTTATTTCTGCAAAAACTCAATAAGTATTTATATATTAAATATATTAGGCAATGAAAACAACTGTCCTGAAAGCATGATTGGTCGTAATTGATGGCAGCTAACTACTGTTAAAATACTTTTTACGTACACTTTCAACCCTAAACTGGATCGAAACTAGAATGATCACATCGTTAGATGATTACGATTATTTCAGATCATTAAACCACATTCCTATACCGTATACGTCCAAAATTTAATTCATTAAAATGACAATGCCACTACCGTCGGTGATACTGATTTCACTTTTGTTATAAATTTTAATATTAACAATGATGGGTTCCTCCTAGAACTCACTTCGAAATCAATCATACCTACAAACCTTGATTTTCCTATTTCAATTGTTAAATATTATAAATTATAACTTACCCGGTAATCTATTGTACACGGATACTATTTGCTTTTCGGATGTACAACATGTGAAATCAATTATAATATCAAAACATATTCCAAGTTTATTGATTAATATAAGCTTTTCTTGATTTTGTAAATGATAAATTTGTTTATACCTTAAATTATAAAGACCATATTGTAATAATTCATCTAATAGTATATCCATTCTCTTGTGAATAATGTGTACATTTTGAAGAACAATCAAAACTCTTTGATATGGAAGTATATTTGTATTGGATCCTGAATAAATAAAGAAAAAAAAATTATATTCAATAAAAATATATTTACATGTTTGTGTAAATATTTCAATGCTCAACGTTAAATCTTTAAAGAAACAGTAAAATTTAAATAACCCGCTTGGATCCCCTTCAGGGCTTTTGCCGGTCCCATGCTCGAATAAAGGAGTAGGGTTGGACATGGGTTTAACGACTCCATCCTGTAGAAAACTAATTCGCCAAAAGAAAAACGCTAACCAGAAAAAAATAATGGTTCAAAATTTAAATATGAGTAAAGTGATATATATATCGGGACATAAAGCAAGTGAAGAAGGGTTAATTCATATAGGAACTGAATAAAAACGAAATCAATACAACACTAATCTCAAGTGACTTATCTAGTCTATTTTTAGAATCCTTTGGTACACTGTAATGATAAATTTTGTCAGTGATACATACTTTATGTGAAATAGTTAAAGGTAATCGCCAGTAAACCCTGGGTCTAGGTTTCATGCTAGTTGACACTCGACATGAAATTTTATATTCAATCTTCAAGAAACTGATGTACCGTGTCGGATTTAGATTCACATCATCAGGCTTCACAGTTTGAAATGTTACTAATAAGCTATTCGCATTGCTACTGATATTCATTTATTTCATTTATTTATTTGAACACATAAATATTGGTACAAAGGAGCACTGAATACATATGCGCCATGCAAGTCACTTGAGTTGTGTGTGGGATGTGATATTAACCGGGTGTTTTGGCCGAAGCAGGTGATTTTCTTAGGAGGCCACACCCGGAGCCTTTGACCTAAAGGTCTGATTCACAAGGCACTGGAGCGACGTCAGGAGATGCAGTCTCATAGTAGACGGTAAGCGACAATAGGTTCATACGTCTTTTGTTTCCTAAAGATCCTGGAGCCCATGTACACCATTGGTTTGAAATCAGGGTTTTCCAACTCCCGTAGGTGGATCCTCCGTATCCACCACCTCGGTTAAAGCTACGGACATTCGCTTTTCGTCCTCTCAATTTCGTAAACAACATTAATACTGCGAGAAGGTTGTGAGTAGGACTTCCCTGACAGTAGCTGTATACGCATGGTTATGTGAGAGCATTTCGAGAGGGAGGGTGGACTCTCTCCACCCTTGGCCCTACCAGGGCATTCTGTAGGATCGAGATACCTCCAGTGACCAAACATTTAGTGATGACCGATTTCATATTTATCCAGGCTTCAGTATTGACCAAATACTACCAATAAAGCTGAAATTTAGCAAATAATGTTAATGATTTGATATCATTTACATTATCTGTCGATTTGAACTAGTCGATAAGTAAACTTTGTGTCTAGTTTTTGTGTGAACCAGTAATCATTTTATTATTCTCAGTTCAGCTTCTAAATTTCCTAGTTGTATTCATTCTTAAACGATCTTGAACATGGTCTTTTTTTATAAAATCATCCTAATATAAATGTGTCAAAATAGATCTGGAGAGAAATCGATTTTTTGATGCTATGCTCTTCATGTGTTTCCTTTTTAATATGTTTTATTTAAGTTAAGTATCAGATGGGTTTTGTGGATATTACAGTAAATTCAATGGTTAAGATCATGAGTCAGTTGAAGCTAGACCATCGTGGAAAACCCTGAAGCACTGGACGGCCGTTTCGTCCTATTGTGGGACTCCTCAGCAGTGCGCATGCACGATCCCGCACCCCGCGAGATTCGAACCCACGACCTATCAGTCTCACACCAGGCACCTAACCAACTAGACCACTGAGCCGGCATCCAACGGTGTTAATATCTAACTTCAATTAATCCACGAAATTGAGCGACACATCCACCACTGTCTTCAGTGACTTACTATCTCACAACAGACCTGGTTGAACTCCAGTGATTTATTTATATCAAAACTGAAAAATCAGAATAGTTTAATAATGAATTCCATTAAAAATCATATGAATGAGTTATTACTCTCACTAATGAATTATCATTTTGTACAGGTGAATCAACCATACTAATAATTACTTAGGCGAGACTATAATTTATGGACGAACTAATCAAGTATAAGATAACAGGTCTGGGATTTTGGCACAAATTACCCTCATCCATTTGGTTTAATAAAATTCTAGCATTATAGCTGATGTCAGTTTGTAATGAAAACCCTAAATCTAATTTCTAACCTTAATCATCAATTGTAAATCATAATTCTAATTCTGCACACAGGTATATAACACTCATTTGGTCGTAGTTATTAGGTGAACACTCTCAAGGTCAGTCTAGTGTTTCTCAAAGGTCGTCCATAAATTATAATCTCACAATTACTCAATTCATCATGTCTTTTTGTTAAAGTTAATTTATTTGTCAGATAAGTACTGTGACTACGAACCACGGGTGAACTCGAGGAAGCTGTAGGAGGTTCGGAAGGAGCCGGAGATATTCCACCCAATCACCTTTTGGAAGAATGTTCTAGAATTCCTACGTTTAGCTTCCCTATTGGACAATGCTAATAACCCCCTGTATGCGGATTGATGATTTTGTTCTAACTAAAAACTATAAATACCTGACAATTTTGTACTATAATTGACACTATCTGGGAATAATATTCTTTTCATTAGTCTTGTCTTCTCATTGCGACTTGGAAGGGTTCTGGCGTTCTATTGTTCACGTTATACGCGGTATATCAAGAACAACCTTCTAGATATAACAAGAACACTGTATTTTGTGCTAAATAATTTGAAATGATGTAAATTAGGAAAGATTTTCTCAAAATATTATACCATTTCTTATGGCTTATTTCTTATTTACTAAATTATCACACTAAAATACAGTCATTATTATCTTCAAATTTCTAATTTCTACTGTCGAATTACATGCATTTTACTCAGGTTAAACTTTGTCAAAATTAACAGCATTTTAATGAAAAGTCTTATACATTTTGTTCATTTTTAGAGATACCGTTTACTTTGTTAGAATGCAAATGAATATTTGCGTTAACGTTTTTTAGCAAGGTCATTTCTTACTGGATTGGGCTATTAATCCTATGCTCAACCCTTCTCCTATACCCGGGTTTGGGATTAGCCATAACCTTAGGATGGTTCCAGGTGTAGTTTAGAATGCACACAATGTCCGGAAATTGTTATCAAATTTCAAATATTAAAGAAGATTACAATGCCTATCAGTCACTCGGAAATGTATTGTAGGGTCAGTGAAATGTCACTGAGCCCTTGTCAAATCATCCGGCAGTTGGGTCACTGAATATCGAACAGATTATCGGTCCCTGTCAGGATCAAGGATAACCAACGCTCATCAGTTAATGGTATGCCATGGCCTGGCACGTGAGGTGGTGGTCTCATTATCTTCTATGTACTCATTCTTACCAATATATTTCCATAATAACGTCCTTTGTGTTATACGGTCTTCAAAGTAGCCATAGTACTTTGGTAATTCACTTTAGATGTTGACTGCGATGTGTGACTTCAAAGTTAGCTGGTTCGTTATACCATTCCCGTCTAACTCGAGTAGGTCCCTAATCATTCGATATAGATAATCTACGCTGGTGATCTACAATATCCCACTCTCAACATTCATTATCTTTTCAATCTATAACAGCCAGCCTACTAACTTGGGTTTAATCTCTTAATTATTATATTACTTACCACATAATGATAACCAGTAGGAGATATCAGTAGTATTTGCACAGTCAATAGGAAACAAAGTTCTATTTGAATATATCGCCATCTTATTCAATGTATTTATTAATCCATTTGAAACAACTACTTTTCCAGATTTATCATGAGCAAAGAAATCTTTATGTTTGAATTCATTCAGTTCGTTTGGAAGGATTACTGTGGAAAGAAATGTACAAAAGTTTATACATACAAGTGTAATGTGAGAAAAGAACTGAACTATTAAAGTATATCATCACCAAACAATAAAGTTCGATATTCACCATATCTATCAAAATTCTTTACCAAAAGTAACAAAATACAGTTTGGCAAAACAAATCTCATTTCATTTGTTAAAATATTGAATTTATTATAGCCTTGACTATGTCACAAATAATTAATCCGCTAACTCACTTTATATATCCATCTAAACAATCAATATTAAGTGACTGTCATTCTGTTTTATCAGTAACATCTATTACTATTAGAATTGATGAGTTTCACCCATCACGACCAACCAGATTAGATCAAACAATACTATCAAACCAGTTAGCGTTTTGATTCGAAATTGTGGTCATAGAGCGTTAATCGTTGATAGATTATAGTTTTAATAAGAACACTACCATTGAATGAATAGTATTATTTGATTGTGACGAAGAAACAACATTAAACAAGTGTATAGAGATGTATAATGGATCAGTTTTCCGATGCTATTCATTCCAAGAACAAAAAGTCTATCAAAATTAGTCTATCCATAACAAGTGAACTGAGTCATGTTGGTAGGTGTAGACTACTTGATTGCAATCCGCGAGATGTTATCAACCGACGATTAGAGACCTTGGATGACATGACTCAAAATCGTTTGCAATCGAGCACGTACATCCACTCTTTGTGTTCTCCCAAATTCTAATGTTCTGAATTCTTCATGTCCACTTTCTTTTTCTCTTTCCAAATTTATTTCACTGGATTATACTGCTTGAATAACATCTTCAAACCCTAATCTTTCCGATTATTGCTTATACTTTTACTACCTCTGCCACTATGGGATTTGAATGGACAATTGTATCTGTGTGCTAATTTGATATGGCAACTCGAACTGATGTACGTACGTACGAAGGTCTACGTTGTTACTGACTGACTGACTGACTAAATCTATCTCATTGCAAGTTAACTCTGAAACACGTGATAGTGTTTGTAATATACTGAGTTAGAAGCCCTTTTGTAACCAGCGGTGTAGACCCAAAAAATGTTAGCCAAGTTTTAACAATGCAACAGAATTAGTACTATCAAAATATATTTAGTGTATAATTGTTTCATTCGTTTTTATTGAAATTTTGTTGAAATAATTCGAAACGCTGCTAAGAAAATGAAAATATAACAAAGAAAGAAACTTAAAGCAGACTGGGTAAGTAACTTTTTAATCTAAATGCATCATATTCTCTGGATTTACAATAGAAATATTCAGAAATGATATTTTGAGAAAGTGAAGTATCAGAAGGTCTAAAGCTTATCACCTAGAATTAAAAAGTGTTTTCAATCAAGCATAATGATATATACTAATAACCAAGGAGCTTGTGAGTGTCTCTGTATTTTGAAATTGTAAGTAATGTTTGATTTTTCAGGCTTTACATTTCATATAACTCTTCCATAGAGGTTTATATTTTGACTGATTGTAAGCTAACTTTAGTCAGTCAGTCAGCTACAATGTAGGACCAGACACATGTATGCATCGGTTCAAGTTGCCATACCTCACTAACACAACAAGATGAACACCGGGTAAGCTAACTTAACTATCCACGATCATTTTAGATCATCCCTGATCGGCAACATGGCCAAATACAACCGCAGTTCCATTAATCACTGGTTCACTTTGCTTCTACAATTGGTATCAGTGCGTTATGGAAATTAGGTTGTAGTTATTTATTCCATTTTACAAAATATAGTATATTTCAAAACTAATGATTAGACTTGTAGCAGACAATAATAAATACAAAAAAAAACATTCAACTCACAATAAATAACTGAAGATGAGAAGTCATTTTCATTTGAATAAAACCTTCGTACTCTTTTCATAATTTGTGGTTGAAACAATTCATCGATACGTAAATGCTTTTCAGCTTCAAATGATCTACTAGAATATTCTTTATTATTATTTACTGTAATGTGTTGAGCCATTATATGATTTACGAAAACTTTTGATATGATATGGAACTAGTGTTAAATGAATGTAGGATTTAAGTAGAAGAATAACACTGTTAGCGAATACATTAAAATTCTACATAAAAGACACACATGAAATACCATGCAGATAAATTTTAATCAAAATAACAATCAATTCACCAATATGGTGCATAAAACTGAAGCTTAATTGTTAGTTCAAAATTTTACTTGGGGGAGAGGAGAATGAGGGACGGGTCAAATGACCTTATTGTGGTATGATGATATTATCGAAGAAGTTATCGAAATATACATCCCAGCTACTCACATACATAATTCTCAACCTAATTCACGTTAGAGAAGAACAGAATAAAATAAGTCAACTATGAGAATGAATTTTTGAATATCTATATTTCGTACACTAATTGGTCTGGACAGACAACCAAAGGAACGAAATGGAGAAAACGAAGAGGAGAGAGCGAAGCGAAGAATGTCGTTGGAGAAATAGAAAACGGAGTGACGCGGAGAAGGTGAGCGAGTCAGCTGTATTTGATCAAGTGCGACTCCATATTTATAGCCAGACAAAGATAGTGTGCTAACACGTACTAACACGTCTGTCACCGTGTTCACAGTATTCACTGCATATTTTATATTATACTGACACTTGCAACGAATTATGTTTTGAGTAGACAGGTTTCGCCTTAGCTGATTTAAGTCGCTTATTATGTTTTCAGTAATAGATGTATGAAACATATATATTTAAAATAATTTCATGAATTGATTCAAGTTAGAAATTTAGACGGCGAAACTATAATTTATGGAAGAACTAATCAGATTTACGATAACAGGTCTTAGATTTTGGCGCGAAATTCACTCATCCATTTGGCTAAATAGAGTCTTGGCATTATAGCTGATGTCAGTTCGTGAAGAAAACCCTATATCTAATTCCTAACCCTAACTATCAACTGTAAATCATAATTCTAATTCCTCACACAGGTATATAACCCTCATTTAGCCTTAGTAAGTAGGCAGACACTCTCAAGGTCATTTTATAGTCGCTTAAAGGTTGTCCATAAATGATAGTCTCACCCACAAAAGTTAAGCGTATTTATAAGAATACGTGAGACCTTAAAACATCTGGAAAACATTTTAAAACTGGTCCTCTAGAATAATCTTCAACACTTAAAAAACGCTGATCAGTCGAAGTGTTTTAACCATATTCTTAACTTTTGAAGACTTTTTCAGAAAACAGTCAAATACTTATAACAAGACTATAATTTATAGACGATCTTTAAGCGACGCTTAACTTTTGTGCATAACCTAGCCATTGAAGCAAAGCTTTATTCATACTTTCCACCTGTTTACGGTTGGGGTATTAGTCGAATAACAAATAGTTATAAAGTAAATATCTAGGCGTTCAAGTAAAAGACTTATCAGGACTACTAGATTCTAACTCATTAATCTAAACATTATACGCTCGTTACAAACACTGAAGAATAAAAGCTCAATCCCTGACTAAAGAAAGAGTATGAAATATTGAGAAGTTCCATACTATAACAAAACAGATATTATGTTCCATGTAGTTATTGGTTATTGTCTAGCTGAACATTTTCTAAAGAAAATCTCCTTAAAAGAAAATCTCAATATGTAATATTATTACTGAACTTACTAGGTCAGGTCTTATTGAAATCCAAACTAAAAATACATGTGATTCAGGTATTGGTAGTTTCGTAGAGAATCCAGGCAATGAATGAAAAAAATTCAACTTTGTCTACATGATAATAATGTAGTGATGTTAATAAAGAAAAGAAAACAGAAAACGAAGCATACAATAGATAATTATTCCAATTCATACTATAATATCATCATTGAATGAATATTGATAAATATCTTTAGTACAGTAGGTTTGTAGCGACTATTATCAAATGGATTAACAATAGTCATGCAGTAAACGAAAGCTTGGTGGAAATAACCAGTTTATTGTTTAGTACAATATTATACAATGCTTTCGTAAAACTTAGAAACTATACATTAAATACATTATTTGAACATCTTTCTTTGAGTTGTCCTTTACATACTTTATGATTCTTTGAATTCTGTTGTTATTACAATTATTCACTGTTTACATTCCTGTTCCGTTCAATTCGATCTTATCAATCTTTTGTTGCCATGCATCTCATTTCTGGTGGTGTTACATACTAATTTATATCTCATAACATATGTAACATACAGGACAATCACACAATCAATGAAAATTTAGAAAATATTGACCAGTTGTTTCATTCAGATATGAAATTCTTCAATAGTGTGAAGTCATTATCCTACCAGGAACAGAACTCAGAACGAAATTTATTTCTTTACGTGATTAGCATATAGATATACTTGGAAAATTGGGTCACTGATAGTGTTTGTCTCATTCCTAAGAATTCATATGTCGGTTAATCATGTTCATTTGTTTTTGGTCGATTTCTGACTGACCCAGTGTATAATCTTTTTGATAAGTCAAAATAAGAAGGCGAATTCACGTTTTCTCTGACTCAATGTAGCATTATATGACTTAATTCTTATTATCAGAATGGGTTTTGTGGAGATTTTAGAAATTTCACAGATTGAAATCATGAGTCAGTTGAAGCTAGACCACCATTGAAAACCTGGAAGCACTGGACGAGATGCGCACTGCTGAAGAGTCCCATACTAGGACGAAACGGCCGTCCAGTGCTTCCAGGTTTTCAATGGTGGTCTAGCTTCAACTGACTCATGATTTCAATCTGTTAATTCTTATTATCAATGTGGCATGTCGACATTAAGACTATGTTTTCCAGAGTAAGACTATTGTAGGTCAATATGTTTGTACTAATTAAGTATAAATTTCATTCAGTGTGACAGGTATGAACTTTCATCAAGTGTGACAATTATATTCTTGGAATTATTCTGTGTGAACTTCGTATATGTTTCAAAGTAACCATGGGTATCTTTTCATTTTTATGATGTTAATTAACTAATCATCAAATGTATGTAAAATCTGTATATAAATGAGTGCATTTAGTTTATTGATGGCGTAATTTTGATGATTTGTTTTTTAGACGTGTTTTTAGAGAATTAGTAAACCATCATTGATACTAGTCCCTGTAGTTTCTCTTCGTCTCTTGGGAATTGTAGTGGTTTCCATTCCAAGTATAAGCTGTAAGACCATCGATGCAACAGACCCAACACATATACAACAGAAGCGACGCTAAGCATACCGTGTTTTCTTCTGAAAAATAGGTGTAGCTTCACGGATTCAGATGAAGGTGTTGGGAAGGAGACATATCAACATAAAGACAGAAATAATTCTAATTGGGAATAGAACTACTTACCTCAACTATTTCAGTCCATATTAGTGGCTCATTCATTAATGCTTTTTCTAAACCTTTTAAAGTTGGCAATTTTTCTTCTAACAGTTGAATGCGTTTAAGAACCTGATAAGATATATGGAAATAAAATCGAATGATTTTTGATGAGAGGATTTTTATGCAACTTTTGCTGAAAAGTATACATTTTGAAAAATATATTACCATCTGATATCAGTAATTTGACAGTGATACTGTGATGTACTTCTTGTTGGTGTGCAGCAGTTCGCTGAGTCCTGATTTATGGGTACTGAAAAATAGCCATTAAGAGTAGAGGATATTCATAGGTTACTAGTATTCTGTGATATATTTCTTCGAAGCATTACTCGTGTATTTTAGGACCACCGAGTAAGCAATCCCCAGGTTAGAAATAGGCTACTAGATGGTAAACCTTTATCAGCTGAGAAGGACAAGAACATGTGTTACGTATCCCAGACCACGGTCTTTCTTGACGGACGCTATTTCCTGGTGTAGGAATAAGTTAGAAGAATGCTAGAGGGAGGCAAAACCAAAACCAAACATCAGCCCACAATGTCACTGACAATTGAACTGAACTATTTTAATAGGCGTCGACTGCCTGGTCGGGTTTCGCGTGATTATCGTAAACAATAATTATAGACTTTGAGTGATATGGCTCAAAATCACTTGCAATGACGCAGGTGTATCCATTCTTTGTTCTTTCCCAAAGTCTGACCTACTACATTACTTTCTTTGTGTTTTTGTTTCACTAATTTATATTTTCTTGAATTATTCCTTCGACGCCTAATATTTTTTATCACTACTCATACTAGTGCTATCTGTATTATTCTGGAAATCGGGCTGGCAATTTCATCTCTCGGTGCTAATGAGGTATGGCAACTTGAAATGACATATGTACGTATCAGATTCTACGTTGTGACTGGTTGATTTAGTTGTGGAAATTTCAGTCATTCCGAACAACATTATCATCATCCACTTCATGTAGAACTAACCTTTTCTGTTGTCTCCCAAGCACCAAATCAGTTGGTTTTGATGATCTTGTTCATGAATGGTTTTTTCACAGGCTTCTTTGTCTTTGTTAGCCTTTGTATTCCTACTAACTATTTGCTTGACTTCTGATCATCTGGTCGATTGGCATATTTCGTGTGGATTGATAATTTGGATCTACACTGCTGTGTCTATCGAAAGGTCCTTAATCGAAATTCCCTGTTATTCTTAGGACCTCTTCGGTCGGTAATTTTTGACGTTCACAATCAAATTAATGTTCGTTACCATCTACGTGTGTCAATATCAGAAATAAAATATCACGTCATTTCGTTATTAGTATGTCGTAGTGGAGGTTCTGTCCTCCTAAACCAGTGTAGTGTTCTTCACAGGTGGTGCTATCTACTTTGTAGAAAAATGTTATCTCTGTCTTTTTCCTCCGTTGTATAATTCAATCTATATCAAATCAAATGATTTCTGTGAGTTGACTAGGGAGTGACATTGACTCTATAAGGATTTCAGTACACTTCTCATCTCCGAGATATTCTACACAACTATTAATCCATAATGAAATGTGACTGATCAAATTACCTTGAATAATTGATCGATTTTCAATTATAGTAATTTTTTGTATTGATAAATTCATTTGATAAATGTATAATTATCAGTATAGGGGTTAGACATTAACACCATTGGATACCGGCTCAGTGGTCTAGTAGGTTAAGCATTAGTGCATGAGACTAAAAGCCCTGGGTTCGAATCTCATGAAACGGGACCGTGGATGAGCACTGCTGAGGAGTCCCACATTAGGACGAGACAGTCGTTCAGTGTTTCCAGGTTTTCAATGGTTATCTAACATCAATCGGTTCATGATCTCAATCTAAATGCATAATTATCAAAGCTTACCTCTGATTTATTGTGATTGAAACAATGTTGATAGTTATATTCACATGTAAAAATATTACTGAATATGATTTGTTTAAATAGTTCAATTTCAATTATCTGATCTAGATTATGTAATTCATAAATAGTTAATTTAGAATATTGAAGTATATTAAAATATATTGAAATTTTTATTTGTATTATTAATCCTAATGGATTGTTCCAAGTGTTTAAAGAATTGAGAAAGAATTCCAATAACATATGTATAATGCGTCGACCAATTTCCTTGCAGAAAAGATAAGAAAGTAAAGTTAAGTAAACTTATGAACTTCTAATCATAAAACGTTCAAACTACAATTAATTTGATGTTACTATTATTATGTTTATATTGCTGAATTCAAAAGTGGTTAGATTATTTAAGACAGCTATTTAGTAATTTATTAAAGCCCATTATGTTATATCCCGATAAGAATAATGAATGGGAACATTTGGGACCCATTTATGGACCAATACTAGACGGATATTTTTATCGAATAATTGTTAAGTAAATAAATTATATTTGTGTTCCTCTCATCATAAGCTTTATTTTGATCTGCGAACTATTATTATACGATTTACCATTCTTGAGTTATGCCCAGTCTATTAATTATTATCAATTACTATCTCCCACATTCACAGCCACATTTGGCTAGATCTTTATAGATGTTATTTTCTATTTTATGTTACGATGTGGCCTGTCTGGTTTGGATATAACCCCAGTATGTTTGAAATAAATTATTAATATTGCAGGGGCTGAGATTGGTGTTGTGGACTTGACAGGCAAGCAGGCTGGGCTAGACAGGAAGCAGGAGTGATAAGGACTCTAGATTGCTCGTACGAGTTTTATGCGTCATTGATCTGATCGATAATTCACTGTTCTCTAGTTGGCGGTATCATTACGTTATACACTGATAGGGGCACAGAGCACAAGTTATAACACATTAGGCTAAAATGTCACATATCAGTGTTAATCGTAGACTGTCAACTATTTAGTAGCAAATTGGATTCATAATTATCTTCATTGATTTTCGGTAGCTCTCATATAATAAATAATCGTAGACTATTATTCCAATTAAATATAGAATAAAAAAATGAAATAAATCAATGAAATGAAACAAGGAATTCGCTCATCAATTCAGCAGGACTCTAAAAGGTTTGATAAGTTATTAGACCTCAATTTATATGACTAATTCTTGATGAATCTCAGAGAAACACATGAATGAAATCCATATGTTAGGAAATCTGTTTCACAATCAATCATTAGTCGAAAAGTCATTTTGCTGAATTTAGTTGCCGGAAAAGGTTACACAGTGATTCCGCCATATTCTATCAGTCTACATCACAATATTTTCATCCTGAATTCAAATCTAACTGTTATCTAAGTTTAATTTTTACAGAATTAACCAGATGTTTTGATAAACTTCACGGGACAATGAAGCGGTTAATCACACATTATCACAGTAGCTGTTCCATTACACCTGATCTTAAAACAAATTAGATTGAATTCTATAAACCGAGTGTCCGGTTGGTATACATGTAACTATCATAAAAAGTTTATTTTGTGTTTATTAGATGTCAATTCCATTGACGTAAATATTAAAATTCTAGTTTCTTATCAAATTGAGGTAAAATAAGTCTTGATGTGTTTATAAACACTGCATAGTAGTGTACGTGTTTGGTGACTGATAGATGACTACAAATGTTTTCTAGGAATTGGAGAACACCATGTATGAAACATTTAAGCATCTAACATTGTATTGACTACAGTATATCATCGAATAGTTACACTTGTTGACCAACAAAACTCCTATTGACAATGAAGCATAGGCTATGATAATGTGGTAGATAATATGAGTGTTTCCATTTCATTACAAAACAGTGTGAGTTAAATGTTCTATGATATTAAACATTTATTAAATAAAATTCAGTTACGAGTAAAGAAGTGTTCCAAAGTGAATACTCATAAAGTTATATAATAGCCATTTCTCCCATTTAGAAACTAATCAATGTAGAAGTTATTAATTCGATATGATGAACATGGTTTATAGCACAAAAGAAAGATCCTAAAAATTTCACGTTCTCTAGGGCGAATGCTCCAAAAAGAAGTGGGCTATTAGAAGTTTTCTGGGTCAGGGAAAGGAATAAAATAATGAGAGCATCAAGTTGATGAAATTATTTGTTAGTCGCCTAAGAAATTTTGATGACTCGTGTTTTTTTGTGGCTTTTTGGTATTTAGTTTGATAGCGTTGTTCAGAAAGACAATCAACCTTTTACAAATAAACTATTTAGCTCAGAGATGACAGATCCTCTAAAAAACTTTAAAATTACTACAATCTCCACAAAACGCCTTCTGATACTAATCAACATATGCCCACAAATGACTGGCTTCAAGATATATATCCTGGAGTTCTAGTGAGAAGCAGTGATCAGTGGAGTTCAACCGGGTCAGTTGTGAGGTAGTAACTCACTGATGACAATGGTGGATGTGTCGCTCAATTTCGTGGATTAGTTGAAGTTAGACATTAACACCGTTGGATGCCGGCTTAGTGGTCTAGTTGGTTAAGCGCCTGGTGTGAGAGTGATAGGTCCTGGGTCCGAATCCCGCGAGGCGGGATCACGGATGCGCACTGCTGAGAAGTCCGACAACAGGGTGAAACGGCCGTCTAGTGCTTCCAGGTTTTCCATGGTGGTCTAGCTTCAATTGACTCATGATCTCAACTGTTTAGAATAATATAAATCAATTATCCTCCAGTGAACAACAAAGATAAGGTGACTATAATCAGAATCAAGTCAAACATGAATTGTATCTCACTAGAATTTACTTTAGTTACACGCATCAAATGTCGAAACAAACATGAAAACAGCAAACAAATGAGAAAATTGAACAAGTAACTATTTCAAACAAGAAAATATGTTAACCATCTACTTGTATTTCATGTTCATAACTGATAAATAAATCAGATGGAGAGTTGATTTCATTAACATTTTCCAAATGGGAAGAATAAAAACCTTGATCATATTTTGATAGAATATATTCACACAATCGTTTACATGGCCAACGTAATGAAATATAATCTTTATATTGTATATCTTCTAAACTATGAAATAATAATGATATTTTACGTGTAAAATTTATGATACATCCATTTGTATTATTTTGATTGGTAAATATACTAAGTTGATTGTTTAAATGTTCATGTTGTAATTGTAATTCATTTAAATGCATCATATTACTTGATAATCTTGAAAAGATTTTAACTAATTCAATATGTTGTCTTGTTAAATTTAAACAATCTACATTGAATTGAATTGAATTAGTATTGGTCATTGAATTATTTATATCAGAATGGAATAATTTGTAATTTGTTAATTCATTTGATATATTCAATAGTTGAATCTATAAGAAAAAAGACAAAAAAAGAATAAGAAAATAAGTTTTCAGTTTGGATTGTGGAGATTATTAAGTTTTTGATTAAAATCATGAATCGATTGATGTTAGATCATCATTGAAAACCTGGAAGCACTGGACGGCCGTTTCGTCCTATTGTCAGACTCCTCACCAGTGGAGCTAATCCGTGTCGAGTAGAGACAGGTATCTACCTTAGTACAATGGAAAATGGTCGCGCAATTTCGTGGATTAATTGAAGTTAGACATTTACACTATTGGATGAAAATGATCTTTACATTTTTACAATTCAGTCCAGTAAAAATAAAAAACCCTTTCATTTGAATACACTCATTTGTTTTACGTAGCTTGTTATTATTACGTAATAGTTATCAAAATCTTTAATTACAATGTAAACGAATACCAATAAAATCCGTTATTTATTGATTTTTTTCCACTGATTGAAATCATGATTCAATTGAAGCTAGATCACCATGGAAAGCTTGGAATCAATAGATGGCGGTTTCGTCCTAGTATGGGACTCCTCAGCAGTGCGCATACACGATCCCGCACCACGCAAGATCCGAACCCAGGACCCATCAGTCTCGCGCTAGGCGCTTAACCGACCAAACCACTGAGCCGGCATCCAACGGTGTTAATGTATAACTTCAACCAATCCACAAAGTTGTGCCATCGTACACCATTGTCTTCAGTGAGTTGATGTCTCACAACAGACCTGGTTGAAATCCACTGATAACGGCTTCTCACTAGAACTCTAGGAGTATCTATTGAAGTCAGTCACTAGTGAGCAGATGATTATTATCAGAATGGGTTTAGTGGAGATTTTATAAATTTCACTGATCGGATGCCGGCTCAGTGGTCAAGTTGGTTAGGCGCCTGGCGCGAGACTGAAGGCCCTGGGTTCGAGTCTCACGAAACGGGATCGTGGATGCACACTGCTGAGAAGTCCCACATTAAGACGAGAAGGTCGTTCAGTGTTTCCAGGTTTTCAGTGGTGATCTAACATCAATCAGTTCATGATCTCAATAAAAAAATTGTATTTGTACTTTTGTATTAGAATGCCTTTTTTTAAAATTAGGCATTAGTTGGACAGTAAAGGATCTATGCTAATTTATAAAGTTTATAATGAATTGAATAGCTCAATCGTTATTTAGCTGAATAGTTTGTGGAGATAAGTAAATTATTCATCAATGAATAAACTTGAAAATAATTCTGGGAGTTCTAGTGATAGACCATGATCGATGAAATTTAACCATACCGAATGTGGGGCAGTTACCTACTAATGGCCTTGGATGAAAGTTTTACAACATCATGAATTGATTAAATTTAGAAATATAAACCACTGGATGAATTATTAGTGATTTGAAGGTAAAGCACTGACTACAAGACCAGTAAGTTCTAGATTCGATCCCGGGGTGGGTAGTATGTGTGTATTGTCGAAGAGTTCCACACTAAGACAAGGTAGCGAACCAATTATTCTTGATTCACGCCGCTCATATTCTAAGTGAAATCAGTGCATGATGTGAATTACAAAATTTGTGATGTCTTTCCTATCGCGAGTTGACATCAGTTGAGGAAGCGTTGAAAATCAAGAAGCACAAACTACTGTTTTTAACATGTTTGGATATCTCAGACGGAGAGTACTGGCGAATCGGCCAAGTATCGAAACGGAAAGCTTACATTACATTTAGATCACTGTATCGATGCCCAGCCATCCGAATTTTTAATATTACTCAACTTGCGATGAATATATAGTATAGCTAATCCCAATGAACTAATCTACTAAGCAATAAACATGTGATCACTAGCGATTATCTCTGCCAATGATGTTGAAAATTATATTGGCACGTCATTACCAATAAATTCCATCCATACAGGAAATGTAACGGTGATCACTGGTGACTTTATATGATAGTTGAGACTGAATTCAGTCCACAGACTAATGTATTCCGACTCAATTTTTTAGATGTAGCATACGCTCCAAGATATCTGGAAATCATTAGTTTGATCTCTGATGGTGCTAAATGTGCACTTCTAAAAAGTCATAAGCGAGAATAAGACGGGCATCTAGTTCGCAATTCTTTTTGGTAACTGTCTAGATAGTGCTAGTTTGCGAAGTAGAGAAGCAAGTTACATTCAAACCTATGTGGTGATCAAATCAAAGGTCAGAAACTAATAAACAATTCTATCTAAAAACATTAGTACTTGAGTTCACGCGGTTATAGAACATGGAGAGGAAATTCTGCTATTATTATTGAGTAACTGAATACAGGCAAAACCCCAGAATCAGTCTGCCTTATTGAAGTAGGATTTTGATTATAATACAACTAATAATCTTAGTAGCACAATTACTGAATTCATCAATGAGATTAAATGTAATCTACTTAATACAAATACAAATATTTACACTTACTTTATCTTCACAAATCTTTTCAAAAGTTTCAATTTCATGAATCCTTAATTTTTGAAGTGAATTAAGAATATTACAGTTAGGCAATAGATCTAACAAACAACTTGTTAATGCACTGCCACATTCCAAATGAGATAAGCCTAAATCAATTGATATAAAATCAACTTGGCAAAATTTCTGTCTACATTTAAATCCTAAAAGATTAATAAATATAAGAGAGAAAGAAAATATAATTGAAGCAAAGAAAGGATATCCATTTAAGAAAATCTGTTTAAATAAAGGTATTTTGTAAAAGTTCGAAACTACTTACAATAATCGTTAGTAGTGTGGTATGTGCTATTGGTGGCGACAGTTATAAGTAGTATATATCATCAATCGAAAACGAAATGCCTGGTAGCACAAGGTTAAGAAGATCAAAGAAAGGAGAACGAGAACAAAGAATGATTTGTTTGGAAACGAAATAACAATGAAGTCTGAGATGATTGACTGATATTTGCAAAAGAAACAGTCAAGTTTGAGACAATTGATTGACATTTTGCAAATGAAGTATTTACTGTATGATATTCAGATTTTACTAAGATGTTCTGTAATTTTGTATTTGAATACATTCGATTGTTCCCACTTGTCCACTCTCACCATTCTTGTTCAACTTTGTCATTGACGTACTTTTAGAGATAACACTCTCCTCATCTAAATTTACAGGGGTTGAACTTCTACCAGGAGGTTCACTTGTTGACTTAGAATACGCAGATGACATAGTTTTATTTGGTGAAGACGCTGACAAAATGCAGAGTCTTCTGACCACTCTAAGCAACAATGCAAGCATGTTCGGGATGCGATTCTCTCCCTCGAAATGCAAAATGTTGCTTCAGGATTGGGTTACATCGACACCCGAACTAGTGATAGGGAGTGAAGTAGTTGAGTGTGTCGACCGCTTCACTTATCTTGGAAGTCTCATCAGCCCTTGTGGTTTGGTGTGTGACGAAATCTCAGCACGGATACAGAAGGCTCGACTAGCTTTTGCCAACTTGCGTCATTTATGGCGTAGGCGAGATATCCGTCTATCAACCAAAGGACGTGTTTACTGCGCAGCAGTTCGTTCCGTCCTTCTTTATGGCAGTGAAACATGGCCGGTAAGAGTAGAGGATATCCGTAGGTTACTAGTATTCGATCATAGGTGTCTTCGAAACATTGCTCGTATATCATGGGACCATCGAGTAAGTAACACAGTTGTTAGGAAACGGGTACTAGGTAAAGATGGCAAATCAATTGATGACGTAGTGAAACTTCATCAGTTGAGATGGCTTGGACACGTGTTACGTATGGCCAACGACCGACTGCCTCGACGTGCTATGTTCAGTGGTATAGGAGTAGGTTGGAAGAAAGCTAGGGGCGGCCAAACCAAAACATGGCTCAAGTCCATGAAGTCACTGACAAGTGAACTGAGTCATGTTGGTAGGTGTAGACTACCTGGTTGGGGACCGCGAGATGACAGCAACCGATGGTTAGAGACCCTGAATGACATGGCTCAAAATCGTTCGCAATGGCGCAGGTGCATCCACTCTCTGTGTTCTCCCAAACTCTAATCTTCTGAATTCTTCATGTCCCTTTTTTCCCTCTTTCCAAATTTCTTTCACTGGATTATACTCTTTAAATAACATCTCCAAACCCTAATCTTCCCGATTACTGCTTATACTCTTGCTACCTCTACCACTACGGGATTTGAATCGACCACTGCATCTCTGTGCTAATGTGGTGTGGCAACTCGAACTGATGTACGTACGTACGATGTTCTACGTTGTTACTGACTGACTGACTGACTCCCACTTGTGTTCTCGTTCACTACAGTAGGAGTCAATTGACAATTGTACTTATGTCTATAGCAGATATCATTTCTGCTTATGACTTCATTTACTTAATAATAATTAGGTTATAGCGTTTAAGGAGAAACAATGGTTTAGTAGTTGAAACGGGAACAATTTTAACTCTACTGATCTACTTTAGTTAAACCAGATAAATAGTATCACTAGGCATCATAGAAACATTATGATTCAAGGTTGAATACCTACAGTTCTACTTGATATACAAGGTGAACTGTTTAAACTCTAGCTCACCTATACTATTTAGTTTAAGAGTACTACATATTAGATTATAATTTTTCATTAGAGATTTGGTTTCAAGTCATAACATGTACTATATTACTGTTTTAAATGAACCACTCTGGGCTTTACTATGCCGACATGTTCATAACAGATAGTTGTGGATAATTCCAGATAACTGAAATGAAATCTTTAGTGAAATATTACACTTCATTATGAGGAGCTCACACATTAAACATGTAGAAAAATGGCCGAAAATATCAGATATCTCATACTTAGTGAATATTAAAAATGTTTTCGATAACTTCAATCAAGTTAATTTAAAACCCATGAGACAGTAGGATATAAATTTTGTCGACCATTTACCTGCCAATACAAATAAGGTTTGACTGTTAGATTGATATGATGGGAAAGCGTGGCAGTTAGGACCTAATTTACTGGAGAATGATTGACGCATAAGATGAATTGTGTCCAAAGGTTTATGATATCTGAGTTTGTCATTTTACCGTCAGTATTTTTTTCCATAAATGTTTTGTCTCATTACACGAAAACGTGAACATCTTACTAACGATCTTTCTTAAAATTTTAAATCATCCGGTGGCTTGAGTCAACAATAGTTCGCTTTCATGAACAGACATCATTCAGCCACCTTGTATTATTGTATATCTCCTATTGATTATCATTCTTCCGTTTTATTTAGATAATCGAAGATTTGTTCATCAAAGCATTAGAATTATGCTCCACAGAATAGATACTTTTTTTAACTTGTCACATCTCATCATATATATCAAAATATTTTTAACACCACCATCATCTAATCCAGTAAACATACACTTATTCGTTACTTATGCATAGCTACTCTGGTTATTTGATGGTAACTAAATTATGTATTTTAACCTTCATTGCTAACAATTAGATTCGATAATATCATCCACAAACTGGCCACTAAAAGCAAATGAATTAACTTGACATTTTAGAATAATATAGTAGAGGGCTTATATTCCATTGATGCGGGTGTAGATATTACTTATCTATAATCGTGAATTATTTCAATGCACATTTACGCATTCCATTTTACATATTGAATATTGAAGAAAGTACATGATCGATGTTATTTGTCTCAAGGTTCAAATAAATCGATAACAATTTAAGTAAAAGTAGTCGTTGATCTTGAGATAGTGGAGAAGACTAGTAATTCAGGTGTACGATTTCGATAGAGTTTCGTTCTCTAAGCTAATTCGTTTAATCGTGAAACTATCACTGTTGTACTGAACAACATCATTAGTACAAACTTTAGTTAGAAGTGAGCTGTTCGAATTTCTTCACGTATGATTGAGAGCTTGTTCTGTTGACTTACTCGATTGGTTATTGTTGACTTTTAACATATCGTTGTCTGTATTATGTAATTAGATTTATATATTTCTCTTTGATTTTTCTATTCGGTTGATTAATTGGATCAATTTCAATGTGTTTTTTGATCATTGATTGACCTGAATTCTAAGCTTTTCACCATACAAAATCTCAACATATTCCCAGTCGAATGTGTGCCTACAAATATCCATGTTCATTGATATAAGAGAAGATATACCATGATATTTGACAAGATCAAAAATCAGGTCAAAGGGAAAGACAATCAAATTAAATATACAGACAAAAATATGTTAAAAGTCAACAATAACCAATCAAGTTTTTGATTGAGATCACGAATTGATTGATGTAAGACCACCATTGGAAACCTGGAAGCACTTAACAACCATCTCGTCCTATTGTAGGACTCCTCAGCAGTGCGCATTCACGATCTGGCTCGCGGTACGCGAACCCAGGGCCTTCAGTTTCGCGCATGAACGCTCAACCTAGTGGACTACTGAGCTGGCATCCAATAGTGTTAGTATCTAATGGCCGTCCCGTGCTTCCAGGTTTCCAATGGTGGTCTAACATCAATCACTTCATGATCTCAATCAAAAACTTAATAATCTCCACGACCCCTATACTGATAAATAACCAATCAAGTCAAAGTCAACAGAACAAACTATCAATCATATGTGAAGAAATTTGACCAACTCACTTCCACCTACAGTTTATACTGATAATGATGATAACAATGAAAACTCAAAGAACGAAACTCAACCACAAAAAGAAAAAAACTAGTCGATCTTACTCAACTAGATCATCAATGATATGAATAAAAGAATGTATAATGTCATTTACTTTAATTACTTACCAATTTCAGTATATTGACTAAATGATGTCCATAAAACAATTTGACTATTTTTTGTACTGGATATATTTTTATTGAAGACTTGATTAAAATAAAATCTTAATAAATAATTAATATTTTCTTTTGCATTAAAACTATGAAATTGATCCACATTAATGAAGATTATCTTATCTAAGAAGAATAAATTATAATTAATAATAAATAATGAAAATGATTCATTGTTAATGAACTTATTTGAAAATCAATATACAAATTTCAATAATTGAAATCATGAGTTAATTGAAGCTAGACCGCCATGGAAAACCTGGAAGTACTGGACGGCCGTTTCACCCTGTTGTCGGACTCCTCGAACTCAGAACCTATCAATCCCGCGCGCGAGCGCTTAACCACTAGACCACTAAGCCGGCATCCAACAGTGTTAATGTCTAACTTTAACTAATCCACGAAATTGAGCGACAAATCCACCATTGTCTTTAGTGAGTTACTGTCTCACAACTGACCCGGTTGAACTCCACTGATCACTGCTTCTCACCATTACTCCAGGATATATATCTTGAAGCCAATCACTAATGAGCATATGCTGATTAGTATCAGAAGGAGTTTTGTGGAGATTTTAATAATTTCAACTATCTCCACAATCTCCATACAACCCCTTCTGAATATACAAATCATAATATGTGAAATAATACGTTTATAATTATGAACAACTTAGAGAACAAGAAATAGAAAGTATAATCCCAAAGAAGATCATCAAAGAATTATTAATAAAATGTACTATGAATGTACATTTCAAATTTAATAGTGAAATATATAGATAAATAAACGGTGTCGTGATGGTTCACCCCTAGGTCTTATATATTGGCTGATATTTTTTGTCCCTAAATTAGAAAACGGCCCACTGTTATATATATTAATAAACTGAAAATTATAGAAAGAATTCTAATTGGGCAATGGCTACTATTCTGAAGTATATAAAAAGTATAGTAGGCTTTCCAGCTGATATCATCTTCACGTCAACCGATTATGATCATAAACTTTGTATGACTTATTCCACAGGTAATGATAGTTATTATTAAATATTTACATATTTTAATCTCAATTCTGACCCAGATTTTAAATACTAATCTATTAATTTATTATCCTTCGTACTACAATATCATGTTATGAAGATTGTTCAATTTAAGGTCTCATATTACAGATTGATCTTGATCAGATTAAGGATCAAACCTTTAAATGTCAATTCGAATTAGAAATGAAACACTTATTACTAGTAAATTTATTTGTGTATATTGGTGAAGTGCATCAACGTAGAATAGAATATAAGTTATCAAGCAGTTTCTAGTCCCTTTTATAAATTTCAATAGAGTAATGATAAAATAGAGTTGATTTGAAAAATGTAATGTAATTTACACTATACATTTCGAACAATCTAATAACAATTCCATCATATCATTATTTTTATCAAAGCATCAATCATAAATAACCCTATTAACTTACTTGTATGAATGGCGTAGTTAAAATTGGATATAAATTCTTTCATATCTATGTAAAGATCACAAATTAATTGATCTTTTTTGCTAAAAATTAGATTAAGAAAAGTACAGGGTAATATTACTTGATATTTCTACATTCAAATGATCCAACAAAAACCAATGACAATTTAATTCAGATACAGTTAGTTGTATAAATAAATATAGAAATCAGAATGGGTTTTGTGGAGATTTTAGAAATTTCACTGATTGAAATCATGAGTCAACTGAAGCTAAACTACCATGGAAAACCTGGAAGCACTGGACGACCGATTCGTGGATTAATTGAAGTTAGACATTAACACCGTTAGATGCCGGCCAGTGGTCTAGTTGGTTAAGCGCTCGCACGCGAGACTGATAGGTCCTGGGTTCGAATCTCGCAGGGGGCGAGGTCGTGGATTCGCACTGCTGAGGAGTCCCACACTTGGACGAAACGGCCGTCCAGTGCACCCAAGTTTTCCCTGGTGGTATAGCTTCAATTGACTCATGATTTCAATCAGTGAAATATTGATTTAGCAACGACGGCGGAAAAGGCTGCAAGAGAAGGAAACATGAGACAATTGTATGACACGACAAAGAAACTCTCTGGAAATCGCCGTAAACCAGAACGACCAGTGAAAAGCAAGGAAGGCAAGGTAATCACCAACATTGAAGAGCAACAAAACAGGTGGGTAGAACACTTCAAAGAACTGTTGAATCGACCAGCTCCACTGAACTCGAAGCAGCACACACGGACGTTCCAATCAATGTTGGCCCACCAACAATTGAAGAAATCAGCATGGCCATCATACAAATCAAGAGTGGCAAAGCAGGAGGACCGGACAACATCCCAGCAGAGGCACTAAAAGCAGACGTAACGGCAACTGCACGGATACTCCACATTCTCTTCAATAAGATTTGGGATGAGGAACAAGTACCAACAGACTGGAAAGAAGGACTACTGATCAAAATACCGAAGATAGGCGATCTCAGCAAGTGTGATAACTACAGGGGCATCACTCTTCTCTCAATACCGGGAAAAGTCTTCAACAGGGTATTGTTAAACAGGATGAAGGACTGCGTAGACGCCCAACTTCGTGACCAACAGGCAGGATTCCGTAAGGATAGATCGTGTACAGACCAAATCGCAACTCTACGGATCATTGTGGAACAACCAATTGAATGGAATTCATCACTCTACATCAACTTCATTGACTACGAAAAGGCATTTAATAGCGTGGACAGGACAACACTATGGAAACTTCTTCGACACTACGGCGTGCCTGAGAAAATAGTCAATATCATACAGAACTCCTATGATGGATTACACTGCAAAATCGTGCATGGAGGACAGTTGACAAAGTCGTTCGAAGTGAAGACCGGTGTTAGGCAAGGTTGCTTACTCTCACCCTTTCTCTTTCTCCTGGTGATCGACTGGATCATGAAAACGTCAACGTCCGAAGGAAAGCGCGGGATACAATGGACATCTAAGATGCAGTTGGATGATCTAGACTTCGCAGACGATCTGGCCCTTCTATCCCAAACGCAACAACAGATGCAGGAGAAGACGACCAGTGTAGCAGCATTCTCAGCAGCACTAGGTCTCAATATACACAAAGGGAAGAGCAAGATTCTCCGATACAACACAGCATGCACCAATTCAATCAAAATTGACGGAGAAGATTTGGAAGATGTAAAAACCTTTACGTATTTGGGCAGCATCATTGATGAACAGGGTGGATCTGATGCAGATGTGAAGGCGCGGATCGGCAAAGCAAGAGCAGCATATTTACAACTGAGGAACATCTGGAACTCAAAGCAACTGTCAACCAACACCAAGGTCAGGATTTTCAATACAAATGTCAAGACAGTTCTACTGTATGGAGCAGAAACCTGGAGAACTACAAAAGCCATCATCCAGAAAATACAGGTGTTTATTAACAATTGTCTACGCAAAATACTTCAGATCCATTGGCCGGACACTATTAGCAACAACCTACTATGGGAGAGAACAAACCAGATCCCAACGGAGGAAGAAATCAGGAAGAAGCGCTGGAAGTGGATAGGACACACATTGAGGAAAGCACCCAACTGTGTCACAAGACAAGCCCTCACATGGAATCCTGAAGGTCAAAGGAAAAGAGGAAGACCAAAGAACACATTACGCCGGGAAATGGAGATAGACATGAGAAAAATGAACAAGAATTGGATGGAACTAGAAAAGAAGGCCCAGGATAGAGTGGGTTGGAGAATGCTGGTCGGCGGCCTATGCTCCATTAAGAGTAACAGGCGTAAGTAAGTAAGTAAGTAAGTATCCAATTCTTTAACATTGAAGCAGTCGTTTCTAATTGTATTGTATCCAGTGAATGTTTTTGACAGTTTTCATATTTCGTGTTCTTAGTTCTAATTTTAGTATTATCTAAAGTTATTATTTGGATCCAAATATTAGTAGCCATATACTTTTCATGAATTACCCTACTTTGACTATATAACTTGACACAGTTTGTATCGTAGACACTTCATGAATTGACGTCCATAAATCACTTCATATTAATTTCTTAATAATAATACTGTCTTTGCAGATAATCTTATGTCATTTGTACACTGGATTTCACGCATCACTTAATCGTGTGAATGATGGCTTCAATATGTAGTTACAGTTTGATAAAGTAAGTTTTTCCAACTTTGAAAAACTAAATTAAGCCAACTAGAGAATAATTTGGTATGAGATACAGTGATTGTTAGAGTGAGGAGACTGACAACCTCTGACAGGTCCGATCCCATGTCACCAGCTTCGCAGTCAGAGACGTTACCGCTGAGCTATCCAGGTGTATTTACAATTGATTGATCACTGGGTGGTGACCAATGTCATGTATGTCAGGTCCTTCTTAGTGCAGATCGAAACCTAGGTCCAGAGTTTCCTGTTGACCACCTCTAACCACCATCTTATCTCCACATAGTGCACGCAATGTCTAGTAACCTAGACTGGTGGCCACATTGCAACTTGATCGATAGGAGTCTATCTGCATTAAGAAGGACCTGACATACATGATATTAATCAACACCCAGTGACCAATCAATTGTAAACATTTACTTTAACTGAACAACAAACTTACCTTGAAGAAATGTTATCACTTTCATCAGTATCATCTTTTGTTAGTAATAATGATTTTATTACATTGATACCAGTTAGATCTGGATCGTAAATAAACAGATATAACATTGATTCATCCACATTATTGTTATCACACTGTTTAGTATGAGCATATCTAACCGACCATAGAATTGTAAGTATAGATAGAATAGCTTCAAGTATATAACTAATATGTTGATTATTATACAAAAGTATTAATTCTGGTGGAAAGTTTTTATTCAATGTAAACCATTTCATTAGTTCGTATGGTTTTGCTTGAATAATTTTAAACAATGGTGAATTTTGAAGAAATTTTTCACATATTATCAAATTTTCTTTTTGATCGTTCGTAGTTTGGTGATAGACCTCCTGGAAAACAAGTATAAGAGTATTATTTTATAGACTTTCTTCAGAAGTATACTGTAAATAGAATAGTATGAATTGAAATACATGGTGAAACTTTAAACAATAACGAACACATGTAATAATTTCAATAGTTAAGATCATGAGTTAATTGAAGCTAGACCACCATGAAAAACCTGGAGGCACTGGACGGCCGTTTCTTCCTACTGTGGGACTCCTCAGTGGTTTAGTCGTTAAGCTCTCGCGGGCGAGGCTGATAGGTCCTGGGCTCGAATCCTGCGAGGCGGGGTCGTGGATGCGCACTACTGGGGAATATCACAATGGAACGAAACGGTCGTCCAGTGTTTCCAGGTTTTCCATGGTGGTCTAGCTTCGATTGATCCATGATTTCAACCATTGAAATTACTACAATCTCCACTAAAACCCTTCTGATACATATGTAATAGTTTAGATTCTCCACCTGCTGATATTCAAGAATGCACATAGTTTTTTTCTATTTAGGCAAACTGGTAACCTAATTTTATGTCTTAATATTATTTAAAGTTAAGAGTTTTGAAAATTTCAGGTCGTGACTAGCAAAGGAATCCAGAATAAGATTTTTTTATTATTTGGGATGAGTCACTAGCATATACTTCCATAGTACCGTTGATTATGTGGATATCGGAACTCAGTAGCTTATGTGATAACACCATAAACGTACATTGGTTACAGTGATTTATTGTTCAGCGTGGTGAGTTCCACATTGTTTTTCACATTATTTTCTTCATTAACTTTATTTTCCATCACCTTCCATTTTAGTTTACCTTTTATTATATATATATATATATATATATATATATGTTTTTAACGTATATACGTGTGATCGATTTGTTCAAAAGGTATTGCTCGAATAAATATCATATAGCTCTGGTAATTTTCTTCTCATTATTACATTACCCAAATTTATCAAAGGGACTAGTTGTTGTAGATAACACACTGCTTTTCGAAACGATTAGTACTGGGTGTGAGTTTCAGTTTGAACAACAAGACTATATTGTTTATAAATTCAACTGAAGTGGCCAAAACGGACGAAATGTGCGTTTTTAGTTCTACAATTGATTACAATCGAAAAAAATCATGAATTTTGATCAAAGTTGACTTCTTTTAAATTAAAATTAAAACTCATATCTGCTGTACAACCAGGCACCCTGCTGAAATCAGTAGCTAGATTAATAACATGATGGCGTTTGGAGCGAAGGGCACTGGCTTTGAATCCTGGAGTGAACTCCAACTCTGGGGTGTGATGGAATTCGGCTGATGAATCCTGAACAGGATGAAACCCGCTCTTCGGATCTCACTACTAGTGACATTCCTTTTCTTCTTTGCTAACGTGTGTCATAATTCGATGTATCGACGTGATTCGCATGGGATGAATATACACTAACTAATCATCTTGCCAAAATTCAGTCAAGAATATCAACAACGGGATAATTTAATCCGTCTCAACTTGAACTGAACCCGACATAATTGTTTGGTTTGAATGCGATTGATTCCAGATGTTTTACGAAGCTTTTTTCATTCTAGTTTCCGACAGTCTTTGGTCGAATATATATATATATATATATATATATATATATATATATATATAACTCAATTTTGCTGAACTAATTTCGAACAGTCATTTTTAGAAGAATGATAAAATTTACGAAACGTGATGATAAATATCAAAATAAGTGTTTCTTTAAAGTAATCAACTTCACCTTCATTTTATTCCAAACAAGAGTTTTGAAATTATTCCACAATGAAGATCTGTAAAATAATAACATATAAAATAAATAATACAAGAACCAAGATATTGGTTTGAACTATGCACTAGGACTACTCAGTTATTCGATTCTTATTGATTCTTAATGGATGAGTAACCTAGGCCGGTTTGTAATATCACTAATATTCGGTAATCTCCTCAAACCACCACATTGATAATTATGACGGGTCCACTAGTGACTAGTTTCAAAAGGTAATTGTGGAATTCTAGTAAGAAGTTGTGACCAGAGGAGTTCGAACGTTTTAGGTGTGCAACAATTAACTACTGAAGAAAACAGAAGGTTTTGACGTACTATGGCGAGGTAAAACGTGGAAGATTAGATCTCGGCCCAAGGGTTAGCGTTCATGCGCTTTACCGGTGGGTCCTGAGTTCGTTCCCCAACAGTGAGGTCGTGAATAAGTACTACTGTGGTGTCTCATACTTGAATAAAGCAACTGGTTAGTACTTCCTGACTAATATGGCATGTGTAACTTAGGTCAGTTTGTAATATCGGTGACGGTTAATAACTCTCATAAACCTCCATACTCATATTTTATTTGTTAGAATAATGATGGTTAATGTAGCTCTCCTGCCTTTACTGATTTATCATGAAATTTATCTCCAAATAATTACAAACGCCCATAAAACCGCCTGAATAAATGAATAATGATTCTGTAAAAACTAATGACTATCTTTATTGAGGATTTCTCGAAATTCCCATAAGAAGTTATGGCTTGTAAAATAATCCTATTCGTAAATGAAACTGTAACATTGTTCTAAACAATGCTAAATTAGTATGATGTAAGTAATCGCTGTATATTATGAACTGACTGATGTTGGATAATGTGACCATAGAATTTGACTATTTTTACCTAAGAAAGAGAATACATTCAGAAGAAATTATCATGAATATAAATTGTTTCAATAGGCTTAGTTCATGATTTATCTACATTGAAATTTATAACCTATTCATTTGTTAAATCCGTTTTAAACCACAGCAAAATTTGTCTGAAAAGAATAAAAGCTAAAAAGTTGTTTATTCAGTTTATTGTTTAGATTTTGATTGAAATCATGAGTCAATTGAAGCTACAACACCATGGAAAACCTGGAAGCACTGCACGGCCGCTTCGTCCTAGTGTGGGACTCCTCAGCAGTGCGCATCCACGATCCCGCACCCCGCGAGATTCGAACCCAGGACCTATCAGTCTCGCGTGCGAGCGCTTAACCAACTAGACCACTGGCCGGCATCTAACGGTGTTAATGTCTAACTTCAATTAATCCACGAATCGGCCGTCCAGTGCTTCCAGGTTTTCCATGGTAGTTTAGCTTCAATGGACTCATGATTTCAATAAAAAACTTAACAATCTCAACAACCCCTAAACTGATTATTGTTTAGAAGTGCATGTTTACTTTCTTGTCTAAAAAAATCTCCCCACTAGATCAACCCAAATCTTATCAAGCAACTATATCAGATTAGTTTTTCAAATCATCTATGTCCTTTCATTACACAATGAAAATTACTATAAAAGTGTTATACAAGGGTTCTTATTAGCTATATGAGTAGTTGCAATTGTTTGACAAGTCTCGGTATATCACTTCCTTGTGCTTATATGCCATCTTATGGTCAAATAGTAAATGCAATACTATATTAAGGGGAACAGATTATATTCCTAGTCAAGTTCTTAGCTTATACGTCCTTGTCTAAAATCAGAAGGACAATTTCGAGGTTCTAGTCGTTTCTCAGTTTTCTTCACTTACACGATTAGTTGGACAAAAATGTAGAAAGCATGAATACCAGAATCCAGCGTTGTGAATCGTAACAATAATCATTGGATTACTTCTGATATAACATAATTTAAAAATTGATAGAATTGTAACTTTAAATAGAACACTAGTCAAAGTTTTAATAACCTAATTACCATCACATTACTTACTTCACTGCATATTCACTAAAAAAATACAAATACGAACTTCATTTCGAAACAAACATACACACAAAAGGACAGAAAGTAGAAAACTAATTACCTATGCTTAATCGGTAATGTTTGACAATACACTGTCCCCAATGCTCCGAGTATATTGAACCAAAATGAAAAATTTTTAGTTGCATCATGATTGCTAGTATCATTGTATAATTCAGATAAATTACTCTGTATAGTTGATGCCAATGCTTTAGCTTCATGAATTTTATAATCTAATATCTATAATAAGAAAAAATTAGTTAATGGATTTTTATCCTTAGAAGAAATCGATTCCATTGGTCACTCCTGTAGGACTGACCAATGACATTATCAGATTAGTAACTAGTATTGATTAAATTTGTGCTCAAATGTATTAGGTTACACCACATGCTATTAAGCTGTCCAATTATATTAAGTTCAGAGGGACTGGATTTTGGTTCATATAACTCATTCTGTGATTGATTAAAAACAGTAGAATTCCACGAAGAAAATTTTCGTTCCGACAAAATCGCTCGTATTTATCGTTGTTTGGGTAGATATATGAATCTTTATGAAGAATAGAAAGAGATTACATCATAAAGTGATCTGAGATTTCAAATATCAAGAGAAGGTTGAGTAATGTCAAGCGTTTAGAGAAGAATAAGAGGATGGAAATGATTTACTGATCTGGAAAGTGCGAAGTATGAAGAGAAAATGAAAGACATAAAGGTCATAATAACGACTATTGTTGTTTGTTTTAATATATCATTATGTTTATTAATCGCATAACCTATTCTGCTGCGTTTCTGAAAAGTGTACAACCTTTCGTTGTCAAAGTTACAGAAAACTCAATAAGAGACAATATGGTTGCTGGCAATGTACAACGAAAAGAATGTACATTATTCAGTTGTTCATTCACTGAAGTGCTAACATCAATTCTAATACCAATTACAATATTGAATAGCTAATATAATAATATAATAACAAGTGAATAGTTATCTCGGAAAATCACTAGAGGATAATATCAAATGACTACGGTTTAAAAAGTGTACAAAATAATAATATAAACAAAAACAAGACATAATAAAGAAGAGAATTAGTGCTAAGGAAGGATGAGAGGTTGGATGTATCACTTTTGTACGTAGAGTTTAAACTTGAAATTGGCGGTCGTCGACGCCCCAGCAGTACTCTTAAAAGAATTAGATCAGAGAGAGGCCGAGTCAAAAAATTATGAACTGCTGAGGCGATGGTAATTAGCAGGAATAATACAGGGAAACATTACAGTCATCATAATAATGGTAATTGTTGAATCTGCGTTGTCACGTCTATATTTGGAGTTGTCGTCGTTGTTACATATATATGAACTCTACTAGATCTGAAGTCTTACTGATTATACTTGACCATTGAAATTCTCACAATCCAAAGTGTGGACATGAAAGACTGATGCGATGAAGATTTATTAGTTTTCCAAAAACATTTCCCTAAACAAGTTTCAAAATCACGTTCAAAATTAAATCGCTTATTAGAACAAAATACATTCATTCACGTACTAATTTTTGGATATACTTTATCAGTGTGGCGTTGTGGTGATCGGAAAATTTTTGATTGAGATCATTAATTGATGAATGTTAGACCACCACTGAAAACCTGGAAGCACTGGGCGGCCGTTTCATCATAGTATGGGACTTATCAGCACTGCGCATCCGCGATCGTGGATTGGTTGGAGTTAGATATCAACACCGTCAGGTGACGGCTCAGTGATCTAAAGGTTATGCGTTTGCGCACGAGATCGACGGTCTCCATACTGGTAATATTTTTCTATTAAAACTATCAATATTTGGGACATATTTGATATCACTTTTTTAATAAGCATTAAAATCAATACGGAAAACGATTAAGCTTACATCGATATTCTCTGAAAGACGTTTAATTTGATGTTCACATCCAACTAAATGATTATTAGCCATTTCTATGTTTATTTTTGTTAGTTGTAATGATAAATGTAAATTGCCTAATGCTGATTCATTTCGTCTAACTTGTGCTTCAATTGAAGAATAATCATCAATGTGATTCTGTAAACGTTCTCCAGCATCACAGCAATCACATAATGCTCTTAACCATTGACATAATCGGGCAGCAGCAACACTTACCTATTAATTTGGATGAAAAAAGTTCTGATAAATTAAATGAAACAGTCATTATTTTAAATTGTTAATAGGGAGACACAGCAAGAATGAAACTTATTTACTCATTGAAGTATGTAGTGATAATGGATATCGTAGAGTTGGAATGTAGTTAGCAGTTTGATCCTATAGAGGTGTTTTTCCTATTTGATAGTCGTCAGCTGAATGTATCTCCATCCTGATATTGGTGTTCAGCATCTTTCTTCTAAAACACCCAACACATTATCCACAGAGAAATTAAAGACGAAACTGGACCTCACTGATAGCCAAAAACTAAATAGATTAAAGCTTTGGTAACTCTATATCGAGGGACTGAGCTCAGGATACGAATGTGATAACAGAGTAACTACCTGCAGTCATGAATGTTAACAACGGAAAACCATAAACCCTTATTGATGATTGCCTTGTTTAATAAAAGAAGTTTGACACGATAAAAAAAACTCAATAAGAACGTAAAGAGTTTTAATAAGATTAAAGATTTTTAATTAGTACTGCTTTAACGCATAATATATTTGCTAATTATAGCCTTTGCGTCTCTCTATATGTGCATAGATTTTAGTGTGCCTGCTCTCTGTACTATTCAAAGGTATACTACAAGAAAGTTTTCAATTATGCGAATGGTTTCTATTTGACAAATTATCACTTGTTACTTAGTTGAATAATTTCAAAAGCTTATCGACAATCATGTTCATAATATCAGTATGAGGATTGTGAACATTACTGAATTTTATTGAGATCACCAAGCGACCTAGGTTAGACATCCATTGAAAGTCTAGAAACATTGGCCAGATGTTCCGTGTCAATGTAATGCTCCTCACTAGTGAACATCCTTGACCCCACCACTGGAGACCAAAATCAGAAATTTCAGTCTTACTCATGACCGTTTAACTTTTAAACCACTGAGCTAAAATCCGGAGATACGTTCACCTAATTTTAATCGATTCACACTAATAAGGTGTGGGACAGCAGGAAAAAATGGTTGTCCAGTGCTCCCAGGTTTTCAATAGTTGTCTGGCGGCGATCGGTCCATGATCTCAGTAAAATATTTATGATAATTTTAGAAGAGTCAGCTCTTGGCCTACGAATGCCCTTCCACAAACTGTGCAATAGAGTAATTTTTTCGAAAAGTTCCAAGATATAATGAGTCGATGGGATAACTGAGCATTTTATCATTTAGTCAATAAGGATGCTGAGTAATTAAATGATAACAGCTTTCACCATCCAGATTTCCAGTTATTCTCTGGTTATTTATTTTATTTCAGTTCAAAGGTATTTTGGGTATCTAAATGTATCCAATGTTCTAACTACATGGTTAGATGACAGAAAAATCTCTTTATGATTAGGGATATAGCTAATGTATGGCAACGTTTCAGTATTTCGGCCAGATGTCAGGATCCACCTTTTTATAAAAAAGTCTGTCTTTAGAAATAAAGTCTCTTAAGAAATTAAACACTGTCAAGTGGTTGAATGAGATTGATAGTTCGTTCTAAAGATAGTGTTCATGTCACTTGAAACTCTTAAACGAGGCAAATCCTTCATCTTGAGAGAATCGATGTTCCACATATGACTTAAATCAACATCTCCCAGTGCCGAAATCAGTATCCAGAACAAATAAATAAACTTATATGTTTAGAATGATAAAATCCAGGAATTAATGATTGATACTGTTGTTAATATAAACAGAATGAAAAATTGTACCCTTGACTAAATTATATTATGCTTGTGATGAAATCTCAAATTCCTGAGTTCGAGTCTGTATGGAGTGAAGATTATATACTCCTTAGATTTACTAAAGCAGAAGATACATCTGTTTAAGATTACTTGTTCAAGTATTAGTTTATAATCATGATCCATGAATGAAGACTTTAAATGACATAGCTCTAGATTCCCATTTCAAAGCTTCCATCTTATTCAACTGAAACATATTTTTTCTAAAACCTTTTTACTTACCTGTAATAAATTTTCAAATGTTAATATGCTTGAATTATTTAAACGTTTTCTTAATTCATTATGTTTATGTTTATTAATTGATTGAATGGAAAGTTTCAAGATTTTACTAATAAATTTGACTGGAACCATCATGTGTTTTGCATTTTCCCAACTTCAATTATTGAATAGAAAAAAGTATATAAGGGAAATAATAAAAAAAACAAGAACTTTATACATCATAAAATACCTTATTTCGAGAAAATAAAATAGTCGAGAATACATACATATACAGAAAGAGAGAGAGAACACTACGGCGTACCTGAGAAGATAGTCAATATCATACGGAATTCCTATGATGGATTAAACTGCGGAACTGTGCATGAAGGACAGCTCACAGACTTGTTCGAAGTAAAAACCGGTGTCAAGCAAGGTTACTTACTCTCATCCTTTCTCTTCCTCTCGATGATCGATTGGATCATGAAGACGTCAACATCTAAGAGGAAGCATGGAATACAGTGGACAGCTAGAATGCAGCTGGATGATTTAAACTTCACAAGTGATCTAACTCTTCTACCACACAACGAAACCAAAGAATTTGGAACATGAATGTATTCAGTCATTTACTTACAAATCAGTTCCCACTCAGGTTCTAGTATAACCTTGTTTTATACCCTGATTATGCAGTTAGATAACCTGGGACTCGTCAATCTCCTTGATAAGTTTGGCTACTTAGTATGACCTTGTGACTGAATATATGAGTTCGATATGTGACTAGTTGACCCTGAGGGTAGAGAACTACGCTATTCACTAACTAACGATCTGACACGTGGATATTGAGTGTTTGACAAGAGAATAAAAGATCAAAGTAATAAAAAACCTATATCCGAATTCCGGACTAAAGAAACTAAACGAATAATGGACATAAATATCTGCTAAAGTAGACTGCAGTTTGCATTAAATGAAAAAGGACAGTATATCCCAAATTAGATCAGCTAAGGTACTGGAATAGTATACAATTTTTATGGTAAAGTTACAAAAACTTTGGGATAGAATGAAAATATTACAGTCGCATCTCTAATGATAGTAGGATTTATACTAAAGCTTGTCGTTAAGAGGATTAGGAAATTACGTTAAATTAATGTTAGTAATTCTAACTGATTCAGAATTAAGCGTATTAATATTCTACACAGTAGCTTTTGTAGTTTATCAATTCTTCTTTATTATTCTGTTCACAACAAATCTTAAACCTAAATCTCAATCATATTCCTTAATCCAGATCTTAATCGTCTTTCATCTTGAATGTAACAAATTATTCGTATATATATATCCTGTATTCCAACTGACTAAAGATTAACTCTATCTTCCGAGGGCCAATCGGAAGTCACTAAGGGTCATGAGTTGAGCATAAATTTACTGCATTGTACCAATACTATCATTGTTCATACTTTATTTAAATCATATTAAAGTTCAGTACTCCATTTAGGAAACATTAATGTTAACCCACAGAATTGAAGTCAACCGTTTATATCTCAGTAGTTCAATATACCTCTTCACTTATAGATAACATGATTTTAAGAAATCAAAATCAACTTTAAAAATATATAAACAACTGACTTTTCCTCTTCATCCATAAGCATACAAATTAAATAGACACAATTTTTCACATCATCTGGTGGTTCACGATATGATCGTATTTCATCTAAATCTTCAATGGATAAATTATGTAACCCTTGAACAGCTAAACGATAAGCATTCTTTAACTAAAATCAAAATAAGTTTTTAAAAAAGGCATAAAAATTTATGTTTACTCTTTTTTTGTCAAAAATGATTCAAAGAATAAACTAGAGTATGCTTAACTAGATCTCGTAAACAGTGAACTTTCAACAATCGGACTAGTTTCAGACCTTGACGCAGAGTTATTGACCTAATATTCATCCTTTGTTATATTATAGGACTTAGACATACCTACTAACCGCCTAGTGTAATGGTATTTATTAACCTTAAGACAGTATTTAACTCAATTGTTTGACAAGTAACTGTTACCAAAAACGTATACAAATCTTATGATGGCCTCCTACACGGACACTACTGGTTGAGTAAGAGCTTATGGTGAACTATCATCAGGAATGATAACATTAATTGATGTTCACTAGAATTGTCCAGTATCCTCATTCTTATTTCGCTTTTTCATAGGCTTTCGTTTAGGGTTAACGATATCGCCATCTGGCTCTTATTCAGGGAGACGTGGTTAAGAATCGATAGAAATGGACCAGGTACATTCACAATTTGTCTTGTTGTAAACCTTGATCTTTAAAATTATCTTATATATTTTACTCGTGAATAAAATCTCTCTTCTATAATCAGATTGTCTACCTGTAATGTCGTTTACTATTACTGATTCTATTATTATTTTCACTATTCTGACCTCTGTTTCGACAGTTTCATTTGACTGTTCTGATATTTTGTATCAAACATGAGTTAATATCTTGTTTTATGAAATCAGTCGAACTCAATAACTTAGTGTAGGGATCTAGAATGTTTTCAACTACAATCAATATCAAATTAGATCCTATTAATTATCCTTCTTAATCTATAGAAGAAATACTTTAAAAGTAGTAAATACAGTTCTGTGAAACATGTGAAAGCCTACAGAATATTTACGAATTAATTTGATTATTTGCATTACATTTCATGTGAATAAATATAAAAGGAACATTATATTTAATTCATAAAATCTACAAAATCACATTCGAAAATATACTATGAAGAGTACTAGTATCAATAAAATCTTTCTGTTGTATCTTATTTAAGATATAAACATATTATGACTTCAGAAGATATGATAGGCATGATGTCTTCTGTTATAACTTTATGTCCGGCTTTTATCACATGATTTGTCCACCAATCAAAATACGAATTATACAATCTTCGCACTGTGCCAAACCAATGACGTTCGACCGGTATGGGCAGTCAAGCGTCCTTATTGGTCCTATGTCCTCCTAGCCCGTCCCACTTGAGTCCAGAACACCAAATACCATCTCCCGATATGCGAATCGAATCGAATCATTTATTTCAGACATACTGGGTTCATATATCAACCAAACAGACCGCAACGCATCATGAAATAGGAAATAACATTTGTACACAATAAAGCCAAAAAGTGACTGTGAACGTGGGAGGCAGTAGCCAATAAACTGAACATAGCTTAAGAACAATAAATCGTACAATAATAATATATAGTTCAAAATAAAGCTTATAACAAGGGGAATATAGATATACATCATCTAGTTACCGAATATTCATACCATGAGAATACATAAATAATAATAGCCCATTAATAAGTCTCAGACGTTACTCGTGAGTTAATCTTCGCTCGGATATAACATCTTCAATTTTAGAAAATGATTATTTTGAAAACTTTAATCAGATATGCTTCAGTTTACCAGTTAGTGAATTCATAAACAGACATTATATCTCATTACATCATGTCACCCTTAATACAATCGGATGAAAAATGATTTGACATATACATAGTGTTAGTTGATTTTTATAAGAAAAAGGAGTTGAGAACAAGGGATTTCTCAGTCTAATTCTGAAAAACTCCTTTGTTTTACATATTATTTCATGTAATTTGCTTGAGATATTATTTAAGTAGTGTGATTTGGGACAGACATTAATGAAATATGTTAATAGGTACAGTAAAAACAATCAAAACTGGGAGTAAATTTTACTGATTCTCAGACGGTGTATCCATTCTCTTATTCACCCTAATATAGACAAATAACTAATTACATTAATCCTTCAACATTTAATTTATCATACTACTAACATTATATGAGTAGCTTTGCAAGCAAAGATGGATAATGGCTAGTAGTGGAATTCAGGACGTGCGTTCCATCCTATTTGGGACTCGAGCCCAATACCGTTCGCTTCAAACACCATCGCATTATCCACTTAGCTATCGAGTCCTGATAACCACCTGCTTGTACAATGGGGTGTAGTTATATTCACTTGGTGTTGTTTATTTGTCCTTATCATTGTTATTTAGGACTGCAATTGATCCATCTCTAGTTGGTATATGTGCATCTTATACGGAATATCTCGATATTGTCTGAAGTCACAAGTTATATAATCAAAGATAGATAGTGACTAACAGTGGAATCCATGGGACACGTTTCGTCCTATTTAGGACTCATCAGCTAGATGTACTCACATCCTGGAGTTGAATGTTCATAACAATGAGAAGATATGAAAAGCTTTAAATGCATACACTATAAAATAATAAATTATACTTTATGAAATTCATTTTCAGCTAATTTCTTCACATGATCCATTGGTTTCTTCATATTCATTAATTCATTTTCTTTATGTAAAATTTCATTTTCTAAATATTGTAAATATTCATTTGTATTTGTATAATTTAATTTAGCTTCAGGTAAATATATCTCTTGATAATTAGATAAATCTTTTCTCATTAATTCTAATATAGAATTAGCTTGAATGATTTGATTCTCTAATAAATCATAATTATTCTTCATTGAATTATAAAGTAAATTAGTTTCATTGAATTGATTATTATAATGTTGATTACGATCATATTGAAGATAATACCAAACATTGATTGTTTGTATAATGTAATTGAATGAATATTGATTATTGAATAATGTTTGTTGTCTATGAATATCATTGATATTTTCATTTAAATAATGATAAATTAATAAATAAGCTTCAATGAATAATTCATATAAAATGAAATGATTCTTATCATTATTATTGTTTAATAAGAAATCATAATTAGATAAGAAATTTTTCAATATAGATTTTGAATCAAAATCTATATGATTAGTAATACTTTTAAATTCTATATTCATATGTTGTAAATCATTTGTTATTTCATTGAAATTGATAACACAATCCCATGAGATATATTGTAAGAGTTGATGATCTGGAAAGGAAACAACAACAACAACAACAAAAATCAGAAGGGGGATTTTGTGGAGATTTTTTTTTAGAAATTTCACTGATTGAAATCATGAGTCAATTGAAGCTAGATCAGCATGGAAAACGTGAAAGTACTAGATGGCCACTTCGTTCTAGTATGGGACTCCTCAGTAGTGCGCATCCATGACCCCGCAACTCGCGAGATTTGAACCCAAGACCTATCAGTCTTGCACCAGGCGCTTAACCAACCAGACCACTGAGCTAGCTCGCATCTAATCAGTGAAATTATTAAAATCTCCACTGAACCCCTTCTGATAATAATCATCTACTCACTGGTGACTGACTTCAAGAGACACTTCTGGTGTTCTAGTGAGAAGCCGTTACCAGTGGAGTTCAACCAGGTCTGTTGTGAGATAAAGACAAAGGTGTACGATGGCGCAACTTCGTGGATTGATTGAAGTTGGACATTATCGCCGTTGCATGCCGACTAGCACAATGGTCTAGTTGGTTAAGCGCCTGGCGCGAGACTTATAGGTCCTGAGTTGGAATCTGGTGGTTGCCGGGATCGTTGATGCGCACTGCTGAGGTGTCTTAAGATAGGACGAAGCGGTCGTCCATTGCTTCCAAGTTTTCCATGGTGATCTAGCTTCGATTGACTCATGATTTCAATCAGTGAAAAAAAATCAATAAATAAGAGACTGCATTGTAAAAATGTAAAGATTATTTTCATCACTTCCTGATATCAGTTAAAATAACTTCGAAACCAAAGGGAAAAAAATCAATAAGTAAGGGATTTTATTGGTGTTCGGTTAATTTGTAAAATATCGATAATTAAAACGTTTGATAACTACTAGGTAATAATAACATACTATGTAAAACCAATGTGTATTCAAACGAAAAAGACTTTTTTTCTACTGAACTGGATTATTTTCATCACTTCCTGATATCATTTATATATAGAGTTTAGATTCTTACTATGCCGCGTATAACTTGAACACTTGAACGCTAGAACACTCACATGTCGCAAATGAGTAGACAGAAGACAAGTGAAAGGAATGTTATTCAAAAACAGTGCCTATTATGATACAATACTGTCAGGCATTTATAGTTTACAGTAAAAAAAATGAAATCATCATTATAGCTTTCCAATCCGCACACAGGGGGCTATTAGCGTTTGTCCAATAGGGAAGCTATATGTAGGGATTCTGGAATATTCTTTCAAAAGATGATTGGATGGAATATCTTCGGGTCTTTCTGAAATTCCTAGAGCTTCCTCGAGTTCACCTGTGAATCGTCCTTACAAAAACAACGAAATACTGAAGAGTTGTTTTGTCCTGAAGTTAATAACTAGGACCCATTAATTTCAATTTATATTGGTTTGGACATAAATGTGTAAGTTATTTTGAAAATTATCTCGATCATTGTTTTATAAGTGTTGGTATAAAGTGAATATGAATAGCTCAACATGTAATGCGAATAAGTTATTTGAATTCATCAGTCATAGACTCTTCTCAAATGAGAAAAACAACATTACGTCAAGGTTGTAAACAAAGTTGAGACAAGTCTCTCCCTGTTTATTAAGCTCAGACTAGTGGGCAGACAAAACAAGGACATACCACTAATATTTTGATATGCAGTGAGAAAACATAGTTGGTCGTAAAATGATGCATTCTGTGTTTGAATTGACCTGGCAGACCTTACTGATGAACGTCAAATGGGATGACATACAGGTCAATGGATTCCTGTCGACCATCTGTAAACTACTTAATATATCAACAAAGCGAATAAGAATTTAAGTCATTTACACTAGTGGCCACGTTGGATTAAGGACCGGACAAACACTAAAATGCCCACTACCCTGTGACTAATCGATAACAAAATTAGTACTCAGGCATTTATTTATATATAATAAGAAAGTTTTATGTTTCTGATATATTTTATGACTGTTGATTAAGTTTTCCCCTCTATCGCTCATCATCTTCAATCGCACACGTAACAACAAATGCTGGAGAAGACGACCAGTGTAGCAACAGCCTCAGCAGCAGTACGCATCGACATACACAAAGGCAAAACCAAGATTCTCCCATACAACATACTATGCACCAATCCAATCACAATCCACAGAGAACATTTCGAAGATGTAAAAACCTTTACATATATGGGCGGCATCACTAATGAACACGATGGTGAATCTGATGCAGATGTGAAGGCGTGAACCGGAAAACCAAGAGTAGCATATCTACAACTGAAGAACATCTGGAACTCATAACAACTGTCTAACATCCAACACCGAGATCAGAATTTTCAATACAAATGTCAAGACAGTTCCACCGTATGAGGTGGAAACATGGAGACCTACAATGGCCATCATCCAGAACATAGAAGTATTTATTAATAGTTGTCTACACAAAATACTCCGGATCCGTTGGCCAGACACTATCAGCAACAACCTATTGTGAGAAAGAACAAAGCAGGTCCCAGTGGAGGAAGAAATCAGTAAAAGTCGCTGGAAGTGGATAGGACACACATTGAAGAAAGCACTCAACTGTGTCACAAATCAAGCTCTCACATGGAATCCTGAAGGTCAAGGGAGGAGAGGAAGACAAAAGAACAAATGACGCCGAGAAATGGGGATAGACATGAGCAGAATGAACAAAAATTGAACGGAACTGGAAAGGAAGACGGTGGACAGAGTGTGTTGGAGAATGTTGGTCGGCGGCCTATGCTCCATTGGGAGTAACAGGCGTAAGGAAGTAAGTATCGCTCATCACAGCAATAAGTAATAATTGGACTGAGAATTATTTACTTTAATCAAACATATTGCTTTTGAATAAAGTGTTCATTATTATTATATGGATATAAAACTTACCATCCTTTGAAGCAATAACAAAAATTCCTTTCAGCTTATCATAATTCATTTCATTCCATGGTAAATCAAAACGTAGTTCCTGTAATCTTTGTATCAATAAAAGTAACACATTTACATCATCATCATTATCACCATCATTAATCTCATCAATATTGTTATTATAATGATGATGATGATCATCATCATCATAGAAGGTCTGGTTCACATTTTGATTTGATAAATCAATAATAATCATTTCATATTCTTTATAATGATCCCAAAATTTTTCATTAGAATTTTGATTCAATTTTATTAAAAATTCTATTAAACATTTTGTATAATAAATTTTATGATAATTTTTTAATTTCATAATACATTTGATAATTTGTTTTTGTATATGAAAATTGACTCCATATGTTTTACAATTAGTAGAATTATTCAGTAGTATATAACAAGGATTATGAGTTAATGAACTTGATAAAATGAAGAAAAAAAGATAAGAATATAGAAAAAGAAAGACATATATGTTTTTCAATAGTTGAAATCATGAGTCAATTGAAGCTAGACCACCATGAAAAACATGGAAGCACTGGACGACTGTTTCGTCATACTGTGAGACTCCTCAGCAGTGCGCATCTATGATACCGCCCCCCCCCAGCGGTATACGAACCCAGGATCTATTAGTGTTGCTCACAAGCGCTTAACTATTAGACCACTGAACCGTCCGTCATCCAACGGTGATAATGTCTAACTTCAAATAATCCACGAAATTAAGCGACACATTCATCATTGTCTACAATGAGTTACACAAACTATTAGAGCTCATAACCCATAACTCTTACGATAAGATGAAATATTTAGTTGTTTGAATCAATTTACGCAAACGAGCAAACTTAACTAATCATATTCGTCAATTACTTAACTGAAAAAAGTTTACTAGATAAATGATTTCATGAAAATTAACAAACAATAAAGACAATTTTTGTCACTCGAGAACAGATCAATTTAAATGTAAGGTTGATTGTTTACAAGTGGATGAAGTTGATCCCTATTTCTACTGATACTGTTACTTAACATTAACCAGGGATAATATGGCATTTTCCCTGCAATAATTTTTACTCAATTCTTCAATTCAGCTAAACCATACACAGATTGAAGGAAGATAACTCAACGCAAGAATGAGAAGAAAAAGACAGCAGATGATATATATATATATATATATATATATATATATATATATATATATATATATAGACTGTAGTTGGGTATTTTACAGCTATGACAAATGGGTTGATTTTAATCTTACTATACATGAGCCCGACCACCAACTTGAATGAAAGGGCTGAAAAAGATAATTGAAATTTATTGACTAAACCAAATATACAGATACGTGTACTAATTCGTGTGTATATTATCTGTTCTTTAGAAAATTAAGCTTGATGTTATATCCCTCAGAAGTGAAAGCCAATTCTTGGTCAATCATATAAGCTTATCATTTGACCGGTTTTTTATTGGTTGAATATATCACCGAGACGTTTCCAAGTTTTATTGTTCCTTGATTAAACTTTATTAAGAAAACTAAATTTCAAAATGTAACCTTAATATAAACTTTACACTCAAAACATAACTGTAGATCTTTATTCATAGGAGACTTGAAAACAAGTAAGTGATATCTCAATATATAATAACATAAATTTCAAATGATGTACAATGTAATGTCATACATCACCAACTATGACATGCCCAATAATTTTGTCACTTAGTATTCATTCCATTATCACTAAAATTGTTAATTGTCTTTTGTATTTAAAACTTAAACTCTCATTACTCAAATTATGCAATAAATAATATCAAAATCACTGATAATATTCAATAGTTGAGTTCATGAGCCAATTAAAGATAGACCACCATGAAAAATCTGTAAGTACTGGACTGCTATTTCGTCCTAGTATGGTACTCCTCAGCAATGCGCATCCACGATCACACTCGCAGCCCAGTGGTCTAGAAGTTAAGCTCTTGCGAGCGGAATTGTGGGTGCACACTGTTGAGGAGTCCCATACTAGGATGAAATGGCCGTCCAGTGCTTCCAGACTTTCCATGATGGTCTAGCTTTAATTGACTCATGAAATCAACTATTAAATTATTACAATCTTCACAAAAAACCGCTTCAGATAATAATGATATTTAAACATACCTGTGAATTAAATTTATTGCATTTCTAATCATATATTGTAATATTGAATCATAACTGTTGATTTCTATATCACATATAGATAAGTCATTTTTTAAATTAACAAATATAGCTTCTAAATCATTGGTCTGATCCAAACATCCTGGCAAACTGATACATGGTATAAGATGAGGATTTAATAAACCATACTTTGCCCAACTTCGATGACTTTTATTACACTTTTCATCATATTTTTCATAGAATGATGAATAGATCGGTCTTTTATAATTTGATAAACTAGTTTCTGTTTCATCATTCAACTTCGAACATAACTGTTCGATTTGTGTACTAAATTCATAATTTATATCATTATCATTAATAGATATTGATTCAGTTGAAATAATCTGTTTCTCTTCTTCTTTTTTTTCTTGTTCAGCCTCCTGGAGTGACATATTGGAAAGTTCATTTGTTAATAAAGTGGTTGGAAATGTTGATGTTGAGATGGTAGGTGGAGTAAAAAATGAATTCACTTGAGACGTAGTAGTAGTAGAGTAGTAGTAGTAGTCATGACTGTATCAATACGTGAGTTCGGTAAAGAGAGCATAGAAGAAGATAGAATGGGCATAGAAGTTAAAGAAGATCCATATACTAATGAATCAGATGAAGAAGTATATACTGTAGTAGTGGAAAAATTGGATGAAGTATAATTGTTCGAATTATATTGAGTAGATGTTGAAAAAGTGTTGAATGATTGTGTCGAAAAAGAACTATCGGTTATAGATGTGGTTTGTATAGACGAAGAGGTAATCGAGTTAGAATAACATGAAGAATAACTGAAAGATGTTGTTAGTGTTGAACAAGATACAGAAGGAGAGGAGGTTGAATTGACCGAAAATCCACTTTTATTACAAACACGTTGAGATACAACAGATGAGGATGTATTTGTCAGTTTTGTCAAAGAATGTTTGCTTAAATGTAAAATAGACTGTCTGGTGATTTTTGAATCAAGGAAAAGACTTCCAGCTGGTCCAAATAGAAGGTATGAAATTGGAACTAAAAGACCTAATGAAGATGGTTTCATTAAATAGTAATCAATGGATCTTGATAAATTATTAAATAACCATTCTGAACATAAATCTTTAGGTAATAATGGACTAAAATATCGTTTGATCTCTTGACATAAAAACAACACTGATTGCAAAATATTACTGAGTTGATTTTTTGAACTGAGGTGAATCGATTCACTTATCACTGAAATAAAAAAAAACACTTTATTTCCGTTATGAGATAGAACAATCTTACGTAATCTGTTCCGTAAATGCACAAAATAAAGTTTTATGTACGCTATTGTATAGTTAAATGGTGGTTGGAGGTAGTCAACAGGAAACCCAGTTGACTACCTCCAACCATCATCTAATCTCAACATAGTGCACGCAATGTCAAGTCACCTAGACTAGTGGCCACATTGTAACTTGGTTGATAGCATTCGATCTGCACTAAGAAGGACTTGACACACATGACATTGATCACCACCCAGTGATCAATCAATTGTGGCTATTGAATAGTATTTATAATACATCAGTTTCATACTTTTCGACATACTTTACTTGTTATATTTGGCAGTGCATGTGTCACCTCTTCTATTGCTTAGAAAATCCCCTAAAATCTTTAGAAGTCAAACTGTTCAGATAACTTATCATTTCATGGTTTTATAGGATTTTGTTTATTGTCAATTTTCCTAAATTCACTTTAACAGGAATCATTCAAATAGTTAATTAGCTATCGAAAAGTGAAAGAGACCACATATATTCAATGGTTTTTAACAATATATCCGGTCAACGACCATTTTGGTCTCAAACTATTTCATTATGTCCTCTGTCTGGACCAAAAAGTTTGATTTCTTTTAAAGAAAGTATTTGCTTTAGTAAGTTATGTTAATGAAGTCTCAATATAGTACACAAAATGTTGAATTCCTCAGACCATTATTCACATTACAAATATATCGATAAAATTCTTGAAACTTTAAAAAACCGAGTTGGATCCCTACCACATACAAAATTAAGCTATTCTCTAAACATGTTCATTACTACGAATGGACATTCAACTGGAAATTTCATACTAAATATTGTCAATAATTTACAACCAACCTTAACTAATCTTTTAAATATGAATATTATCTTAAGATGTTGGAATGAGTTTTTAGATGAGAGAGGAGGCCTATCTTGATGGAACCATTTTCTCTGAGTTTAGTGATTTAATCATGAAACTTTCTTTTTCTTTCTAGGCAACATTATATTCAGTACAAGTTTCAAAAGGAAGATAGATATTTAAGACTTTACACAAATAACTAACAAGTTTTTCTGTAATTCTGAATTTGAATCAATCACATTCATAAACGACAGAACAAGTTCTTAGTCATGTAAGTGGAACTTTGACAGATAAGTATCATATTGACATATATATTATTTCACAGATTGAAATCATGAGTCAATCGAAGCTAGATCACCATGGAAAACCTGGAAGCACTAGACGGCCGTTTCGTCTAAGTACGGAGCTCCTCAGCAGTGCGCATCCACGGTCCCGCACCCCCGGCGAGATTCGAACCCAGGACCTATCAGTCTCACGTGCGAGCGCCTAAACGCTAGACCACTAAGCCGGCATCCAACGGTGTTGATGTCTAACGTCAACCAATCCACGAAGTTGCGCCACCATACACCATTATCTTCAGTGAGTTGATATCTCACAACAGATCTGGTTGAACTCCACTGGTAACGGCTTCTCACTAGAACACCAGAAGTGTCTCTTGAAGTCAGTCACCAGTGAGTAGATGATTATTATCAGAAGGGGTATTGTGGAGATTTTAATAATTTCACTGATTGGATGCCGTCTTAATGGTCTAGTTGGTTAAGCGCCTGGCGCGAGACTGATAGGTCGTGAGTTGGAATCTCGCGGGGGGTGCAGGATCGTGAATGCGCACTGCTAAGGAGTCCCACAATAGAAAGAAACAACTGTCCATTGCTTCCAGGTTTTTCATGGTGGTCTAGCTTCAATCGACTCATGATTTCAATCAATGAAATTTCTAAAAATCTCCACAAACGCTTTCTGACATATATTATTAACTTTATGTCAATAAAACAATACACATTTTTTGTAAAAAGATGACCTACATAAAGGTGTCCATCTTGAATAAATATGCCTATTTATATTGTCTGATACAATTGAACTATTCAATGGGATTTCATCAGTTGGTTTGCATGGATAATAGTTTTTTAAATGGTATCCCATAGAATGTGCAATTTTATGCATGATTAACCAATCTACTTTTGTATTATTATAAGTACAACGTTCTTTCATTAAAGCACAATGCATGTACCATATTATCCAACTGAATCTCTTGAAGAGAAAAAAGAAACAATTATGTTGTAACCTCATCATAAATATTGTCTTTTTTAGAATAAATTTTACTTGATTATTAAAATTAAGAAAAATATTATTCTAGAATTAACTGAAGTCTGAAATTCAAACCATTGAATGCTAATGGCACAAAGGCTAAACTTTCACCGAGAAACCTGAAATTCCCGACTTCCTTCTCTGATGAGGTTGTGGATGCTCGCCGCTTATGGATAGTATGCTGAGATGAAACATATCTGATGGTCCCTGGTATTCAGTAGCTGTTCAACTAATTAATTGATTCACTGTTCACGTTGTTGCTTACTCTAATAATTGAATTTAGAAAACCCAGGGTTGCTTTTTTAGACAAGCTACATATAAATGATTGAAAGTATTCAATCAATCAAAAAAAAATATTTTAAGTTAAGCAACTTTTGAGACGGAAAACTCTCTCTCAGTACCTAAATAGGATATTGTTCTTCAGTTAAAGTTGTCTAATTAATAGAAATCGGAACCTGAATCGTGTAACTTAAATCTATTATAACAACTCTGCACTAAATGGTTTAAATTTTGACCATTTGTTTTCATCTTCACATCTTGTTCTTACTATATAGATTTGGATTCAATAAATAGTATATGGCATTCCTGTTAATGAAGCGATTTCCAATATCAAGAATTTATATCTTAAGAAAAAACAATGTGATGATGGCTAGAATTGGAATCCAAGGCAGGTTTCGTTCCATTTGGAATTCGTCAGTACCTGCATCATAGGGTTTCGTCTTAAACAGAACGAAACGTTTGCTCTGGATTTCACTGCTAGCCATCATTCACGTCTGATTAAATACTTGTGATGTAATGGTAACTTTGAAACAATTCTCACAAGATACACATAAGCCAAAAGTGTCTGGTCAGTTGGAAGTCACGACATTGATGGGAAGATTCAAGCAATTATTACAAAGATCTAATAACACTTTCCATTAACGAAATAATAAAGTTGAAATAAGTTATGCACCAGGTCTCATCTTCTCTGATGGCTTCATGACCAGTCTGCAGAATGTGGTACATCAACCAGTAATAATCAGGTTTCATTTATACATGAGACACATGGCTGATAATTTTATCATTTGTTAAAACAATTTAGGCCTTAATCGCATCTTAAATAAATTCGATAGTTATTATCAGTCAATCAAATTCATACTGGAAGTAAAAGTGACTGTGGAATTTCGTTTCCTTGTTATCCTGTGGAAAAGACCAAATAGTTTCTTACAGGGATTTATATGTAAAAAAACAGACATGGAATGATTAGCACATTAATTTCCAACGCTGGATGCCATTAAATTGATAATAAAACTTAATTCATTCCTTATCCTCGAGGATTAGGCAAACATGCTCTAATCATACGATAGATGAAAGAGTTTAAACAAACAAAAACAAAAGAACTTCAATTACCTCAACTAACATTCCACTTATTCTTGACAATGAATGACACATCATTGATTGACAAAGTAAACTTATTGGACTAAAACCATAAATATTTTGTTCATAGAGAAATCCATCGATATTCATCTCTTTTACAAATAATAAACAAGGGTCTGTTAAACTGATATATGCGAATTGATACATTAAACTATTTAATTTTGTTGAGAAATGTAGTTGATGATCATGATCCAAAGATGTTAAGATTGGAATAAAATTATATTTTGCTTTAGAGTAATTATTATGATTAAGATTACAAGTAGTTAATTGATTACGTAATTCTTGATTCCATATTCTTTGTGCTTTTTGAGTTATTGAATGAAAGAAAATCAATAAACAATAAGGATTAATAATTAAATAAAGGAAATTCATAGTTCGAACCACAAAATGATATTCATTCAACCTTAGTACCCAGTTAATCTGACTTCACTCTGAGAGAGCAAACTAATATATTATAAACATAAGTCTTCTATTTTAATTCCGTATGTTATACCTAGGCTAATCCCGTTAGTGTGATGGCAGTAATAAGATGGCAAATAAGGGTTCAATCGGTTGTATTCATTTCAGGCCCTCATTTATTATTCAGGTAAACATTGAAAATGACAAGCTGAAAAGTGATGAGAAGTAGAGGATGCGAACATGCCAACCCGATTTGATAAAGTGTGACTAAATATTTATAGTCAGACAAAAATAAGCCATAGACATGTAGTGACTAGTGTAAGCGATTAACCCACATGACCTCATATAAAAACATTCAAAGTTAATAAGTGAATAATTGACAAGGTCGAAATGGGACTCAAGAAAGACAAATAAAGTGATCCATCAGGTAGCAAGAATAAAATATGTGGGCTTGACATGGTACTAGACACTACAAAACTGCCATTGAAAACCAGGATGTATTAAACGTCTGTCTCTTCCTAGTAACAGACTCTTCAACAGTACTCAGCTACAAAACTATCATTACTTACTTACTTATGCCTGTTACTCCCAATAGAGCATAGACCGCCGACCAGCATTACGAAACTATCATGTGCGATAAAAATAGTTACTATCTTCAAAAGTAATTCATAGAGCTCTGATGTGAAACCGTCACCAGTGGAGTTCAACAATGTTGGATGTAAGACAATCATTCACTTCAGGCAATGGAAAATCGCCACATAATATCGTGAACTGATCGACGTTAGATAATGTACACCATTGGATCCTGACTCAGTGTTCTAGAGGTTAAGCGTTCGCGCAGGATATCTTTGTGTTCTCAATTTGATTCCCTGAGTTTTGGTCGTGGGTGTACATTGCTAATGAGTCCCATGTTAGGAAGAAACAGATGCCTAACGATCTTTAGTTTACAATGGTGGTTTAGTTGAGAAATAAAAAATTCCACAATCTCCGCAAAACCTCATATTCATATAACGAAAATTTGGTTAAAAACAAACGTCGACATATCCATATTCTCTAATATATTGGTTGGATTTCGGATACTGGATATATGTTTTGTTCCACTTAAGATATATATATATATATATATATATATATATATATATATATATATATATCGTCGAGTTTATTACTTTAACCACAAACTGACATTCTTAAAGAAACCACTGAAAACTTGAAAAAACTGAATATTTTAGTATTTCATTTATTAGCATTGGGGATCCATGACCTTACAAGACCTAATCTTATTGTCTTATTCCCCTTACAACATGCAATGCCATGTTCTGATGTATAAAGATACCTCCTTGAGAAATAAAAGATCTTTTGAACCTCCTGTTTCCTGTCTTCTTACTTGAGTGTGGTTGCTGATCTGCCTAGTTGCGTAGATGTTTTATTATTATTATTATTATTATTATTATTATTATTGATAACTCTAATCATTCTTATTTCGAACCCAAACCAGATGTAAACAAATCACAGCATATCACCTTTCCCTCTGTTTATCGTTTATAAATATGTCTAACGAGATTATTAATGTGTATCACTTCCATTTATTTATAGACGTATGATATTTGAGATTATATAAATATCTTTTTAACACAAAATAACATCAGATAGAAAGCCAATAAAAATTCCAAGAGTATTGGTTCGTTTGAAATCAAGAATTATCTAGTCTTACGCACGGGTTCGAATCTACACAAAATTCGAATTCATGTTTTCTGGTCATGTTGTGGTGTGTGCTACTGATGTTGACAGATATAGCTAGTATTTATCATCAATCGAAATTACATTGCCTAGCGGCAGAAGGTTAAGAAGATCGAAGAAAAAAGAACGAGAACAAAGAATGATTGGTGTAGAAATGAAAGGACAATGAGGTCTTAGACGATTGATCAACATTTTGCAAATGAAATATTCACTGTATGGTTCTCAGATTTTGTTAAGACGTTTTATAATTTAGTGTTCAAATCTATTCGATTGTGCTCATTTATGTTCTCGTTTACTACACTGTAATCAACATTTTATCATTATATTAACAACTCTATAGAAAATAGTTACACTTCAGTATTTTTATATCGTATACATCTTTTAACGCAAATTCATTATTTCTTCTCAACTCATATTGTTTATGCCTAGTGTTTTCACTGAGACTGTTACTTCTTCTACTACTCTGATATTTTTCTTGATTACTTCACCATTTAGTGTTTATGTGGTATGACAACTTAAGCCAATGCACATATACACCAGGTTTGCTTTGTTTCTGATCAACTAACTGAAGTTTATCATACATAAATATGAAATGAGGAAGAACCCTCACTTTTTACACTGAACAATAAACGTACGACACTAAAAAGATGATTAGAATAATTTTTACTTTAAAGCTTCTTATGGCTGAAGGTTTTGGTGTCACCCATCACAATGTGAAGAGATGTTATCAATGAGTTATTCAAATCGTGTTTACTTTTAGATAACTACATAGATCTGTGGTTTACTGCTTGTTTACTATTCAATATCAAACCATAAAGTGAAATCGATCCACTTAGACTAATAGTCAAACTATGAATTCATCGACAGAAGTCTATCAAAAATAAAGATCTGTTAACATGAAACTTGATTATCTTCAGATCAAATGATCAATAATAGTATATTTGCTTACTTGTCGCTGTTTTGGAAATCAGATGTACATCTTCTAAAATGATAACATTATGCATTAAATTGATTTTTTTATCAAATATTTGTTTTGGATATTGATTATTAGTTTTTTGTGAATTAGAAATGATTCTATGTAGAAAATCATTTGATTGTATTCGAAATGAACTTGTACACTTTTTCCCCGTTTTATTATTATTATTATTATTATATGAATTAATTAATTGTTTAGATCGTTCTGAATTTTGACTTATAGCAATTGCAAGTTGTGATTTACCTGAACCAAATGGACCGGAAATTATTACTGGTCGACCAGATTGTATGAATAATGAACCAGTAAATAAATGAACTGTAAGCTATAATGAATAAATATATACATCAATAAGTGCATAAGAATAAGATTATTTCTTATTTGCACAGAAATAGAATATAAGATAGTTGTTAAGTAGTTGACTGTAATCGGCAAGAGATCTGATAACTATCTTCTACCATCTGAAATCTCAGTTTTGTGAGGACGACTCATATTATTCGAACTAGTAACCGTTATTGTAACTTAGTCGATCGAATTTGACCAGAACTAGGAGATTAGACAAACTTGAAATTAATCACTATAGTGTGATCAATCAACTGTAAAAAAACGGCCCATTCAATATGTCAATCCTAGTGTTGTAATAGATTTATCATTAAAATGGTCACTTTTCATTTTAACATCATGTATTATCTAAATTTAATGTGATCTATTAAAACAATGGTGAATCTACAATGTGACGAATGAAAAAATAAGTTGACTGGTCAATTTTTGAATTCAATCATGTAATTTTTAGATTGAATTCGTTACAGACTGATCTTTGCTGAGTGACTATTCAAAAACAGGGAGCACTGGACAGTTGTTTCGCCTCCTCGGTACGGCACATCCCCATGACCTCACTAGGAATTGTGCATAGGACCGTCAGATCTCTCAGCGAACACAAACATTATGAGACAGTCGATTTCGGAGTAGGTTTCTTGATGACCTGAAGTTTTTGAAGTCCGATTATCAGTCTAGTGCCTAAAATGCTAAGGTAGTGTCCTAGACATAGTACTCAGTGTCAAAATAATTGACGTACACTATACTACGTAAATTATTCACAAATAAGATATGGTTATTGATAAAGAAAAATTCGTTAGTAAAAATTGAAAAATTCATTGTCTTCATTCTCTCAGGGGTGCATTAAAAGTACAGTTAAGAAATACATAACAGTATCTCGAGTAGATATATCTTACTCTATGATATTTTAAGGAACTATTTAGAAACCAGCTTACATAAGCCGATTAGGCGGTTTGGTATTTATAACTTTTAATAAAACTGTGTCCTCGTGTTTTCTGTAATCGATTACATATCTTATGACCCACAAAAATATCTCCACAGAAATGAGTAAATCACACGTCAATACAACAAATCTCTTAGCTAATTCTGAACACATCGATAAAAGAGTTAGTAACAAGGAAATATAATTTGTAAATAGGTGAAATACAAAAGACTTAGAAAATCTATTCTATAGATTACATTTATCAATATCCCCATACAAATTAAGATAGTATAGTTATGATCACTGAATCTTCCTCAAAATATACAAATTACGAATAGCACAGATTTTAACTGATTTCAACTTTTCATTCACCATAAAGTACTTTTTACATTATCAAGTAATCACTAAATCATGAAAACATAATACGATTGTTTCAGTGCTAACAGTTCAAACGAGTTTCCGAAAAATCTAAATTAAAACTTACTTTTTGTAAGCAATGATGGATAGTGCCTAGCAGTGGAATCCAGGATGCGTGTTTCGTCCTATTTGGGACTCGTCAGCTGGATGTATCTGCATCTCAGAGTTGATGTTCACTCTGGGACAAGACAATATCGAGCCATACGCACAGTATGCACATATGCCGATAACAGACTGATCAATTGCAGTCTTAAACCTCAATGGGAAGATACAAGCCAAATAATACCAGGTGAATTAAAGCTTACTTGCCATTAATTATCAAGTTTAAGAATCATAAGTTTATTCTTGATAAACGTTGACAGTTATGTAACAACTTTCATTGGTTACTATGATACAATTACATCTAATCAATCTAATGATCCTTGCTTTAATAAAAGTGTAGTATAAAGGTTAGCTTGAGCAATTCTTCAAATGATAGAGTAATATTAAAGCCACTTTTTAACCAATTCATAGAAGATATGTCTAGATCAAAAGTGTTTCTCGAAAAAACTGTCCGAGCTCTATTATTAGAGAAATATTCTTATCACCATATCAATCTAAATAAATTAGACGTTGAAACTCTTATCTATTTTAACATTCCTACTTCCAATATAGGCTGTTGAAGATGCCACAAGTATTTGAAGTTTGACAATGTTTTAACCAGTAACACTTACTATGAATCATATTCACCTAATGAAATCAAAAGTCAAAAGCGAAGAGGTTCAAAGATAAATTTGTTAAGCTATCAATACATCGAGAATCGATTGAACTAGACTAGCTAGCGATTGTAGAAGATATTGAACACAGTGTTCCTACTCATGATCTGGTGCGGATGCACAACCGAGTGCCTTCAGTTAACTGAGTCCATTAAAACTAATGTGGTCAACATCCAATATCAAAGACTTACAGAACTACTGATTTTGAGGATTTATTTACCGATACAATGTATTATTCGTAATAATATCTAATCATAGAACATTATCCTATTGAATATCTTTACATATTACTATGTTAAATATAATTATCTTGAAAAAAAGGAAATTCTAAAGATTTAACAATGACTAATTATGAACTAATTCATTTACATGAAATAATGTTGGTAATAATGGTTTACTATGATAAGCAGTTCCATTTGGATGTATGATATCATATTCTTCTGGCCAATGTAATTGTAAATAATCTGTATACCAAAATGGTGTTAAATAACCAGTTCTTAAATCAATAAGACAATTAAATAAACTATATTGAAATTCTTTGATATTTTCATATTCATTTTCATGATTAAGATTATTATTATTATTCCATTTCATACTTGTACAATAATTCATATGATTTGTATAATAGGATTCAATAGATAATATGGATGATGAATTGTCTATGGAATGAATATTCAATGAATTAGGCAATCTAATAAAATCCTTTAATATTCTTAACATGATTGTTTCAAATCTAAAATATCATAATAAGAATAATGATGAATTGTATAGTTAAACTGAATGAAAGATTTGAAGTATATAGAACAACATAGATATAAGTGAACAATATTGTTTTCGATTAGATCTTTATCAGGATGTGGTATGGGTTGCTTATATCCATATAGATATTGGTACAAGGAGGCACCAAATATATATGCGCCACACAAATCTCATTCGATTTGTGTGAGGGCTGTGATACTGCCTGGGTGCCCAAACCGAAGCAGGTGGTTTGCTTAGGGGGCCACAGCCGGAGCACTCGACCTAAAGGTCTGATCCACAAGGCAGCGGAGCAGAGTCAGGAGATGCAGTCCCATGGTAGCCGGTGACCAACGATTGGCTCATACGCCATTTGTTCCCTCAGGATCCTGGAGCCCATGTGCAACATTGGTTCGGAATCAGGGTTTTCTAACTCCCCTAGGTGGACTCTCCATGTCCACCAACCCAGTTAAAGCGACAGAGTTCCGCTTTTCGTCCTCTCAATTTCGCAAACAACACTCCTGCCAAGAGAAGGCAGTGAGTAGGACTTCCCCGGCAGAGGCTATATACGCATGGCCATGTGAGAGCGTTTGGAGAGGAAGAGCGGACTCTCCCCACTCTCGGCCATACCAGGGCATTCGGGGGCTATATATAACGGTGGTCAGGCATAGAATGTATTTCAGTAGAAGATCGTGAAGGAAAGAATGGAAACGGAACGCAATTAGTATGAAAATGCATGAACAATGAAATCTGAGACAATTGAACAGTCAAGTTTGAGACGATGGATCGATTGACCACTGCTGGGAGTCTTATATTAGGACGAAATAGCTGTCCAGTGCTTCCAGGTTCTCAATGATGGTCTAGCGTAAATTGATTCATGAATTCAACCACTAAAATTACTACAATCTTCACAAACCCCCATTCTAATTTCATGGTTGTAAATTTGTGGACTGTTGAAGCTCACTCAACAGGTAGATTAATAACACTTCAGGTGACTTTTGCATGACTATTTTTCATCCGTTTTAATATCTTTCTTAAACAGCTTTTTACGTGTTATTTTCATTTGTTTGACAATTTTTAATTGATTTCTTCCAGTCCATCATGGATTCAATTAATAACTTCCTATTTCGATATCATGCGAAACTGTTATTATAGTTCTTAAAAATAGAGAACTATCTTTAGTATCCGTATCAATAATAGAAGAGCGATTAAATGTAGAAAAAATAAAATAAAGGTAAGAGATTACAAGAGTCAGGTTCAAAGGAGAGACAAAGTATGGATGTATCTGCTTCATTGTGAACGATTCTCAGTTATGTTACCAATTGGTTGCCATAATCACGCGAATCTCAACCAGGTATTTTGCACACACCTAATCGGGTTATTCCAATAGTCAGAGAATTTATGGACTGATGCCACATTTGCTTCAGTTACCGCCGGCTTTTAATGGCTATGAATGCACGACATGATAGGCAATGGTCGGATATAAATAACATAACTAACATTTCCTGACCGTAGCTGCTACCTTGACGTGGTGGTCGGGCTTGCCTATCGTGATGAAGCAACCGAGCTATATTGGCAGGAACATATGTTCCTGAAGGTTCTACCATGCCAGGCAGGTCGATTGAAGAACGGTAAGACTAAAAGCAGAGACCCAATATCTGAGGGCGAAGTCGTACTACTGACTGTACAGGGGTGTGACAGCAGTAAGGTGTTTCCCTCGGACAACCAGCATCTGCAGCGATGTGGTCTTCTCACAAGGAAGAAAGGGGTTAGAAAAGGTTTACCCTGAATGGCAAGTTAATGTAGGTCCTTCGACTCTTTACGAAGTTGAAAAAGCTATAGGAACTCTGAATCAAGGGAGAGCAGCAGGCCCTGACAGGTTTACTCCTGAGATTTTTAAGGATGGTGGTCCAGTATTAGCAGTGAGATTGACTGAGGTCTTAGGTAGAATCTGGGAACGGAAAGTAATCCCATCGGACGGGTCTCAGTCACAGATTGTGCCAGTCTATAGGAAAGGACAAAAGTCCTCTTGTGACAATCATAGAGGAATCAGTCTGACTAATATAATGTCTAAAATATTAGCTTCGATAATACTTCGACGCCTAACTAAAGCTCGTGGAGAGCAGAATAGAGAAAACCAGATATTCATACTACGTCAGGTCTTAGAACATAGACACACGTTCAGACGCCTCACAATCGTAGTATTTCTCGACCTTAGTGGGGTATTTGACTCTATTGATCGTGAGGTTCTATGGCAGTGTTTGTCATTGAAAAGAGTATCTAAGAAGTACATTAACCTTGTAAAGGCCCTCTACTCGAACACAACTGGTAGAGTGACAGCTTATGGCGAACTATCATCAGAATTAATTACCTCAAGTGATGTTCGTCAGGGCTGTCCACTCTCTCCATTCTTGTTTAACTTTGTCGTTGACGTGCTTTTAGAGATAACACATTCCTCATCTAAATTTCCAAGGGTTGAACTTCTACCAGAAGATTCACTTGTTGACTTAAAACATGCCGATGACTTAGCTCTATTTGGTGAAGACACTGACAAAATGCAGAGTCTTTTGACCACTATGAGCAACAACGCAAGCATGTTCGGGATGCGATTCTCCCCCTCAAAATGCAAAATCTTACTTCAGGATTGGGTTGTATCGACACCCAAATTAATGATAGGGTGTGAAGTAGTTGGGTGTGTTGACCAAAATTCATGAACAGTATTTCGAAGACACCAATCATCGAATATAAGTAACCTAAAGTATCATCCGTTCTTAATATCCAAGCATCATACCTGTAAATTTGGACAGATTGAACTGCTGAGCAATACACTCATCGTTTATTTGAAAAACGAATATCTCATCTACGGCACAGGTGGCATACGTTAACAGACTTTGAATGATTTACTAAAAAAATATACAATAGAATAACTAAATTATTTTACCGTGATTTTAATCTTGGATCACCAGCTAATCCACCACCAATACCCCAAATAAATGAGAATAAAAATAAATTTCTTATCAAGATTTCATAAAATACTGGTTGGTCTTCAATGTTTCGCCATTCGGACCAATAATAATCAATTAATGTAAGATTTGATTGATAAACAGATGCTGAATTAAAAATAAAGAAATAAATTTGTTTACTATAGTGATTTCATTTATTATACATGTGTAAAGTATGAATAAATAGAACTTAAATTGTAGATTAGTTAGTTAGTGCATCCATTGAGTATTCAGACCCCAATGATCGAGTTATGCGCGAAATCGTGTAATCACAAGTCAAGATACTTCTATGGAAGTAAATAACAAAATTAACAATGTTTACAAACCTAGAATGGTAACATCTCCAGGAATTGGTAACGGTTTCAAGGTATAGTCAGTAGGAAAATGTATACAACCTAGTACAATGAGTAGAACTTATATTTACCGAATTATATTATTTTATTTATGGAGTATGTTTATTTGTTGTCAATTTTACAGATAATGAATTGATTTCATAATGAACGAGAACACAAGTGGGGACAATTGAATGTATTTGAACTCTAAATGACAGAATATCTTAGTAAAATCTGAGAACCACACAGTAAATACTTCATTTGCAAAATGTCGATCAACCGTTAAAGACTTCATTGTCCTTTCGTTTCCAAATCAATCACTCTTTGCTAGGCATTTTACTTTCGATTGATGATACATACTACTTATATCTATCGACATCAGTAACACACACCACAATTGGACTGAATTCATTCACTCATTTGGTTAAATACCGTTTGGGCATTATAAGTGATGTCAGTTCGTGATGTAAACATTAAATCTAATTACTAACCTTAGCACTCAACCGTAAATCCTTCTCATCATTCCTCATATTAATCTATAACCCTTAATTAATACTCGTAAGTAGGTGGACATTCTAAGATCATTTTAACGTTGTTCAACAGTCGTCCATTTATTACAGTCTTACATCGATTGCCTATGATTTTTATGTTATGAAAAAATTCTGTAGGGTATGTTCCTTTCTTCTTAAAAATGTAGTTTGACAGCTGTTCTATGTAGAATCATAAAATTTGAGAAAAATTATAAAATAAAAGTTAATACCAAAACAAAGTTCAAACCACTTTATTTTAGTGTAAAGGAGTGTGAGGCAACTCTTTTCCATTTCGCACTTCTACACTGATCATTGTTATTATCTGATCTGTCATCTGACATCCCATGATGAACTAAAAGGAGACGTTCGGCTGTCTGGCTGTCAACTACATCACCTTACTAGATAAATAGTTCGAGAAACTGCAAGTAATTTACGAACTCTTCAAGTTTAAAGTCTGGAAATTTCTGGGGTATTTTATACTGTAATTGAATGTATGGAGATGTTCAAGCCTTGTTCTAGTTTAAGAAGGAACGATTGTGTTAAATACTTCATCCTTTAATGAAAAAAATCTTGTTTTTCATAAAGCGATGGTGACCAAGAATATAAAACAGAATAAATCTGAGAATTCGTTAAAAAATTGACTTGAATAACTTCTCTTTCCAGATTTTACCTTAGCGCTTGTTTTCAGTAACATTGATTGTCACAAATGTTTTATTATGGTATAGTGAACGAGATCACAAGTGGGGACAACCAAATGTATTTGAATACAAAATTACGGAACAACTTGCAAAATATCAATCAATTGTATCAAACTTGACTGTTCCTTTTGGAAATATCAGTCAATCGTCTCAAACTTCATTTTCCCATCGTTTCTCCTCACCAATCATTCTTTGTTCTCATTCTCTTTACTTTGATCTTCTTAACCTTTTGCCATTAAGCATTTCACTTTGCAATTGATGGTACATACTACTTATGTCTATCGACATCAGTAGCACATCACAGTAGTACTATTTACCTTCCTTATTGTCACAAACCAGTTAAAAATAAGAAAGATATTTTATTTGAACATTATGAACAAATGCCTTAAAAAAGGTTATCACAACTTACATGGTTTTATGCCATCTTTACGTAATTCCCATAATTCTCTTGGAAAGTATTTGTTCAATAGTTCAGACATCAAAGCTAAAGAGTTTTTAATACTTTGTTGACAAAATGCATTCTTATAAGACTTGATATTTAAAAAGCCTTTTTCATTGTGACACCATTGATTCATTAACTCCCAAATTCGATCTAATATTTTTGGGATATGATTATCTAGTTCATTAAGAATTTTATCCCATCTGAAATTATTTTAGAAGAAAAATGAAGTTAAATTTAATCAAAAATACTAATAACCGTTTAAATATGTTGATTGTACAATTGAACTAATGATGACAAAAACAAAATAATCGGTTTGACTCATAAACTTTTGAGTATGTAACTTTTATCATGCTCATATTACTCTTTACTCTCAATGATGAACTTCTCCTATGTTTGTTTCTTTTACTTAAACATTCCTAGAAATCCTTGAAATTTAAACTCTTCAACTTGTCATTCAGTAACAACCTAGAACCTCGTACGTAAGTACATGAGTTTGAGTTGCCATACCACATTAGTACACAAATGCAGTTGTCGATTCAAGTCCCATAGTTGTAGAGGTAGTAAGAGTATAAGCAATAATCCGAAAGATTAGGGTTTGAAGATGTTATTCAACGAGTATAATTTAGTGTAATAAATTTCGAAAGTGAAAAAAAGAAAGGGATATGAAGAATTCAGAAGATAAGAATTTGGGAGAACACAAAGAGTGGATGCACGTGCTCCATTGCGAACGATTTTGAGACATGTCATTCAAGGTCTCTGACCATTGGTTGATATCATCTCCCGGATTGCAATCAGGTAGTCTACACCTACCAACTTGTAAATTATATCATATTGCAGTACTGTTCCAGAATGGTAATTTGTAAATACTTATTTTTCTCAAGGGATTGCCTTCATTGACAGCCTTCAACAACTAATGAAATTTCTGGGTGTTTCCAAAATTTTATCAAAAGTTGACATTAAATAATTCACCTATCTGTTAATCTGATTACGTCATTAACAAGAGTAAAAATATCACCATAAAATGTTTTTCGATGAATCTTTCAGGTTTCATCAATACACAAATCAATTATTAGGTTTGTTTATGTCAGTTAAGATATTCAGTCAAGCGATCTTATAGTGTCAAAGAAACATAAGCATTCAAGTCTACTTATTTAATAGTTGACAACACCTTTACACTTTTTAATGAAAAATAAAAGAAGAAACATTTTACGTTACTCATTTAAATGTGATATAGTTTGATGAGAAATAGAATTTATGATTTTCATTACTACTAACATTTATCTAGTAATACATGAAAGTATTTCTTATGATATTAACAAACAGTTTTACAGAAATCGAATGCAAACTAAGTAAGACATAAAATTTATGTATAAATTATATCTAAGGATTAACCGAGTTAAATTAAAACTATGCAGCATTATCCATTGGTCGTTATGATAAGGTGAACACATTTCAATAGTTGAGACTATGAGTCAATTGAAGCTAGGCAACCATGAAAAACCTGGTATTAGGGGTGAATAAAGTAACGAATTAGTTAAATTCTCTATCTATTGATGTATAATGTGCTCTTTTCATGATTGAAGTTGATAGTGTACTTAAAAAAATCAACTTCATAGGATACATGAATATATATCGGTTGTGGAGATCATTGGATTTTACTGATATCACAAACAAGCCTAAATTAAACAAGCACTGAAAGCTTAAAAGCATAAGACAGCTATTCTGTTCTAATATGAGAATCCTCAACAGTATAAATCCATAACCCCAATATCCTCGACCACTAAGCAGGAATTCGATGATATACGTGTCTAACTTGAACCAGTCCACAGTATTTCGCCACTATCTTTTTATTGTTTTCAATGGGTACGTTCCTCACACATATAACGATTGAACTCCACTATCTTAGTGCTTCAAGATTTTTAATAATCAGTTTGTGATCTCAATAAAATTTATAGAATATTGTCATAAAACGAAGAAAAAAATTGAATAGAACAAGTTACTCCTTGCCATATACTTATTTCTTCATCCAGCAGCTTACCCTTATACATTTTTATTTAGTTAAATCGATAAACAACAAGAATATCTAACAGTTTAGATTTCATCAGCAGTGTTTGTAGTATGGTCGCTTTATTGATTAATTATACATAAAAATGTGCCATAATTGATCTTTTGAATTTCCAGAAGCGAGAACCAGTATGTTTTAAATGGCGAAATACAGAAACTTTCCTACTGATTATAATAGAATACACAGTATAAACTAATTCTAAGCTAATTAAATTAATATCTCTAAGATAAAGTCGTTTGGACAACGTACATCTATATGTGACCATATTCAGTGAATTCAATAGGAATGTATTTGAGTTTTGATAATTGAGTTTATTCCGAACATATATCAACAAACGTATTAAAGAAACCCAAGATGAGTTATTCTTTTCCCCTATTCAGTCTTTATGAAGTATTAACTTTAGAAATTACTGTGAAATGAAACTGAAGACATTGATTAACTATTGAGATTAGATGGTGGTTGAGGGTAGTCGACAAGAAACCCCAGATGCGGGTTTCGTGCTACTTGGCACCCGTCAGCAAGGTGTACCTGTCATCTTGAGGGGACCGGCGCTCCCTGGAGGATTCGATCCCAAGTCACCCAGCTTCACAGACAGAGAAGTTACCACTGAGTTATCCGAGCCGCGACCGACCTCCTGTAGGACTGAGATGTAATAACAATTGATTGATTAACTATTTATAGACTGTTGATAGAGATAGTCAATTAATAGAACAGTTACAACTTCAGAGTCAAATGTTAATTACCATTTCAAAATATATATGACTAATAAGATATATTTCGAATCGTTGTAACTATACCCTGATAAAATTTAAAAATTCTTAATTTCTGTTTTATCATCCTTTCAAGTCACAATCTTAATCATAATTAACGTAATGCATGGCAGAAATGGCTTTAGCCTAAATTGCTATACCATAAAATCCTGACTGGATAAAATTACCAAAATAATGTTATCTTGAGTGTTGTTAGCGGTTTGAGAGCACTTATCACTTCCCAGTTGCCCACACTGTGGAAGGGTTTTTCTGGAGATACCTGAAAAGGAAATTGGATTAGAGGTGGTCTTAGTGACCTGAGAGCGTGACCGCAGTGTCCAAGGGACAACTGCTTGAGGTCGGTCACACACGACATTTCTGTGGGTAATTTCCGTGTTAGATCCGTACTTGTTGTGACCTTACCGCCAGAGACGGAAATCTGTGGGATGAGGCGAGGGTCGATCTTTTCTAACCCCTTCTTTCCTTGTGGGAAGACAGCATCACTGTAATGTTGGTTGTCTGAAGGAAACACCTTACTGCTGTCACACTTCTGTACAGTCAGCAGTATGACTTCGCCCTCAGACCTTGGGCTTGTTGCTTTTAGTCTTACCGCTCTTCAACTGACCTGTCTGGCATAGTAGGACCTTGAGGAACGGTTGTTCCAGCCAGTATAGCTCGGTTGCTTCATCACGATAGGCAAGCCCGACCACCACGTCAAGGTAGCAACAATGGTCGGGAAAATAATGTTATAACAATGATTGTGAAGAAGTTTAAACAAAATAAAAAGGTATGTATGATTGAATACTGTAACTAAAAATCTGAAGTGAATTTATTTAATTCTCTATGATCAGTAATGGGCCATATCACCTAATGTCTTCAACCACTGATTACGATCATTACGTAGGTCTCAACCAGGCAGTTTACAGTAACTGAAATGTCTTAAATCAACAATGAATGACTTCACTGACAAATACATCATGTTGGTAGACGCAAAATACATCCTTTACTATATCCTTATATGCAATCTTTCATTTATATATTTCCACCACTGAATTAACTACGTCTATGTATCCGGTGTTCATCTTGTTGTGCTGATGAGATATGACAACTTGAACCGATGCACATGTGTTCCTGGTTCGACGTTGTACCTGACTGACTGACGACATCACATTTTAATTTCAATTTCCAACTATAACACTAAACATAATCAGTCAATTCGAACATCTTAGACACATATGTCATTTTTTAATTAAAAAAGAAAATAAAGTAACCAAGTGAAATGAATGTGCATTCAATGAAATGTATCCTCGAAATGAAATAAATTAGGAATAGCTTACATATAATTTATAACCATATATGATAAATAACTTGTTTTACACCAAATTCTCCATATATGTGACCAATTCAACTCATTATTAACTTCAGTTGACAATATTGAAAATTGATGAATTAAACCTGGAGATAAATCATCTATTGTTGTCTTTTCTATGAATAATTTTCTTGTGACTAAAAATAATTATTGAACAATTAAAATTATGACAATGATTTCTTTTTAATTTCAATAGTTAAGATCATGAGTCAATTGAAGCTAGATCACCATGGAAAATCTAGAAGTACTGGACGGTTGTTTCGTCTAATTGTAGGACTCCTCAGTAGTGCACATTCACAATCCCGCCACACGAGATTCGAACCCAGGACATATAGGCCTTGCGCGCGCGAATGCTTAACCTCAAGACCATTGAGCCTGTATCCAACGACGTTAATGTCTAACTTCAACTATAATTTAGTTAATCTGTATGATGTCTTCAATAACATTATAGAATAAGAACGAAATGATCAGTATTGAGAATACGATTTCTAAATCCCTGCATGTAATTCAAATATCATGTATAATGTGAAGTAGAAATATCTCTGTCTACTGCTCAAAATGCTCAAAATAAAAAATTATTTCTTCTCCCCGTTTATAGAGTAAAAGTGATAGTGTACAGAGAGTAACTAATTATTAGTGTAATAGCATATAATTGTTTTTTGTTGATATGCAGTACTCCAATTGATTGTTTTATACTGGCATATGTGCATCCTGAGCTAATCGCCTCTATTTGGCCACTTTACTGATCATTTTTAGAACATTCTAATTATGGCTGCCTTATTAGATGATGTTTTTTTTATTTATTTTGTTATGATTTGCTTTATTCAACATTATGTTTTTGGTACAATATAGAATTCTCAGCCCAAAGTATATCAGCACGTTTCCTTTTCTTATTTCTTGATCGGTATTGAAGATAAATATTGAGTGATGGCTAGTTAAACGTTATCAGTACAGGAATCGATATGTGAACAGTGTTCATTTCTTTCAATACATACTGCCAGCAACCACAATGTTTCTGATTGTACTTTCTTGTAACTTGTACTTGTTAACTTTTCACAAACGCGGCTTAATAGCTGATGCAACTAATTGACATAATTAACTCTTAAAACAAACATGAAAACAGAAAACTTTTTGAAATATCTAGATGTCAGGAAAAAGGTAGTCCAGATATTCAAGCAGGCCACCTTGTTGTTGACGTTGAAAGCGAAAGATAATGAGTTCGGGTCTGTATATGAATATCAAAAATTAGGATCAAGGTACATGTGGTTGGTGATTACCAAATAAGACAAAACACGAATCCTTAAATCTACTGTTTTGCTTTTTCGTCGTTTCTGCCTACACTTCCACTGACTCTGGCCCAGATAAAGCTTTTTGAACTCCTTTATAAGGCTGAAAACTCAGATATATTACTCGTAGCAAGTTACTTAAATGTACAGGTAGGTAGCTTAAATCAAGCAGAAAGACACTAAGGTGGATATTTTGGTATTCCAACTCAACGAAACAAATAAAATATACCATTATCGAGTCAATCTACTCAGAATGCACACATAATAACAAAGATTATCCTGATCAAACACTCCTTTATTTTTATTTTTATTTGAGCACATAGATATTGGTACAAGGATGCACCAAATACATATGCGCCACAGAAATCTCATTTGATATGTATTACTGCTCGGGTGCCAAAATCGAGGCAGGTGGTTTTCTTAGGAGGCCACACCCGGAGCCTTCGACCCGAAGGTCTGATCCACAAATCGGTATAGTCCCATGGTAGGCGGTGGCCAACAACAGGTTCACATGCCATTTGTTCCCTGGAGCCTATGTGCAACATTGGTTCGGAATCAGGGTTTTCCAACTCCCCTAGGTGGATTCATCGTGTCCACCAACCCAGTCATAGAAACGGACATTCGCGATTAGACGGTGGTTGGAGGTAGTCGACAGGAAACTTTGGACCCGCGTTTCGTGCTACTTGGCACTCGTCAGCAAGCTGTACCTGTAATCTCGAGAGAACTGGTGAGCCCTGAAGGATTCGATCCCGTGTCACCCAGCTTCACAGTCAGAGACGTTACCACTGAACTATCCGAGCAGCGACTGACCTCCTGTAGGACGGAAATGTAATCACAATCAACTGTGAAACGGACATTCGCTTTACGTGCTCTCAATTTCGTAAACAACACTTCCGCCACGAGAAGGCAGGGAGTAGGACATCCCTGGCAATGGCTGTATACGCGTGACCATATGAGAGCGTTTCAAGAGGGAGAGAAGACTCTCTCCACTCTTGACCGTATTAAAGCATTTAAGGGCCCACAAACTCTTACGAATAATTTACCATTTTACTTAATAAAAATAAAATTAACAATAAAGCATACAACTTACATTTAAAAGTTTTAACCGCTTTTAATAAATTCAAAATGTTACCATTATTTAAAAATGTCAAATGTTCAATAGACTGGTCACTTAAATCTAACAATATCCATTCTTCAAACATATTTGATATATCCACTTCTAATTTAGAATCATTATTATCATCATTTAAAAACAAACTTGTTAAATGTTCATTTGAATATGGAAATAAGTGTTTTAATGAAATTATTTTATTATATACATCAAATTGTTTTATATTGGAATGTGTTGTTGAAATAAGATTAAATTTATTAAGATATGAATTCAATTGATCTGGTATATTGAATATCATCATATCAACATCATTATTTATTTCTTGATTGTTACTGTTTTCCTCAATTGAAACTGAAGATGAATTTAATTGTTTTGATAATGATGATGTTGGTGTTGATGATGACAATTCAGATGATGCCGATCCTGATGATGATGATGTTGATGTTGTGGATGGTGATGATGATGATTTGTATGTTGATAATAATGTTGACTCGGATAATGATGATAAATACTTATTCAATTGTTTACTCTTTGTACAATGATACCAATTGATTGTAGAAATAAGTATTTTTAAAATGGTACTTTTACCTGATCCAACTGAGCCAATAATTAAAATTGGACGATTTACATTTATTAGTTGCCATAATTCAATTATCTGAAAAAAACAATTTTTTTTTAGAAAATAAAGGAATTCACTTCAACAAATCGGTGGGTAAATGCAAATTACCTACATAAAAAAAACTTGTAAATACACGTTTAATATCAGATGGATTTTTTGTGGAGATTGTAGTAATTTCAATGGTTAAGATCATAAGTCAGTTGAAGCTAGACCACCATGGAAAACCTGGAAGCACTGGACGGCCGTTTCGTCCTATTGCTCGTGCGCGAAACCAGTAGGTCCTGGGTTCGAATCTCGCAGGGGGCGAAGTCGTGGATGCGCACTGCTGAGGAGTCCCACAATAGGACGAAACGGCTGTCCAGTGCTTCCAGGTTTTCCATGGTGGCCTAGCTTCAACTGACTCATGATCTTAACCATTGAAAATACACCTTTATTGAAGATTTGGAGTTTTTTCCCAGAACGGCATATTCGATAAAAAATGTCGATGAAATGTTTGTTCGCGTTTTTTTCCTATTATTCTCGATCCTCTCCTCATCCAATTCTTTTTACTGTATTCATTATACTACTTATTAGTATATAGTAACCAGTTTTAATTCAAATAACATTTGAGTATAAAAAGTGTGATTTTTAGCCGTTTGCATCATTTTAAGATTTGTTACAATATCTAGTGTACTCATTGGGCATTTATTTTGTTGTAACACATTCCACTTTTGTTGACTCTCATTTTTGATTATTGTCTGCTCTTCACGTTTTGACACAGTTACTAGATCGCATATAGTTTACTGAAGATTTCTTGCCGGGACTGTAATTTATGGAGGAACCAAACAGGTATAAGATAACAGGTCGTGGATTTTATCCATTTGGCTAAATAGATCTAATTCCTAACCTTAACCATAAACTGTAAATCATAATTCGAATTCCTTACACTAATTTATAACACTCATTTAGTCCTAGTTATCAAGTAGACACTCTTAAGGTCAGTCTAACGTTACTCAAAGGTCGTCCAGAAATTAGTCTCACCGGTCCCTCCTTTGTACATTGATACGGTATTCATATTATATACCCTAAGAATTGTTGTTTGTAAGTCATTCCATATAATTTCATAATAATGGCACCATATATGCTAATAGTATTACATTTGCAATCACCGAATTTTACGCGTCACTTAAACCATATTCTATAGTAATCTTTAAATGTCGAGTAGTTCACAGGTAGGATAGGAAGCTGAACGGTAAAATTACAGAAATTAATGAATCATTTTAGCTGAAACGCCTGTTCATTTTATTTTTAATTTGTGTATTTAATAGGAATCCAGTTATTTGAAATAAAGCTTTATTACATTCAACTTCAACCTTAACTCATTCATTTTGTTGGTCGTTGCATAAACTAACTAGTCCATAGGATATTAAGACAATACCTACATAATTTATGCTAGATTTTACAATGAAATTCACCAATGTAATTATCATAATTTGTGGCCTGTGTGCCCTGATAATGCATAACGTTACGATACCGCCAATTAAACAGCAGTGAATTATCGACCGGACCAATGACGCATAAAACCCGTGCGAGCAGTCTAGAGTCCTGATTGGTACTACTTTCCGCCTAGCCCAGCCAGTTACGTCCAAAACACCACTCTCAGCCTCTGGAATATGAACCATTCATTTAAAGCAAACTGGGTTTATATACCAACTAAACAGACCGCATCGTACCATAAAATAGGAAACAACATTTATACAAGATTTGGCCAAATGTAGATGTGAATGTGGGAGATAGTAATTGATAGACCGGGCATAACTCAAGAATGGTAAATCGTATAATAATATTTCGTAGATCAAAATAAAGCTTATGATAAGTGGAACACAAATATGAATAGTTTAGTTACTTAACAAATACACGACAAAAATATACGTAGCAGGTTAAGTGCAGTGACCAATTAAATCAAATTCACTCGACTGTTATTCAAATAACTGTATTTGCAAATAGAAATCGATTGTTTAACAAATGATTTAACACTTCAACAGAAAAACAGCGCTCCTTATTAAAAGGTTTTATGTATTAATCTGACTTTGATAGACGCAAACTATCTGATTGGAGTATGAGTGACGAATGCTATCAGTGCTTTAAGACTTTTGGTGAAATGGCTAAAAATAGGTTGCAATTGCATAGATTTATTTGCACTTGATCATCATTTCAATCTTAACTTCTAATGTCCCTTCATGTACATAATTCTTTTCTGTCTTCTCAAACCATATTCTCAAGGTTTAGTCTTTTTTTGTATCAGTCCTACCACATTGTGTAAACCTATTTTGTTATTCTCATCTTGTCGTGTTAATATAATATGGCAACTTGAGTCAACGAGCATCTGTTCCAGGCTCCATGTTGATGATATATTTTAGTCTGTACCAGTTCAATTGGTGGATAAACTTATAATTCAAAAGGACAATTTTGTAGTTGTTGTTTTCATTGAGCTGGATGACTCAAGTTTGGATCGTTCATTATCCACATAGAAAACACCATCAGCACAAACTTCAGATAGAACTGTGCTATTTAAGTTTATTTACATATAATTCACATCTCAGGTGAAAAAGGATTATAACCAAGATAATTATGTGTACAATATACGGGACAAGCATAAATGATCACTTATCAAATTCAAGGTCGACAAAGTAAGTTCCCAGTCATATATGGACAAATTAAAATAGCTCATTTTTATATAAATTTTACACTGACGATGTCATCTAGAAAGTTAATCGAAACTTTACAATCATACAATCCAGCTTAAAGAAAGCAATTCTAAAAAATACATTATTCATTACAACCCATATAAGCAGTTTCAATGCATTAGTCATTCAGTCAGCCAGGCACATATGTACATCGATTCAAGTTGTCATATCTAATTAGCATAACAAGATGAACACCGAATTCATAGTAGTTAATTCAGTGGTGGTAATATATAAATGAGAGATTGCATATAAGGAAATAGTACAGGAAGAAAGAATTATTTTATAGAAAGATCTGAGGTGATTTTAATCTCTTAGTTTAAAGAAAAACAGAGTGTGCATACAACAACGCCATTGTAATCAATTCTGAGCCATGTCACCAAGACTCTCCAACCATTGGTTACGATAGTCACGCAGACCCCAGCCAATTATTCTGCATCTACCAACATGGCTCACACCAGAAGTTAGTGACTTCAAGCATTGGTTTGGCCGCCCCTAACTTTCTTCCAACCATCTCCAACACCGGTTAGCATTGCACGTCGTGGTAACCGGTGTCCAGGCATACATAACACGTGGCCCAATCATCTCATTCGATGAAGATTCACAACCTCATCAACTGATTTACCATCATTATCTAATACCTTGCGTCGGACCTCACTATTACTTACCCGGTGATTCCAGCGAATGCGAGCGATATTTCTAAGTCATCTGTGGTTAAATACTAGTAGCTTAAGAGTATCTTCCCCTCTTAATGGCCATGTTTCACAGCCGTACAGTAAAACAGAACGAACTGCCGCGCACTATACTCGTTCTTTTATTGATAGACGGATATCTCTCCTTCGCCATAGGTGACGTACGTTGGCAAAAGCTAAACGAGTTTTTCGAATCCGCATTAGGATTATAATCATAATTTACATGGTGTATATTGGTCTTTTTTCACTTGTAAACGTGTTTCAATAGAAGATGCTTCTATTAAACAGTGTTACAGAATGACAATAAAAACTCGTTGGATTTAATCTTACAAGGTGTAGGAAAATGAGTAAAACCGTTTATCAAGTCATATCCCACAAAGAAAAAAATAGGCTTGTCGTGAAGTCATACTAAAAACAAACAAAATTCCAGATATCTGCACTAATATTTTGAATGAATCCTGGAACTTATATTATAAATAGTTTATTTTAAAACACTAACAATATTTCAGTCTTATCTGCTTCAAAAAATTCGTTGGAAGTCTGTTGCTTATCTGCTCTCTATTTCTGTTGTTTAAAACATTCCTGAAAATCATCCGACGTTAAACTCTTCATTTTATTCTTATACATTTTTTTCTGACCCTATGCTGTTCATTTATTCTTTAAGACGATTTCTGAAATTGGTGATTGACTTATAAAGAGTAATTGTTTTCAATACACTATCTCGATAAAAACGAAATTTGATATTCATTCTATAATTTTCCTTAGAATTTCCACAAGATTTCTATAAAACCTTGATCTTAAAAAGGCAGTTGGAAATCAGAAGGAGGTTTTGTGGAGATTGTAATAATATCAATAGTTGAGATCATGAGTTAATTGAAGCTAGACCACCTGGAAGCACTAGACGGCCGTTTCGTCTTATTTTGGGACTCTTCAGCAGTTGGAAATCTTGATTTCTGAAAATTTCTACGAATGATTTTTTTGAAATAATATTAAAGACGATAGAAAACAGGTATTGCCACAAGATGACAAAAAAATGATACATGAATTGTTAATGACCTTATCTAACATCATGGTTATGACAAAGTAGTCAATCAAAGATAATCAAAATACGTATACACTTACCTTTATTAACTGACCACTGACTATTTCTAAATTACGTACATACATTTCTCTTAACAATCGATAAATAAATTCCCATGAAACTTTTGGATACAGATTATTATCATCACATTTTAAACATTCTTCATTACCAGACATGAAAGGTAATGCAGAATTTAAAGATAAATATTGCTCAATGGTTGATAACCAATCAAAATCTAAGTTGGATTGTAATAAAACTTTCTTGAAATTATCTTTCATACAATCCATAGATAAATTTATTCTATAAGCTTTAGATAATCCATATCGTATTGCAATTTCAACTAATCTATCTTCTTCCTTTCTCAATATTACTAATGATTTGAGTGCAGTATGTTTACGTATATCTTGAAGATGATTAAATTTCTCTAACCAAAATTGTTTAGCATATTCAAATGTTTTGATAATAGTTGAAAGTGACAAGTAGTAGGTATTTGTTTGTTTATAATGAAGAACTGATTCATTTGTAAAATATGTTAAAGATCTATTCAACAAATTGACTAGTCTATGCTTTATTGAAGAACTTTGATATTCAGGTAAATAATATTTGAAAAGACATTGTATAATAAATGAATAATTTGGCCATCCAATGGTTACATTACGAAACGAAAGCTGTATACAGAAAATTCACAAAGTATATAATGTTAAAGATTTGAATAAAGGATGAATGAACCATTTAAATAGTTTACTGAAACGATTCAACATGGTAATATGCTTTAATGAAAAAGTAACTGAAAACGTTTTTATACTATCCGGCCTCAATGAGAAAGAGTTTGTAGTTTTCCGTTGACTGTAAACTAGCTTAACTACACCTTGTGATTAAATGACAATATCGAAACAATTCTATCAAGATACACTTAGGCCAACAGAGGTCAAAGAATTGCAATCTATACCATAAATAACTGGAAAATTCAAACGCTTTAAAATAATTCATATTTATCGAAAACGTAAATAACAATCTGAACTGAGTAGCTTAGAAGATAACTTGTTGATGTTTAAATTTATGCGTAATGTATCCAAGTCCCAGTGTGGAAATGAACACTGGTTTCAAGATACATCTAGAGAATGAGTTCCAAATATGGAAAAATGAGCACAAAGGGCGTTTCATGCATTCATTATGAATTATTAAGGCATTTTAGTTGAAGTTGCGCGGATTACATGACTATTTTATTTACTTTAAAGCATACTAGGCAATATTTATGGAGAATAGGAATGAAACTATATCGTCAGTCATCAGTCGTAATAGACTGGTATAGCGATCACCAGTATACATATTTCTGTCTATGTATATACATTTAACTTTGATTCAATGGTATACCACAATCTAAGCTTCAAACAACTTCCTTTAAATCAAAGTTAAATATTTTGAAAGCAAGAAGTACAAAATAAACATTTTAGAGAAGAGAAAGAAAAAATGCTTCTTACTTTTTGTACTTTTGGCAGATTCTGAAAATTTCGAGAATCATATGTACCGAATAATCCAAAACTGCAATCCATTCTAATACTTTGATTAAATAAACATTGTTTCGGTTCAGAAATATATTGATTACAATGATAAGTGATTAACTTGTGACCTGAAAAATTAATTGTTAATGAATGTATCCGAAAGTGTTTTGTGGATATTATAGTAATTTTTAATAGTTGAGGTCATGAATCAATTGAAGCTAGACTACCATGAAAAAACCTGAAAGCACTGGACGGCTGTTTCGTCTTATTGTAGGTCCTGGATTCGAATCTCGTGAGGCCGGATCGTGGATGCTCATTGTTGAGTTGTCCCATAATAGAATAGACCATTGTCAAATAGCTAACACTTTTCTAATATGGTCTTAATAATTTCAGGGACTGACGAATGTTATAATTTGACAATTTCTACAGTTTTTCCCTCAAAACACGTTTGCTTATCTATTGAATATCAATTTAGATAGCAGATTATAACAGTCGCCGTAAATGCAACTTTATAGTAGGTCTTAACTAATATAAGATATAAATCTCCAAAATAAACTTGTAATTTAAGTAGTATTTCTATAATCTCATCACATATTCAAGATGAATATATCTATTACGCTGTTTTAAATAGCTACATATGTTTGAATTTAAATATTCCATTTTATTTGTAATATGGGTTAGTTTCAACAAGTTAAAGAGGGAGAAAACTACATTTTGTTGAATAATCAAAGTAAATGCTTACTATTTTTATCAATGTTCTCAATAGATTGTTGAAGATTCTTTGTAAAATCTGCAAACTGAAAAGAAAGGATTGTAGAAATTAATTAAACAGTTAAGTATTACAAATTTATTCTATAAAATTATCTCAGTAGTTGAAATCATGAATCAACTGAAGCTAGACCACCATAGAAAACCCGAGGCACTGGACGGCCGTTCCGTTCTAGTATGAGACTCCTCAGCAGTGCGCACCCACGAATCCACCCACCACCAGATTCGAACCCAGGACCTACTAGTGTCGCGCACAAGCGCTTAACCATTAGACCACTGAGCCGGCCGGTATCCAACGGTGTTAATGTCTAACTTCAACCAATTCCCGAAGTTAACACCGTTCCTAAAAATTTCCACAAAACCCTTTCTGATGATAATCATCTACTCACCAGTGACTGACTTCAATAGACATTTCGTGGAGTTCTAGTGAGAAGCCGTTACCAATGGAGTTCAACCAGGTCTGTTGTGAGATATCAGCTCAGTGAAGACAATGGTGTACGATGGCGTATTTTCGTGGATTGGTTGAAGTTGGATGTTAACACCGTTGGATACCGGCCGGCTCAGTGGTCTAATGGTTAAGAGCTCGCGCGCGAGACTGATAGATCATGAGTTGGAATCTGGCGTTGGGCGGGATCGTGGATGCGCACTGCTGAGGAGTCCCAAGATAGGACGAAACCGCCGTCTAGTGCTCCCAAGTTTTCCATGGTGGTCTAGCTTCAACTGACTCATGATTTCAACTATTGAAATTTCTAAAAATCTCCACAAAACCCCTTCTGATATAAAATTATCATTTGTATAGGAACAGAAGCGGTCAGAGAAATTTAACAAAATCGGAGGGGGAATAGCAAGTTGAATTTGAACCTGTTTAATAGAGTATATTTTGATATTTAAGTCAAAGAAAAGAGTTGTACTAATCTACAAGCAGTGATTATCTCCTCCTTTTCAAATAACCTCCGTAACAAAAATCGATTGACAACTAAAAGACATTAAACAGCTTGTTTGTTCTAGTAGAAAGCTGAGACAAATTAGTCAGGCAATTATGAACAATGTAAAAACTAACACACATTTACATCGGTTCTCACATCATATCAACACAGTCAGATGAAACTATCAATAGAGAACCCGTAGTCATAATAGAATTAGTAACAGAATCAGTAGTAGTAAGATTGATTAATCTTAGACAATATAATTCGAGAAGTCAACCAGTTGAGAGTATAGTATTTACTCATTAATGAAGAAATTAGATGCGGATCACAGTGAATTCCAATTTTAGTGCAATAGAAAATAACTAATATTTGATGTCTTGAGCTCAATACCATGTGATCTATTGAGTGAATATAGTTGTAAAGTATTAAACTAACACGAAGCATTTTTCAAGATAAGGTCAGTTCATGATAGAAATTGATATTGATATGTACAAATTCATCGCATAACTAATATAAATAACTCAGTAAAATAGTTGAATAAACTCACTTGAATCCGACCGTTGCTCATAAAATTACATTTTCGAACTTCATTCAAACAGTTTATCACGATTTCCAATTCTCCAAATTTTAAGTTCTTTGTTATAGAAAAAATGTTAAAAATACTTCATACCAGTTCTAGATATTCAATAGTTAACAACAATGTATAACTTAGAGAACAAACTCAAACACGACAGTTTACGTAGAAGAGAAAGAATATGGAATTCAGGATATGTGTTTTGTATTACTTGGGATTCATCAGTTGAATGTACCTGGATCTCAGAGTTGATGTTCACACCTGAACTCGAGCCTAGTATCATTCGTCTTAAACTCCAACCCGTTATCCAATTAGAAATAAATCTGGTTAAAAAACTTCTGGTGTAACGGAAATGATTTTTAATTCAATTTGTAGTGAATTGGATTACCTCGCTGCCAATATTTAGATTGAAATTTGATCAGTCCGGGTTAGTATATAACCAGCTAATACTTGGTAAGAGTCCTGGAGTGAAAATCAAACCTAAGATACAGATGCATACAGCTGACGAGACCCGGTTACGATTAAACATGCGTCAAATATCCCACTGCTAGCCACATTCAATCTATTCTATACTAAATTGTGTAATGATCGTTATATTGAAGAAATTCACGCAGAATGCACATATTCCAACCAAGACCAATCATATTTCAGTCAAAATACCAATGATTGGATAATTTTAATAACTATAAGCATGATCCTAAAACTGTACAGATAATTTGAGAAAACTTATCCAACTATAAGAAAAGATGAATAACTGAACGATTAATTACATTACTATATAATACTTCATTTGGTAGAAAAACGTCCAGCTGCATAACGGAGTTAATTTATTTATTCACTAAAAAACTCCCTTTGTATTAACACGCAGTTATATGAACGACGAATATTCTTTTTAATGGTGAGGAAGATTTGTACCTCAGGTGGATGATTTTGATGAAGTTTAGTTCTCTGAGCTGGATGTTTCTTTCCAATAATTTCTCATCAAGTTCTACAATTATCTCATGTTCAAATTAATAATCCATAAAATCGTTCAGATTTAAGGCAAAGTACATCATCTGAAATCATAACATGTAAACCAAGGATTGTTGTTTGTTACATCAAATCAAATCAAATCGTTGATGTTAGTGTTGACTAATATAATAAGTGAAATGAAATTGTGAGATAAATAATAATCAGAATAAATATGGTCAACATGGAGTGTGAGAGAGAAAGTCCATTTCAAATCCAATGGTGAAATATGTAGACAAATATATGATGTCGCGATGGGTTCACCCTACGTCCCATATTGACCGACATTTTTCTCTCTAAACTAGAAAACGGCCCATTGGCACAACAGATCGACAAGTTTTCATTTTACTGCTGGTATGTGGACGAAACGCTTATCCTTTGTATCAACCATACGAACTTGATTGAAACACTCGGTTAACAGCTCCATTTTAGACCATTTAATTCAGACGGGACATACAGCCAACATGGAGCAATCTTTCGCAATAATATATTATGTTAACGGCAGTCTACCTAATTCTGTCAGACTAAGATATCCTACAGACGGCTGAAGCAATTGCTATTCGAATCAAAAAGTCAGAGCTTTGCATACAAAAGAAATATGTTCAGCCGTTCCTTTAACCCTGGTCAATTTCGGTGCCAACTAGTTAATAATCAATTTTATAATATAGTGACGTAATTTGATTAATGTTCACTCTTATATCCCAAACTTACCCACACATAATACCATTGCTATTATTATTATTATTATTACACTCGCTAACCTTTTTGGGGAATTTATTCAGCATCCAATCCCATCTACTATATCTGACTTTATTCATATTATCCTACATATTGCGTAATTTCTGATTTGTAATTACATTATTCTCTCACGCACCCCATATTGATCATTTACCTCACAATTTCATTTCACTCATTATATTAGTCAACACTAACATCAACGATTTGATTTGATTTGATGTAACAAACAACAATCCTTGGTTTACATGTTATGATTTCAGATGATGTACTTTGCCTTAAATCTGAACAGTTTTATGGATTATTAATTTGAACATGAGATAATTGTAGAACTTGATGAGAAATTATTGGAAAGAAACATCCAGCTCAGAGAACTAAACTTCATCAAAATCATCCACCTGAGGTACAAATCTTCTCTACCATTGAAAAGAATATTCTTCGTTTATATAATTGTGTTTTAATTCATTTGTTCCATGTCATAGTTAAGTTATTTAAGATCATACCACAGCTATAAATAAACTCATTAAATTTACTCATTATCTTTCTTCACATTCACACGTATATACAAAGACATGTTTTACATAGAATCTCATTTTCTCCGACTGACACAACATTTACGTGATCTGACATGCTTGTATGTCTTATTTGTATGAAGTTACTAGACGTTAGAAATCTATTTTATTTTCAAATCATCACAAATATATTATTGAGTTCATGAACCGTTCTAAATCATATAACTTTTGGAAAACTAGAAGCACTGGATGGCCGTTCTGTTAAGGTATGTGACTCCTCATTAGTGCGCATCTACAAACGCATATTTACAATGGTAGTCTAATGTTGATCGGTTCACCACCTCAATGAAATCCAACAATCTTCACAATCCTTTATGCACAAATATATCATTTTCAACAATATAAATTCTTTACCTAGTCGTCAATTCATTTAAATTTACCATGTCGAGTGTTGCTAATGATATTTAGGATCTACTTATACCTCTACAGCCTAATAACCGTTTATCAACGAACTGGTACTAATCATTCAAAACCATGATAAATCGTCAAATCCTATAACCTTTATCAACAAAAATTGGTCGATAGAATGAGTGTAATATTCCTAGTATCAGTTTAATATGACCTGAATGTATTCAGTGAACTGATTTCTTTTAGAAAAAGAAACCATGAATAAACTTATAGAAAATAGAATTCACTCTGAATGAAAAAAACCCGCTTACATGCATATTCATTATTGAAAATAAACAACCAATTCGTATGCAACTAAGAATATCATTTTTTAATGTATTCTCAAATGTATCATTGAAGATGTTAAATGAAAATTCTATAAGACGACGACCAAGTAAAAAAGCAAGTTGACGAATTATCGTTTGTTTACCACTTCCAAATGATCCAATTAATAGTCCAAACTTTGAAATGAAGCAAAACAATTGAATGATTTACTTTGTTTTACTGAAAATATCTTTATTTCATAGTAACATTATTGAAAACGATTGTACATTCTTTTAAATATAAGTATGAATTGATCAGAACTGATAGGGAAACACAGAACGTTTTCCAACCATTACATAAATCAACACAACAGCATTGCTTATGTACTAGGTAAGTAGCTATCGAAATTACATCGTGACGCCTATCAACAAGATGCTTGGGATACATTCAATAACTTAATTTATTAAAAAAAAACAATGCACCAACAGTATTAAACTTAAAAAAAAAAGATTATTCCACCCAGTCGGTATTAGTTCCTTATACCAGAGATCGATCTTTTATGATGATTATTTTTAGTCTTATCACAACTGATCAGCCAAGATGTTCGTTTTGTCTTACTTAAACAGATATTATGAATCAACGTATAACCACTGAAGATTATTTTAATCGATTTTCAGTACCCGAATAGTGGTTAAGCGAGATAAAAGCCTAGATTACGTAAAGCTTTTAATTTAAGGATAGTTTTCATCATGAATTAAAATTATCCTAATACTCATTAAAACCCATATAAACGTTGAGTAACAGTTTGGTCAAAGCAAAGTAGTATGCAACCACAATTCCACATGACAAAATGCCTACAACATTTAGATCTTATGTTAAACATGTTACTCTTGGATTGCAGCGTTCGTGGCCATTTATCCACATTTTCAAACTTACTCAATCATCTGTTTTGACGTGATATAATTATGAAAGGTTGTCGGTAGTTAAATGACTTACACACAATATCATTAAACCCGATTAGATCACAACGTCATATTAAAAATTAAATGTCAATCTGTATTATTTTAAGTTTTTTTTCTAAAATTTGCAAAAACCATCTAAAATATTTGACCACATATGAATATAGAAGCTGATGTTTTGAATACACAATACTGAATCATGAGACAGTCTTCATAACAGAATAAAACTTGATTGACGATGGTTGATAAGAGCCAAATTCTAAAAAAGCTGAATTTAACAATAATCAGAAAGATAGATGAACATGTTCTTAAAGAACATCTCTACTAACTAACTTACCTACCCGATTTGAGTATGAACAAGTATTACATTATATCAGACTGGTCACAATCATTACAGTATTCCTTCAGTTAATATTTTATTTTATTTATTCGGATATAAAAATATTGGTAAAAAGTTACACCGAATAGATATGCACCACACAAGTCACTTGATTTTTATGTGGGCTGTGATACTGCTTGGGTGCCAAAATCGAAGCAGGTGGTTTTCTTGGGAGGCCACACCCGGAGCCTTCGACCTGAAGGTCTGATGCACAAGGCAGTGTAGTCCCATGGTAGCCAGTGGCCAAAAACAGGTTCATATGCCATTTGTTCCCTCAAGATCATGGAGCCCATATGCAACATTGTTTTGGAATCAGGGTTTCCCAACTTCCCTAGGTGGATCCTCCGTGTCCACCAACCCAGTCAAAGAAAGAGAAATTCGCTTTTCGTCCTCTCAATTTCGTAAACAACACTCCCGCCACGAGAAGGCAGTGAGTAGGACATCCCTAGTAGTGGATGTATACGCGTGGCCATGTGAGAGCATTTCTCAAGAGGGAGAGCGGATTCATCCCACCCTCGGCCATACCAGGGCATCGATACTGAGTATCTTTATTCCTGAACATTCTTTTATGATGATTTTTGCATCATGAAAACATTTAATCAAATAGAATGTAATATTTATATTTCTGTAATTTAGTATAAGTTATAATTCATATACCTTCTGCAGTTAAGCGGTAATTTTATCTGACATAGTAAGTAGTGTAACTAATGTTTAATTAAAATAGCTTGTCATACAGACATAAAAAATATATTCAAGCCTCAAAAAAAATATATGAACCAGTTGAAGTCAGTATAAGAATAGTGGAAAGTTGTAACTTGTGAGACTTGGTCATGTTTGATGTGAAACAGATATTATTTATAACATTGGTTTATTATCGTACTATACTACGAATCAAGAGAATTTCGGTAATCTAGCCCAGTGTAACACTAACTCAGTGATTTAATAAAGCTGGTGTGTTAATATCTGCATAAACTACCTCTTTACCTTGAACGTAACTGTTCAAATACTACTTACTAATTAAATATGTAATATTAGAGAAACTGGAAATAATTGTAAGTAATATGATTGAGTTTCACGTAAAATGCATCACAAAAAATCGATCTTGTTTTCAAAAATTACTATTGAATTGTATTATACTAAATAAATATATTTTTTTAAATGGTTGATATCATGAGTCAATTGAAGCTAGATCACTATGGAAAACCTGAAAGCACTGAACGGCCGTTCCGTCTTATTGTGGGACTCCTCAGAAATATGCATCTACGCCCCTGCCCCGCGTGATTCGAACCTACGACCTAACAGTCTCGCGCCTGAGCACTTAACCTCTAGACCTATAACCTCTATATATTTTTCAAATCTCTCACCTCATGATTATTCAACGCTGATCCAAGTTGAATTAATTCTTGTGAAGTATTTAATAACGGTATATATAATGTGTTATTATTGATTAGTAAACTTTGATTATCCCATTTATAAGGATGAATTGTTGAAAATTGTTTGATCCCAATTGTTGGAATATCATTGTACTCATTTAATTCATTCGAAAAGTACTCATTCCTTTCAGGATTCAATATTGAACTGATAAGTTGTGTTTTAATTAACCGTTGCCAGATAAAATTATTCTCGTCTAAATTTGACTCTTTTCTCAACTCTATACTCACAAAAATTCAAATATACTTAATTGATTAGTTCATATGTTTATAATATATAATAACACACCAATAAAACACTTCCTTATAGAGGTATCAGAGAAATTAAGTACCTATAAGTTTTTAATTGAACTCATGAATCGATTAATGCTAGACCGCCAGTAAAAATCTGGAAGCACTAAATAGCCGTTTCATCTTGGGTTCGAATCCTGAGTGTGAGATCGTGGATGAGCACTGCCGAGGAGTCTCATATTAAGAAGAAAAAGCCGTCCAGTGCTTCCAGATTTTCAATGATGGTCTTACATCTATCGATTCATGATCTCAATCGAAAACTGAACAACCTCCACAACCTTATACTGATAACCAAGTTATTGAATATTCAGGCAAATCTTCTTTATAAATTTTTTTTACTTTAGTATTAATAAATAGTTCCATTTATCTCCAAAGTTTATATATATGAACGGGATAGTTCAATTGCAAAGCTTTCATTGTCGTTCTAGATATTAATGCCTAACTCAAACAGAAATGAGCATTTTGATTATTTCACAGATAATAATCCGTTCCGTTCTGATGACCGGTTCTAATTTGTAACCTTGACAGGGTTCATCATTTGCATATTTGTCGAAATTCTTTGTTGAAAATGTTTCAAGAATGCCAGAAAATTTATTTGTAATCAATAGAATTGTCGATATGGATTAGAATAACAGTCCATAATGATAAAGTCGTTCACTTACATAGTCACAATTTAATTGTTAATATTATGATCAAGAAAAAAACATGTATTAGAATGCAATCACAACACGTAATTCAATTCACAGGACACCTCATAAATAATATCAAACAAATAGTAAGAATTAATAAGTTGTTCAAAATGAACATTTTTGATGATTATTAGTCTTAATTGCGAATCATAGTGAACCAGTAGAAGTAATGTCGTATCACCTAGACTGGTGGCAACATTTCAACCTGGTCGATAGGACTCGATCTGCACTAAGAAGGACCTGACATACATGATATTGATTACCGCCTAGTGATCAATCAATTGTAAAGGAAACGAATTAATACATTGAAATAATTTTACAATCGTATGAGATTAACATTTGACTGCAAGAAGGAATTACCATATATTGCAATGTACAGATCCTGACAACTAATTGAGTAGATCATAATCTACTGAGTGACATCATGTGTTATTTCGAAATGACTGACACGGAAAAACATCTATACGATACATGGGATAAATGTTTTTAAAAATTATACACTGAGAATATGAAAGAAATTGGCCGGACACTATTAACAACAACCTACTGTGGGAGAGAACAAACCAGATCTCAGCGGAGGAAGAAATCAGGAAGAAGCGCTGGAAGTGGATAGAACACACATTGAGGAAAGCACCCAACTGCGTCACAAGACAAGCCCCCCACATGGAATCCTCAAGGCCAAAGGAAAAGAGGGAGACCAAAGAACACATTACGCCGGAAAATGGAGATAGACATGAGAAAAATGAACAAGAATTGGATGGAACTGAAAAAGAAGACCCAAGACAGAGTGGGCTGGAGAATGCTGGTCGGCGACCTATGCTCCATTAGGAGTAAGAGGCGTAAGTAAGTAAGTAATATGAAAAAAATAAGCATTACCTTGTATTAAATAAATAAATCCCAAAATTGTTCCAATCAACATTTGGCATGTTAACTGATCGATTCTTGAACTGAATTGATTATCATAACTAGACGGAATAGTTTTCAATGGTTCAATAATACTATTTAATTGTTCTTCGAAGTATTCTCTTATCGAAAAAAAATCAGTTTAAAGTGTTTAAAAAAAGAAATAATTAAATGAACTCTCTCCAGTTTCTTTATTTGATCAATATCTCTTAGATCACCGAAGAAATTGATCAGTATGAAATATTTTTGCATAATTTGAACTTCAGATTAGACAAAACATATAGAAAGGACCACTTGAAACAGTAACTCACATGAACTTATTATAATGTTCAACAGAATAGAAATAAGCGCCTGGCGCCAGACTGATAGGTCCTGGGTGGCATCATGGATGCGCACTGTTGAGGGGACCCACAATAGGACGAAACGGCCGTCCATTGCTTACAGGTTTTCCATGGTGGTCTAGTTTCAATTGACTCATGATCTCAACTGTTGAATCGATTTTTTTATAAAAACACTCAAATACTTGTGATTTAACACATTAGGATTGCTGTAATAAATATTTACCCACAATATACGCTATGAATCTGTAAAATCTCAAGAAGGATAGTAAAAGAAACTTAAACTTCTTTAGATATGGGCTTTTTCTACTGATTACCAATTTGTTTCCTATTATTGTTAATGATCTTACATCTTAATTAGACTATTTGAATAGGTGGCTATTTAATAATCCTTTCTGTCATCCTATCAGTCAGCGCAATCTTACTTGTTCTCTGTATTGTAGAAATAAATCGAAACATTGCTCATTTACTAAAATATTTTAGAGTAAACAGTTCCAAAACACTAACGAACCTAAGGTGCGAAGGTGAAGTCGTACTGTTGAATGTACGGAGGTGTGACGACAGTAAGGTGTCTCCTTCAGACAACCAGCATGACAGAGATGCCGCCATCCCACAAGGAGGGGTGGGGCTAGAAAAGGTCGACCCTAAAAATGCACACCTTACCTTATCCCACGGATATCCGTCTCCGGTGGTAAGGTCTCAACAAGTACGGAGCTAACACGGAAATTACCCACAGAAATGTCGTGTGTGACCTACCTCAAGCAGTTGTCCCTTGGACACTGCGGCCACGCTCTCAGGTCAGTAAGATCATCCCCAACCTAATTTCCTTCACAGGTATCTACAGCAGAGCTCTTCCACGGTGTGGGAAGCCGGAACGTGATAAGTGCCCTCATACCTCACACTCAAGATCACTGTATTCATAATAAATCTCCCTCTTCAAAGAACCTTATAAAAGGAGTTTAACTTACAAGTGAAATGACATATATGCATAAAAATATTCATTCGAATAAAAAGTTGATCTTTATAAAAAATATATGAAATTTTTATTGGCGGTGTTGCCTTAGTTCACAAGCATTATTAGCAAAGATGGATGGTGGCTAGCAGTGGAATCCAAGATGCGCGTTTTGTCCCATTTAGAACCAGTCAGCTGGATGAATTAAAACTTCATCCCATTGCGCAACCTAGTGGCTATCAGGACTCAGTGGCTAAGTTGTGGAGGTGATGGCGTTTAAAGTGAATGATACTGGGTTTGAGTCTTGAAGTGAACATCAACTCTGGGATGCAGGTACGTCTAGCTGACGAGTCCCACCTAGGATGAAACGTGAGTCAAACTGGATTCCACTGTTAGTCACCATCTATCTCTGCTTATAATTAAATGATTGTTGAGGTCATTTTCAAGGAGGCATTTTCCAGTAAAAAAAAATAGCAGCCTTCAAAAATCCAAATAACATACAGCCCATAACCTTGAATATCATTTCAGTGATCTAAAGTTTTGGCGCCTACTGAAAGACATCACATTAGTTTCCATATTTCGAAAGATAAGTATGAAAAATGCATGTAACCATTATACTAATTCCTAATATGTTACTTTAGAGGTATCGCTAAAAGCTCATATAGACTTTACAGCTATGGTTGGGGTCCGCGAGAAAAGGACCAAAATCAATTCAAATGAATAATTTTTATTCCCTATTACTCAACTCTCGGATTGTAATTTCCAATATTATTTCATACACGAATTTAGTCATTTTTCTGAAACCGTATACTCTATTCCCAATATTCTTTTCATTATCATTGATACCGCTACTACTTCCTTTGACTTTATATTCATATTTCGCTAATTTTATTTCACGTTGCTAATGACGTGCAGTAACTTGGATTGATCCACACTTTGCCAACTACTTAAGTTGCTTATCCTTAACTGAAATTGAAAGTGGGAATTGTACAAGACTCCCCAATTACAGATCATTTTTAAAAATCGGATGATTCATTAATAAAAAATAGATAAAGTAGTGTATTGATTTTATAAGTGGTTCCTATCAAGAACTGACATAAGTTAAAGTACAACTGAAAATACAAAAATACTAAGAACCTATTTCGTTCTAATATGAAAATTCTCAGTAGTCCGAACATATAAGTGCAGAGTCTTATGACCACTCTAAGCAACAATGCAAGCATGTTCGGGATGCGATTCACCCTCTCAAAATGAAAAATGTTACCCCAGGATTAGGTTGTATCGACACCCGAACTAAATGATAGGGAGTGAAGTAGTTGAGCATGTCGACCGCTTCAATTATCTTCGAAGTCTCATCAGCCCTTGTCGTCTGATGTAAGACGAAATCTCTGCACAGATACACAAAGCTCGACTAGCTTTTGTCAACTTGCGTCATTTATGGTGTAGGCGAGATATCCGTCTACCAAACAAAGTACGGGTTTACTGCATAGCAGTTCGTTCCATCCTACTTTATGGCAGTGGAACATGGCCGGTAAGAGTAGAGGATATTCGTAGGTTACTAGTATTTGATCAAAGGTGTCTTCGAAACATTGCTCGTATATCATGGGACCACCGAGTAAGTAATGCAGTTGTTAGGAAACGGGTATTAGGTAAAGATGGCAAATGAATTGATGACGTAGTGAAACTTCATCAGTTGAAATGGCTGGGACATGTGTTACGTGTGCCCAACCACCGACTGCTCCGATGTGCGATGCTTTATGTTGCAGGAGTAGGTAGGAAGAAAGCTAGAGGCGACCGGACCAAAACATGTCACAAATTCATAAAGTCACTGACAAGTGAACTGAATCATGTTGGTAGGTGTAGACTACCTGATTGCAATCTGTAAGATGATATCAACCGATAATTAGAAACCTTAAATGACATGGTTGAAAACTGTTTGCAATGAAGCAGGTGCATCCACTTTTTGTGTTCTCCCAAATTCTTATCTTCTGAATTCTTCATATCCCTTTCTTTTTTTCTCTTTCCAAATTTATCACACTGGATTATACTCGTTGAATAACATCTTCAAACACTAATCTTTCCTATTATTACTTATACTCTTACTACCTCTACCACTACGGGATTTGAATCGACAACTGGATCTGTGTGATAATGTGATATGGCAACTCGAACTGATGTACGAACGTACGAAGTTCTACGTTGTTTTTTGACAGACTGACTGTTACCCATGAATCCTCCTGTTTTACCTAACCTATAACCATGAATAATAACTCAATGATCTAAAAGATTAATACTTACTGAAAGATATTAAATCAACCCTCATATATACACAGATTAATATAAAAAAATAGTTATATATGATTATTATTGAAAATTGAACAGTATAGTTTTAAATAACCACTTACATTATTTTAACGAATTCATCTCTTCGATCTTCTTTTATTATAATTTTCTCTAATTTTTGCCAATTCATAATTCGTATAGTTAATTCTAAAATAATGACAGGTATTAATTGTTTCTTTCTGATGGACTCATTTATCCATTTATGGTTTCTTTCGGCATTTAACAAGGAATTCAATGTCATTCTTAAGAATGTTAATTGTAATGTTGAATAAAATTGTGTAAACCATTGATTAATTGATGGAATCCATTTAAGTGAATCTAATAGTTCAATATGTTGATGGAATTCATTAATGACTCTAGTAATCTAAATAATAATAATAATAATAATAATAATAATAATAATAATAATAATGAAATATTAAATTGTATATGAGTGTGTATAAATTTACTTCAACGTTTCTCTTTTTTCTCAGATTGATATCGATATAACAGATGAACAGATTTATTTTCTTGATTGAGATCGAGAAATGATTTATGTTAGACCGCCACTGAAAACTTGGAAGAACGCTTAACCTACTGGACCACTGAGCCAGCATCCAATAGTGTGAATGTCTAACCTCAACCAATCCACGTAATTACGCGACCATCTTCCATTGTGCTGAGGTAGATACTTGTCTCTACTTGATATGGATTAATTTCACTGGTCACGGCCTCTCACTAGAACTCCGAGAATTCCCTTACGAAGCTAGTCACTACTGAGCACATGGTAATTATCAGTATAGGAGTTGTGGAGATTATTACGTTTTTGTTTGAGAACCGATTAATGTTAGACCACTACTGAAAACTTGGAAGCACTGGACGGCGAGACTATAATTTATGGACGGGCCAATCAGGAGCGTTAGAGGGAATTCAAGGTCATGATGCCAACTGCAGTACTTAATGCTAACGTATGATTGGTTCACAGATGATTTTATACAAAACTTGATAATCGAGCGGCTATGACAAATAAAACGGCGAGATTACAAATTGTGGATGAACTAATCAGGTATAAGATAACAGATCTCGGATTTTGTCGCAAACGTTTTTCATTCATTTGGCTAAATAGTTTTAGCATTATAGCTGGTGTCAGTTCGTGATGAAAAACCCTATAAATAATTCCTAACTAAGACAAATTATGACAGTTACTGCGAACTAGATAATAAAAGCACCAGTAACACTGGCTGCAGCCAGGTACTACAATATATACGGATGTTTGGGGAGCGTACAGACTCCTACATAGGCTTTGTTATGTGCACCGTGTCGTTATCCTCAAGAAGCATTTTGTGCACTCAACAACCGGAGTACTCATAAACAATAGTGATGCCATGTGGTCGATTCTGAAGGAGTTTTTGAGATTTTATCATGACTCCAGGGGCCGACTATTCTGTTGCCGTATGGATGATTTCCTCTACTGCATGCATCACGATTTTAGAACCTCTGAACCTTTTTCTAACCTTGACAAGTTTTTGAACCATGTATAAAAAGTTTATCCACTTTATTTCTTTGGTTTTGTATAATATATTTTTACTCTATACTATTTGTTTGCTGACTGACTAATATTTCTCAAGGTTACTTAAGATTCGTTCAAAGGTCATCCATAAATTATAGTCTCGCCTTTCTGTTTACCAGGGCTTACTACCATAGAGCAATAATTCGACAGTATTTGAGATTATTTAACTACTGTACTAGATGTACAATTGGTGCGCTATGCACAGACTGCATCACATTACACGAGGTATATGATTTATGACTGATTATAGAAAACCCGAATATAGACTAGATAATACTTTATTCAACATAGTTACAAAGCAGTTTTTACTCCATGAACTCTAGAGTAGAAATCAATGGTAGTCAATCAATAATAAGTCAGTATGTTGATTTTTTTCATTTTGGACTCAGTAACCAATCACATTCACTCTCATTAGCCACATATCAGATACACCTCAGTTTCAGTTGAAAACTACTGAATCACCGAGCAGATACTCCATTCTAGCAGTGAGCATCTTCAAAGGATGAACTCGGGATTTATAAGTCTTGTAGTCACTGCATTACTTTTAAATATCATAGATTGAGGATCCAGTACTTCTCGATTCCGTTTTCAAATTAATCCTAATATAGCGAAGCACCAAAGATTGCTATTAGTAGTTAGGTTCATTAACACATATTACTTCTTCCCACATCTGTTCAGGTTAGTTATCGGTCTTTGGTATTTGGTAATAAAACTGTCCGGAGGTGTATATTTCCTAGTTCAGATCATCTCTGATAACAGAACATTTACTGCATAATTACCATACTTTATTAATTTAGTCACAGTTATAAGTATTCATTATTTTTATGATTGTTTTTAATACAACAAAATTGCTGTAAAACGGTGATTAATGACAATTCATAACTAATTAAGTATTTATTGGTAATTCCTAAGCTTTATTCACTTATTAAAATGTATCTGAACTGTTGCCAATACCATTTGGTTATTATAACAAGTAACCTATAAAATCATTGAAGTTCTGAATGACATTGATACTCAGGAACAATATTAGCTAAAGATAGGGTTGTCCTACAAAGTGCTTGGAGTTTGGAAATAAGAACTTGAGTAGAACAATTCCCTGACACTATAATATCGTACTCGTAACAAGATTTGAAGTTTTCAATCTCGTAGTCACATGGCATCACGGATATGCCATTAATGGAGACTATCAAATCAAAATGAAGCATCCTTCTTGTACTTCATAATGATTGATCAATTGATATCCATGTCTTATTATAGGCTAGAAATGAGACAGACTGATTGATTGATAGATAAATAATTTTATCACACTATGTCTAACCTTCCAACATTTCTCTGCTTTACACCATATTATTACACAATCTAACAGATATGGAAATAAGCGTTTTATCCATTTATTCAGATTGACTAATCCATAATTAGTATCTAAAGAAGACTGATAAGAATTTTGTTTTTGATCAGTAAAGTCCTCAACAGAACATTTCAGTGGAGCTGCATAATCACAATATGGAATGGACCAATTACCCAGGAGTTCAATTCTTTCCATTTTGGATAATAAACAAAATAATGGAAATGTCTAGAATGAAAAAAAAACAAATGGTTAGGACTAAGTAGGTTTTTTGATAATTTCGAACATTTTAAGAAAACGACTTTGTGGTGCACTCGTCCCAACTTCTTTAACTGAACCTGAGATGACAAATCTATGTCTTAGGAGGGAGAGGTGATGCAATCAGAATGATAAGTTCACGTGATTGGCCGAAATATGGTTTTCATTTCTAATGAATGTGGCATAAACTATCAGTGGCTTAATTTTCTAAGGGATATATATACGCCGATTCGGTCAGTCAGTAAACTCTCACATTTCGTTTTTTCACTCGAGTAGCTAGTAGGATTCGTTTTTCAGAACTATGATCATCAGTATCAGGCACCACATGCCACAACAGGATTAGAATCTGTTCAACGGTTCAACTAACGTCATACCAGTAAAGACTGTTGGATTTTGTCGTTTGCATTAGAGGCTCACCTTATCTAGACAATCATTCAAACCAGGAAACATTGGACAACTGAAGGTTCTAGGTTCAATCTTTGATAGTGTCGTGGTGTATACTACTGAGAAGCCTCAAACAACCTCCTAGTCTCACTCTGATTTTAAATGGTTGTCTAACTAGGGTCAGTTCTTGATGTAAACTTCAATGTAGTACTGACTACGTATTAATGCCATTGAATTCAGCCAACCAATGCGTAGTGTAGTACAAATGCAAATGAATTAGCATTGTGTGCACTGTCTTTTAGTTCGAGGTTGTTAGAGACAATCGGTATGCATCTTAATTTACATCGAACACCATTAATTCACCTACGATTTCAAAGAAGTTGTCATTCAAATTCATGTTACTAAGCAGTTACTATCTGGAACGTTGTCATTGAAATCCTCAAGAAGCTAATGACTACTAGTGATTTCCAGTTACGAATAACAAACTTTCACAGCAATTCCATTATTTCAATGTTTTTTTCTTCTTATCTTACTTAAATCCATATTTGTAAAACAGATCAACCACTAATACAAATTTTAGCAAAATCAATCAAAACTTACAAATAGTTGCTTACCTCACACATTTCATAGATTGATTTCTCAAATATACTAACATGTTCATAAAGATCATTCTTTAATATTAACCATAAATCCCATTTACTATGAACAATTTCAATAAAACATTGTAAATTTATACAATTTATTTGAATTAATTCATTATCTTCATATTCGATAGATTGAACAGATATTACTCGATCATTATTTAGTAGTATACCATTTTCCAAATGTACATAATTATCAGTTAATATAATGAATTGATTTGAGTTACATTCTTCATCACTTTGTTTTAATGAATATAATCGATATAAATATAACCACTGTGTAATATAAACATGTACAGATTAAAAACATTGAATATAATCAAATGATACGTTAACAAAAGAGTTATTAGATATGAATTCTGACTATTCAAAAGAAAGCCCCCAAATGCCCTGGTACGGCCGAGAGTGGAGAGAGTTCGCTCTTCCTCTCCAAACGCTCTCACATGACCATGCGTATACAGCCTCTGCCAGGGAAGTCATACTCACTGCCTTCTCGTCAAGGAGGGTGGGTTGTTTATGAAATTGAAAAGACGAAAAGCGAAACTCCAGCGCTTTAACCGGGTTGGTGGATACGGAGGATCCACCTAGGGGAGTTGGAAAACCCTGATTCAAAACCAATGGTGCACATAGGCTCCATTATCCTGAAGGAACAAATGGTGTATGAACCAATTATTGGTCACCGGTTACCATGGGACTGCATCTCCTTATGATGCTCCACTGGCTTATGGATTGGACCTTCAGGTCGAAGGTTCTGGGTGTGTCCCCCTTAGCAAATCGCCTGCTTTAGTTTGGCCAGCCGAGCAGTATTACAGCCCTCACACAAATCAAATGAGATTTGTGTGGCGCATATATATTTGGTGCCTCCTTGTACCAATATCTATGTGTTAAAACAAATAAATAAATTATTCAAAAGAAAAGTTATCGAATTGTCAATGGACTATGACTATAACCAATGTATATTTATCATGAAATTTTAATTGCATCAAACCGACATCATGCTCGATATATATAGAAATCTTCAGAACACTACTACATAAAAAAGACCATTTTGCTCAAGATAAGTTTTTCAATAGTGTATTGAAAAGCTGTTACCCATAAATGAAATAAACTAACTCAGTACGATGATATTAACCTACTAATGACTTTATTCAATATTATATTTTTGGTGCAATATATAATTCTCAGAACAAAGTATTTCAACAAGTTTCTTCTACTTATTTCTTGATCGATTCTGACGATAAATACTGAGTGATCGCCAGTCAGATGTTAGCACTACAGGAATCGTCATCTAAGCTATGTTCAGTCATTCCAGTGCATACTGCCAGCCACCACAATGTCTCTGATTGTACTTTTTTGTAAGTTGTACAGAGAAAGTTCATAAACTTTTCATAAACACACCTGAGTAGGTTATACAGTTAATAGACATAATGATGCGCTAAAACAAACAAAAAACATAATTTGTTGAAATATCTAAATGGCTGGAACAGGTAGCCTAGATATTCAAGAATGCCTCCAAAGTTCGATTAGGCTTGAGCTATAAAATAGACTTCATTACACTTTGAAAATATGCGGAAGCTATTCATAACATTTTAAATGTTCATTAAATATACCATCTTCAACAGTTCTATCCATTTTCCTATTCATATTTAGTTAGTATTACTTATTAAAAAGTATTAAAGTGTAATTTTCAATCGAGATAGTATATGAAGCAATAATTGTTGATTTTTTTTTCATCCAACATGTCAGAGTATGTTATACGGATGTATTCATAGTTGATATTTGTAGAGATTTGAATGCCGTGGATTTTAATTTTACATAGAATTGTAGGAATTTTCACTGGTAAATAATTAAACGATTGAGATGGTGGAGAAGATTTGTATCTCAAGTAAATGATTTTGATGGAGTTTGTGCTGATAATGTCGTTCACAAGAACAATGAAAACTCCACGACTAAACCATCTAGCTCAGAGAACAAAACTCCATCAATAGTTAAACAATTGTCTAGTTCCTGTTAGTTTTTTTGAGTAGTTCTTTAACTAATTATGTTTCATAGTAAAGAAAAAAATATTTAAAAACATACGGAATCTGCTTTAGAACTAATACTATCAGTCATGATATTTTAATCATTTAGACATGATGTGGTGTTTGAATGAACTATTGATACCTTGGTACTTGTTGAATGCTTGATTTCGAATTCTAAATACAGTACATTCGTTTGTGGTTATCTAGTACTTCTTGATCTGATTACGTTATTTCTGGGATTCTCAGTTCGTACTATAATTCAAATATTTCTGATTATCATATTGGCGTCGCGATGGAGCCTGTGATAGAACAGTTGGATATACATTCAGATTTTGATGCTTTTGAGGATTACTTTGCAAAGTTCGAAATCTTGTCTATGATCAAGGAAGATGATGCGGATGTCAATATTGTAGCACATTTCCACACATTCATCGGAAAAGAAGCATACAGCTTACTAAAAACTCTGGCTTTACTGGAGAAGCCCGCTTCGCTTCCTTATACAACTCTCAGGGAACTACTACTAAACTATGTTAAATATGCAAATTTCGAATGTGGTATAGGCGGAAGATTTCGTAAAATGATTAATGAGGATATAAAGAATTCCACTACATTACGTCATCTCAGTCCAGTGCATACTCAAGGTTATGCAAATATTAATTCATTGAGGAGTTGCGATGCAGTTCACAAAGATGAACACAAGCTTGGTCAATATTTGTCCTGTGGCAGGTTCCACTCTGTTAATTCATATAAAATTCGCGATTCTATGTGCTTTAAATGTGATGATATTGGACATATTCAGTTAGTTTGTAATACTACTGCTCAACCCGCTCCAACGAATATTAAGTCTAGTTTTTCTAATGATCATTTATCTCTATCAACGATTTCAAAAGACAGTGTAGAGTAATATAGCAGTTCAGAGTTAAATGAAACTCAGAATTCTTGTCAGACAACAGTTTCTAAACAATCGACTAATCAGATTTCTCATGTTATTGTACCAGATATGGTTTTTCCTAATGATTCACTTATTTCTGACGAAATTCCTTGCAACTCTGAGGAAAATATGTTGAGTGAACCTAGTCATGATCGAAAACCTGATGCAGTCGTGATAGATGCTGATTTTTCTAATGATCCTTTACTCTGCAATAACATTCTTAATAAATTCGAGGAAACTATTTCAGAAGAGGCAAAGCTTGATGTCATACCAAATATTATTTGTCCTCATAATACATGTGTTTCTTGTGGGAAACTTGTTCAATGCGAAGCACAAGTACTAAATGACCTCAATTTTGATTACAATCCAAATACTTCCGATTATCACACATGACCATTAAAATAACTTACATAATCTTGTATTAACTTTATATTACATAATGTATTCTTTGTTTGATTTAATTTCTTCATTAAGTAGTAATCATTTTCAAGTAGATACTCATTTGTTGTTTCATTTTGTTTTATTCTATTCAAAAGTTCAGAATCTAGTAAACTTTGAAGTTTACTTGATAATTCACATAAGTTATCAATTAAATTGTCAATATTCAAGAATATCCATGGATAGGGAATTTCTGTTGTACAACGATTACTTCTGGATGAATACCTTCCAGAAATATCCTTATATAATACAAAAGGATATTAGATAGAAAATCACTCAGTTAGTTAGAGGTAACGTAAAGTACAGTAAAAATATTAATCAATTTAAGTTAGGAAATCTTAAAGTAGAACAAATAGGAAGAAAAAAATTCAACGAAGAAAATCTTCTTTTCGACAAAATCATTTACTTAAGCTGTACATTCGTATACATAGTTACATAGAAAATGTATGTCTGTAGGATGATAGAAAAGATTGAATAGGCCGCACAAATCGATCACTGTACAAACGCATCTCCCAACACTATCTGGCTTGGTTCTTAAAAGGAGAATGTAAAACAATTACTAGTTTGATACCGGAGCATTTAATTAACTGTGGACACATCGCTCCAAAGGACTATTCTTTTAAAGTGATCTATAGAGTCAAAGGAACTGGATGGCAGGGGGGTCGAATCAATATTTTATGCACTGCTGAGGCATTGGCAATCCATGAACCCAACCCTGAACTTTGCGTGCAGAAACGATTTATCCAACTTCTCATCCTTCCTTGACCCTAATTCATTTGATGGGTATGTTTCTGGTTTTTTTTCTACTTGTTTTTCCGCGCTTTTATTTGATTATTATTGAATTTTTTAAATTACTGTTTTGCATTTTAAACTTAAACTTTTCGAGATTATTATTCAGTCTATTATTATGACCTTTATGTTTCACTAGTTGAAATCATGAGTCAATTGAAGCTAGATCACCATGGAAAATCTGGAAGCACTAGACGACCGTTTCGTCCTATCTTGGGAATCTTCAGCAGTGCTCATCAACGATCCTGCCCAACGCCAGATTCCAACTCAGGACCTATCAGTTTCGCGAGCGAGCGCTTAACCACTAAACCACTGAGACGACATCCAATGGTGTTAATGTCTAACTTCAACCAATCCACGAAGTTGCGCCATCGTACACCATTATCTTCAATGAGTTGATATCTCACAACAGACCTGGTTGAACTCCATTGGTAACGGCTTCTCACTAGAACTCCACGAAATATCTCTTGAAGTCAGTCACTAATGAGTAGATGATTAATATCAGAAGAGGTTTTGTGGAAATTTTCCATGGTGGTCTAGCTTCAATGAACTCATAATCTCAACTATTAAAATTACTACAATCTTTATAAAATCCTTTCGAAACATAATTTGAATCATAAATATTGTATTACCTGATTCATTTGATCAATATATTCATTACGAAATGATAAATGAATAGATTTAATCAATTCTGAATGTGATTTCATTAATACAAATTGAATATTTAATGATTTGAATTGATTTTCAATTGTTGTTTTAATTTGATAAATCGATAATAAATATTGAAATATATTATTGATTTCTTTTAATTGATATTCTTGTTTGAATAAATTAGACTTAGGATTATTGATTAAATCATTGATTGTACAATTTTTCCAATTGATATTGATTGATATATTTAATAGTTTTGAACAATGATTCCAATATTCTGATGAGAAAGACTTGAATTTAAAAACATTTTAAAAACAGAGTTGCTAACCATTGTATATCTTCATTTGAACAATTAAGGAGAAAACTTAAAAAAAGCCTTCATACATTCATTACTGAAGAGTTTGTATAGCTTTAACAATTCAACAGTTACTAACAGTGAAAACTGTATTGTGTATAAATCTAACTAGCATGACTTTAGGTACAAGGAAGCACTAAATACATATCCGCCACAGAAATCTCATTCGATATGTGTGAGGGCTGTGATACTGATCGGGTGCCCAAACCGAAACGGGTGGTTTGCTCAGGGAGCCACTCGCCGAGCCTTTGACCTGAAGGTCTGATCCACAAGGCAGTGGAGCATCGTAAGGAGATGCAGTCCCATGGAAGCCGGTGACCATCAATTGGTTCATACGTCATTTGTTCACTCAGGATACTAGAGCCCATGTGCACCATTGGTTTGGAATCCGGTTAAAGCGCCGGACATTCGCTTTTCGTCCTCTCATTTTCGTAAACAACACCCGTGGTGCAAGAAGGCATTGGGTAGGACTTCCCTGGCAGAAGCTATATACGCGTGGCCATGTGAGAGCATTTGGAGAGGTAGAATGGACTCTCCCCACTCTGGGCCGTACCAAGGCATTTGGGGTCAGAATCGATCCATTTCATATGGAATTAAAACTCATACCTGTTGCATAAATGAATGGCTATTTAAACTCAGTAACTAAATGGATAATGCGATAGCGTTTGAAGTGAATGGAATTGAGCTCGAGTTCTGAGATAGATATCAACTTTGGGATGTAGGTACATCCAGTTGACTAGTCCTAATCCAACCGTTAATCCTATTCCATCTACTCTATACTGGTAACATAAAAATGTCATGTTCAGGATTTTATCGGATGAAATCGTACGATTCTTCTCGCAATCTCTCAATGTTAGATTCAGATCCGAGTACATTTCCCAGTTTAATCAAGTATATATCCAAATAGAAGTGAAACAATTCCATATACTAGAAATTGTGTACTATTTGTCAAATTTTGGTGTTTGCTGCAGTGAACCCAACAACAAAAAAACACTCCTCTTTATTAAATATAACATAAACTTCATTGAGATCATAAACCGATCAGTGTCTGACCACCATTGGAAACCTGGAAGCAGTGAATAGTCGTTTTGTATCAATATGGACCATCTACGGTGCAAAACCGCCTCATACCCGAAATTCACCTCTCGAAGCTAGTAACTAGTGAGCACATAATGATTATCTGCACTACTGAGCAGTTTGATACTGAGAAAAAATGGTCATTCCGTGCTCCCAGGTTTTCAATGGTGGTTTAATACTGATCGGTTCATAGCCTTTATATAATAATAGTTGTAAGCATTCGTTTTGCGCATAAATTAATGTTCTGTGTTTTACATTCCTTACGTTAGTCAAGTATGAACCAACCGCTAAGTACATTTTCACTTATGACATGGTTGTCCCCAAATTTTTATTTTAATTTATATTGATGTGTGGTTTGGAATTTAACCTATATTATCACACTAGTTTGAGTTATGAATTGAACGGTACAATAGAAGTTATCTGCCTGTTGTGCTCTTGTCCTAGTACGATTATTTAACAAGTGGGCATACAAAACTCCATCCTAGACCAATAGGTGTTAAGTACTGATCTCGATCGTTATCTTGTAGCGTCGGTTGTTATGTTAAGCCCATATACCTTATTCTAGCTTTGGGACAGCCCAGTCTATTCATTCTACTTGAGTCCTTCCTTGATCTTGTTAATTATCCGCTTATCAATCTTGAATTTTTTTATATGAGCTCATATGTGTGTGTACATTTCTTATCCCATTTATCACGTGTCTGTAACTTATTTTTGTGCAACTATAAATATTGATTAACGCTTGGTTAAATAGGAGTTCGCTTATCCGCCATCTCCACAGCGCGTCGTTTTGCTTTGTTCTATTCCATTCGCTTTATATACAAAATAAATGTATTCACAATTCGATTCTCGTTATTTGACTTGTTTAATCCCGTTATTGACTAACGCGATTTAAGTCGATGATTATGTACGAGAATGGGGACATATGTATTTCGATCACAATCATTCATACGATCGAATTGGAGTCATATCGTGGGCCACTAAATTGGAGAGCCCATCAACAAACATCGTTTGATCTAAATTACAACAAAATAAAGGGCCCCACAATCTCACAATCGTTGAGTTATTGCATAAAGGAAGTAATTTATAAGATTGGATAACAAGAAATTATCAATCCTATGAAAGAAATCTGTTCTTGTAACCATTACATCAATTCATTACTGCAATATTTGAAGTATGTTATTACAAAGACAGCTACTCAAACTTATCTTAACCTTATCAATCAATCTAGCATAGCTATAATGAAGTATCACATTTAAAAGTATCATTTCCATAGCATAATAGTCAAATAACTGCTAAAAAGAAAGTTTTCATCATGGAGTACTATTCTTTTCAGGTTTAGGATATACCCAATAATGTTCACTGTTATGGGTTAAGCTCACAACCTTTAGATCTAGCAGAAACCATAGTCTAAACCTGTAAACTTAGTTACTTCTCAGTATGTAACAATCATCAACCAATAACATAGATGTGTAACTGCTAAGTAAACTTAAATAAAAAACAAAATAACATAATTCTTTTTTCAGAAGGGATTTTGTGGAGATTTTTTATAGTTGAATTCATGAGTCAAATAGAACTAGACCACCATAGAAAATGACCGTCCAGTACTTCCAGGTTCTCCATGATAGTCTAGTTTCAATTGACTCATGAATTCAACTATAACAATTCATACTTTAAACGATAACTATAACTTATTAGGAAGTTTGTTTTTCTTTATCAGAAAAAGGTTTAACAAAGAACAAACTAACTAACCAACAATTCTGTATCCAAAATATAACTTAAGAGTTTCAATAATTTTTCCATTTTATTCAAACATTTCGTATCATATTGAACAATTACATCATCATTTCTTAATTGATTACATAATGAAACAAGTTTTTGATATTTCTCATTGAACATATTTAAAGGTATCTATTTTTTTAGAAAAGAAAAACACATGAATTACAAGACATGGATATGCACATTGAACATTTAATGTCGTAGAAAATTTATAAGAATGATAGACAACTTTTAAAAATAAACAGCATAACTATGAACAGTAAATTTAGTCAGTCAGTAACAACGTAGAACTTCGTACGCATGTGCATCAGTTCGAGTTGCCATATCACATTATCACACATGAAGGATGTGATCAGTCACTTCCATATAACTTAGACATTTTATCGCACACACAGGAAAAATGCAGGCGAATTTACTTAGTATAGCAGCAGATCCTGCAAAGATAGGTCCCAGTATGAGATGAAATCACACATAATGAAGAGGCTCCAGGATAGACGAAAGACTTCACAGATTGATCACCACCCAGTGATTAATCAATTGTGATTACATCTCAGTACAGGTATTCAGTACGCATGGCTCAGAATTGATCACATTAGCGTAGGTGAATACACTCTCTGTCATACCTTAAACTCCGTGATCTGACTCCATTTAGATTGTATGGATGTTTGTTATCGCCTTTTCTCGTGTATCATCGTCGACTTAAATCGCGTTATCCAATAACGAAATTAAATAAGTCGAATAACCAGAATTGACTTGAGAATACATATATTTCGTACATGAAGGTATAGGCAGACAAAATAAACTACAGACATGTGATGAGTCATGGGACATGAAGTGTACACACATATACGCTCATATGAAAACAGTCAAGGCTAATAAGCGAATAATTAACAAGGTCAAAACATGACTCAAGTAGAATGAATAGAATGGAATGTCCGGAAACTAGAATAAGAACACTACAATGAGATTAAAATCGCTTCATATCTTCCTACGTACTAATTCTTTCTTCCTGTACTATATCCTTATATACAATCTTTCTTTTATATACTACCACCATTGAATTAAATACTTCTAGGAATCCGGTATTCATCTTGCTGTGCTAATGCGGTATGGCAACTTGGACCGGTGCATATATGTGCCTTGTCCGACGTTGTAGTTGACTGACTGACTGAATGAATGATATTTGTATGCTAATAATTTTCACAACAATGTTTTATTAATTAGACATGATCATTCGACAAAGTAAGAGTTCTTCCTTTGGTGTTCAGTGTTATTTATTATCTCATAGTTCAACCGTGACACATCTATATAATTAATAAGCTAAATTAATATTGGCATTTCAAATAACTACCAATCTTACCCTAACATCAGTCACATTCAAGAAGATTCAAAAACATAGTTGATTCAGTGTAGTAAGCCCTAAGCAGTCAGTATAGTTTGAGAGTCTCAATTAAATTATTGTTATTCTTCATGAAAAAAATCTCCACTCAACCTTTCGGATATTATTGACTGAAACAAAGATGTTATATATCTAAAATCACAGTGAACAATATTCCAAATGAAAAAGATTCTGCACTCAATCGCTGAAGATATTATGGCAATATTTACTGAAAAAGGGTTCTATATTAGCATAAAATAACTTTCCATCTGTCAGTCAGTCAGTAACAATGTAGAATTTCGTACGTACGTACATCAGTTCGAGTTGCCATACCACATTAGCACAGAGATCCAGTTGTTGATTCAAATCCCGTAGTGGTAGAGGTAGTAAAAGTATAAGCAGCAATAGAAAAGATTAGGATTTGAAGATGTTATTCAACGAGTATAATTTATTGAAATAAATTTGGGAAGAGAAAAAAATGAAAGGAACATGAAGAATTCAGAAGATAAGAATTTGGGAGAACACAAAAAGTGGATGCACCTGCTTCATTGCAAACAGTTTTCAACCATGTCATTTAAGGTTTCTAATTATCGGTTGATATCATCTTACAGATTGCAATCAGGTAGTCTACACCTACCAACATGATTCAGTTCACTTGTCAGTGACTTGATGAATTTGTGACATGTTTTGGTCTGGTCGCCTCTAGCTTTCTTCCAACCTACTCCTACACCATCTGTATTCAAACCGATATTTATCTAATCATCATAGAATCTTTCAATAATGAACAAGATCAAATCAAATATCAATGACTTACTTCTCCTAATCTTGATTTATATAACTCTTGTTTAAATGTATCAATTTTCAAATTTAGTTGCCATGCGTCATATCTACAATTGACTTTTTTCATTTCATTATCAATATATAATAAAATATTATTTGTTTCATTAAAATATTTACATGATTGTTTTATATGTTTAAAATTAACTTGACAATTATCTGTAATATAAAGTGTATTATCCAATGTAATCGTTGTATTCATCAATGATCTATTCGATGAATACGATAGATTCATTTTATCAATTTTAGCTTTTTCAAATTGTTTCTCATTATATTCACAATTTTGAACAGTTTTATGTTGATCTATAAGTTGATGAATAGAACTTTCCAATTTTGTGACATAACAATATGGCTGTAAAACAAAAAAAGGTTACATAATATAATCATAAGTTGAAAGTAATTGATAGATTCAAATAAAAGCTGAATACACAGAACTAAACAAGTAAGTGAAGAGGAGCATCAGAACCGACAAATGTAATTATATGGAGAATTTAGAAATGACGGTGGAAAAGGCTGCAAGTAAAGGAAAAATGAGATAATTGTATGACACAACAAAGAAACTCGCTGGAAATTATCACAGACCATAATGACCAATGAACAGCAAGGAAGTCAAAGTTATCACCAACATTGAAGAATAGCGAAACAGGTGGGTAGAACACTTCAAAGAACTCTTGAATCGAACAGCTCAACTGAACCCACCCAACATCAAAGTAGTACCCACGGACCTCCTAATCGATGTTGGTCCAATGTTGCTAACATAAACATAATTGCATGTGAAAGTAGATCGACACCAGTTCACCTTTACAAGGGTAACTGCATCGCCGATCCTGACGATGATGTTGGAATTGTGTAGCAATACTAAGTGATCATCCTTCAGATCACTTAACCAATTTTCTTGAATTGTGATTGTACCATAATTACGACACATGTTTTGATTTAATACGAATTGGATATAGTTCATCTTGCTAATTAGTGATCGGCAATTAGAATTAAGCAGTTCATGACTCAACATATGGTTAATATTAATTCTCTTCGATGCAATTCGCCAACCAGCACAATGATTCTGACTGTACGTTTTTGTAAGTTGTACAGCGATAGTTCATAAACGTGTCTGAATAGGTCATACGGTTAATAGACATAATGATGTATTAAAACAAACAAAAAACAGATAACTTGTTGAAATATCTTGATGTCAAGAAAAAACAGCCCAGGTATTCAAGCAGACATTGAATTGTTATTTTCTGCTAATATCGGATTACCTAACAATACCTATACACAATCTCAATACAGATGAAACTCAGGAACTTCAGGCTACGCTGCAAGTGCTTACTCCTTACACCAGTGAGCCGAAACCCAATGGTTTACATGTTTAGTCTGATATTTCGCAACTGTTTTGCATTACCTCTGGTTTATAACTACCTTACACCAGAAATAGTAAGTTAGAATTATAAACCAGTGGATTATAGATCAGTGCTTTAACGGTTATTCAAAGGTGTTGTATACTAATTAGTTCTATAATATAAATAACGGCCTTTCAAGGTTTCTTGGTTTCCAATAGCTGTCTAGCAAAGATCATCTAGTGATATAAACTATAAAATGTCAATCAGAATAAAATCCAAATCAACAGGGCTTCATTCTGATTGTCTCTAACCCTCTACTATCTGTTATATCTGGATGACATTTATGTGGACTAGAGATAAATATTCTAAGCAATGAAAATTTAAATTTCCATAACATTAAACAATTATACCTTTCATTTAAACTCACTTCCTTCATGTCGTTTAGTATCATTTGTGCATCATTATTAACATCAGAATATTTGCCAGTTGTAAGTAAATGAACTAAACGTTCAACTTCTTTTATAGTTTCCTAACGTGAAATTATTGTTATTGAAAACAAACGTGAAACATTGGCTTTCAATCAAATTAGTATATATTTTTGTATATGAATTTATGTAACAATGTTGAAAAGTACATTATTTCTCATAAATTCGACTAAAATCTTTAAGTGCCACAAAAGGCGCATTTGGAGGTACCTGAAAAGGAAATTGGATTAGAAGTGGTCTTAATGACCTGAGAGCGTGACCACAGTGCCCAACGGACAACTGCATGAGGTCGGTCACACACGACCTTTTCGTGAGTAATTTTCGTGTTAGCCCCATAATTGTTGAGACCTTACCGCCAGAGACGGATATCCGTGGTATGAGGCGAGGTGTGCATTTTCAGGGCCGACCTTTTCTTACCCCACCCTTCCTTGTGGGAAGGCAGCATCACTGTCATGCTGGTTGTGTGAAGGAAACACCATACTGCTGTCACACGTCTGTACAGTCAGCAGTACGACTTCGCCTTCGGACCTTGGGTTTGTTGTTTTTAGTCTTACCGCTCTTCAACTGACCTGTCTGGCATGGTAGGACCTTGAGGAACAATTGTTTTAGCCAGTATAGTTCGGTTGCTTCATCATGATAAGCAAGCCCGACCACCACGTCAAGGTAGCAACAACGGTCAGGAAAAGGCACATCGTAAACGGTTGATTCTCAGGGACACCACACAAAAATTTATAAATAAATAAACATTGGAATGACATTTACTGCTTAAATATTTGATTTAATGGAGGAGCATAGGATGACTGTGTTTATCTACAAAATATTCAGTACAGTAATTGAAGTTCTATTTAAGATTCTTACTTTCGCATAATTGATATACAGGACTGTAATTAATCACTTCATGTATATTTGAATCTTAAGCAGATACCTCAATACTGCCAATAGAAACAAATTCTTGGTATCCACATATCCCGGCAGAGACTAATCAAATTTAGTTTTTTTTTTATATTGACGGAATGAAAGTACATACCTTCACAATTGAATTTAAACTTGCCGAATAAGTTAAAGACTAAATGAACTCTTCACCTTGGTTGAAAACTTTTTGTGTTTGAAGAGAAAAGTATCGGGTGTGAGACGTTGATAAGTTCACCTGACAAGTCTTCACTAGGACAAAACCCCATATCCAAGAATATAATGATTAAATCTCACTTAAAATATAAATAACTGCATGAGATTAATTTTGTAGGTTACTTACTACCATTTGACATATTTTTGAATAAAACATCCTGTACTACTTACAAACAATAAACAACTCTTATCATTTAACTACTAGTATACTTTAAAAACAAGTAAAAGTCTTCCAAAGACAATTAGACTGGATCTTCTTTGCATTGACGAAGCATTAGCCATACATTTGTAAAAACCAGAATTGTGTGTGCAAAAGAAACTGGTACAACCTCTTCTTCTGCCATGTCTTATAATTTTTTTTCTCTTTTTCATACTCTTTTTTTCCTTTACAGCCATCTGCTTCACCTTCCATCTTCCCCTTTAAATCCTCTACCCCCAACTGGTTTATTTTTGTTTCCACGATCATTCTGATTACATTTAATCTTAATTTCAACATTCTATCTTATCATAATGAGCCATCCTTTCCCAAAGATAACTTCCTTATCTATCCTTTGATGAATACTTAAGCCATTATAACAATCAAACGATTATTAAACTTTGCTTGCTTTATAAAAAAACTTCTAATATCTTTGTTTATTTAACCTCATTGTCACCATGTCTAACAGAAGTTTATTATCAGAATTATTATCATCCTGTAAAAATAAGTATAATGCATATTTGTGATTGTACAACTTTGAAAATGAATTCACCGAAAAGAGAACTCCTCACTGAACTAATCTTCCTTATATAACCTATATCAGCATACCAAAGTATTTATTCTATAATTATCAAAATCGGTAGATAGACAATAATCGCTTGTATATATAACACTGATACTAGTACATTCAAAATTGTCAATATTACCTCAACTTAGATCCAGTTGGTGTTGTTTTACTTGTAACTTCCCATTGTTATTTAGGATTTCAATTGATCAGTTTCATGTTAGCATATGTGCATCCTGTGCGGATTGCCTCGATATTGTCTGAAGTCAAAAGCTTTTTAAGCAAAGATGGATAGTGGATAGGACTCAGTAGCTTAGTGGATAACGCGATGGTGTTTAGAGCGGACGGTACTGGGTTCGAGTGCCGGAATGAACATCAACTCTCAGATGCAGGTACATCCAGCTGACGAGTCCCAAATAGCACGAAACTTGTGCCCTGGATTCTATTGCTAGCCACTATCCATCTTTGCTCAAAAAGCTTGTGACTTCAGACAATATCGATGCAATCCGCACAGGATGCATATATGTCAACATGAGACTGATCAATTGCAGTCCTAAACAACAATGAGAAGATACAAGTAAAACAACACCAAGTGAATTTATTCAACATCTATTTTTAATTGATTACCGTTAGTCTTAATGACATATGAGTTAGATTAAAATAAGAAACTATCAAATTAAGAATTTGAGCAGTTTATTCAATACAAGATTAGTTTTCACTATAAAATGACATCAATTGAATGTAAAGGGGGAGTCCAGCTGACGAATCCCAAATAGGACGAAACGCGCGTCAAACTGAATTCCACTGCTAGCCACTATCTATCTTTGCTTACCTCAACTTTTTTATCATAAACTTGATAGAATTCTTCTTGATATCTTCGAAATTTTTTTCTAGCCCATTCAATTTGATTTGTAAACTTTTTCCATTTAATTATAAACTGTTCATATTGTGACCATTTAACAAGTTGAATGAATTTTAATTCTTCACAATAGTTTAAACATTTTTGAAAATGTTGTATAAACTGAAGAATAAAATGAAAAAAAAGTATTTTGTTTTTTCAAGATACTCATTGCTTCATCAATCGTGTTACATATTTTCAATATCAGATGGGTTTTGTGGATATTATAGTAATTTCAATGGTTAAGATCATGAGTCAGTTAAAGCTAGAGCACCATGGAAAACCTGGAAGCACTGAACGGCCGTTTCGTCCTAGTAACGGACTCCTCCGCAGTGTGCACCCAAGACCTCGCCCCCTGCGAGATTCGAACCCAGGACCTAATGGTTTCGCGAGCGACCACTTACCCACTAAACCATTGCGCCGGCATCCAATGGTGTTAATGTCTAACTTCAACTAGTCCACGAAATTGAGCGACACATCCACCATTACGGATTTTATAGTTGAATAAATGAGTTAGTTGAAGCTAGATCACCATGGAAAATCTGGAAGCACTAGATGATCGTTTTGTCCTAGCATGTGACTCTTCAGCAGTGCGTATCCACCATCCCGCACCCAAGACCTTTGGTCTCTTAATCTCTAGACCACTGGGCCGGCATCCAACGGTGTTAAGGTCTAACTTCAACCAACCCATAATATTGCACGATCGCCCACTATTATCTTCAGTGAGTAACTGCTTCACATCAGACACTATTTGATTCCATTGGTCACATCTACTTACTAGAACTCCAGGAAACACATCTTGAACTTAATTTGAAAATTTCATTTGCTTTTTAAAATCATGACAGATATTTACAATTAAGTACACTCATTTGTTTACAAATATTACAGGTATTTAATTGTTAGTTAATAAACATCATACATGATATAAATTAGTCTGTATACAAAAATGAATTTTAAACTGAACTGGCAAGACTATAATTTATGGACGAACTTATCAGATTTAGAATGATGGGTCATGGATTTTGGCGCGAAATTCATTCACTCATTCGGCTAAATAGCGTTTTAGCATTTTAGCTAATACCTGTTCGTGATGAAAACCCTAAATCTAATTCCTAACCTTAACCATCAACTGTAAATCGTAATCCTTATTCTACACACTACTTTATAACCTTCATTCACCTTAAATTAGTAGGTGGAGATTCTCAAGATCACTTTAGCATCACTCAAAAGTCCTTCATATATTATAATCTCACCCTAAGTTATACATTTATGTTTACTTTTAAAAACAAAATTAGAACATACTTCAACTTGACGACATAGATTATCATGGTCTTTAAATAATTTCACATGACAATTATGTACACGATTTAAATAGGTAACAATTTGTATGAATCCATTAAAATCAGATTGAATATTTGTATGTATCTATAATAAAGTATAAAAACATATTAAACATTGTCAAGACATTGAATGTGAGCTTGTTTGTTTATTTTTTAACTGAATGATATGAGTCAATTGAAGCTACACCACCATGGAAAGCATGGAAGCACTGGACGACCGTTTCGTCCCATTGTGGGACTCCTCACCAGTGCACATCCACGCCCCCGCCTCGGGGGATTCGAACCCAGGACCTATCAGTTGGTTAAGCGCCAGGCGCTGTTGAACTTACTACAATCTCCACAAAACCCCTTCTGAATGATATGAATTTATGCAAACTGTACTGTTAATAGGCTTTTTGACTTAACTATAAGATGCCTAATATGTTTGTTCGTTTGTTTTTAAATCCGATACTCTTCAAACTTAGTCATATAGCTAAATGGTAATGTTTCTGATTGTAACATTGATTGATTTAGGTTAGATTAACACGAGAGGAATTAGTTCTCTGTAGATTAAAGATACTGTTTGCTGTAAACTATCAACAAGCATAAAACGTGAGTCCAGTTTCTCTTGATAATCTCTTCAAAACAATTTGATATATTAATGTATACATGGATTTCAGTTCTTCATTTAATAAAGTATAAAATCTTTCATCTTTTAAAATAGATCTCAAATCTTATTTCCTTAAAATTATTCCTTCTTTGTACTTTGATCCTATTATCTTAATTGATTCTATTTTTTTGCGTTCCCGAAGTGTTGTTCGGTAACAAGCCAGCTATGATCTTGTTTTCTTACTCCTAACAAAAAATTTGAGGATATGACTACAAAAGTTGAAAAAAATAGTGGTTCCATTAAGTGATATAGAAATATATTTGTGATTGTAACCGCATCCGAATTTGAATTTAAACTGGTGATTGCATGAGGGATTGTGGATGAACACCAGGATGAAACGGACGTCCAGTACTTTCAGGTTTTCAATAGTGGTCTAGCTTAGATTGACTCATGAATTCAATTATTAAAAACAGGTAATCATCACTAAACAAATTATTGCTCTTTATATCCATCTTATTTTATTTTATTTGAACACATAGATATCGGCACAAGGGGGACACCATATACATTTGCACCACAAAAATCTCATTTGATTTGTGTGAAGACAGTGATACTGCCCGGGTGCCTAAACCGAAGCAAGTAGTTTTCTTAGGGGGCCACACCTGGATCCTTCGACCTGGAGGTCTGATCTACAAAACAGTGAAGTATCGTAAGGAGATGCAGTCCCATGGTAGCAAGTGACCAACGACTGGTTCATACACCATTTGTACCCTCAGGATACTGGAGCTCATATGCACCATTGGTTTAGAATCAGGGTTTCCCAATTCCCTTAAGTGGATCCTTCGTGTCCACTAACCCAGTTAAAGCGCCAGAGTTTCGCCTTTTCATCCTCTCAAGCTCGTAAACAACACCCTCACCACTAAAAGGCAGTGAGTAGAACTTCCCTAGCAGAGGCTATATACGCGTGGCCATTTGAGAGCATTTCGAGAGGAAGAGCGGACTCTCTGAACTCTTGGCTGTACCATGGGATCCGGGGGGGCATATTCAACAACAATAATAATAGGTTATATAATCGTTAAAACCAATCATTTAACTGGATGATAAGTTACATGAATGCAAAGGGGTGAAAGTATGAAAAATTATTCAATAATGGAGTAGGTGAGTACGAATTTGTAACCAAAACCTCATATATCATTTCAGTCATCAGTAACAACGTAGAACTTCATACGTACGTACATCAGTTCGAGTTGCCACACCACATTAGCACAGAGATGCACTTGTCGATTCAAATCCCGTAGTGGTAGAGGTAATAAGAGTATAAGCAGTAATCGGGAAGATTAGGGTTTGGAGATGTTATTTAAAGAGTATAATCCAGTGAAAGAAATTTGGAAAGAGGAAAAAAGGGACATGAAGAATTCAGAAGATTAGAATTTGGGAGAACACAGAGAGTGAATGCACCTGCGCCATTGCAAACGATTTTGAGCCATGTCATTCAGGGTCTCTAACCATCGGTTGCTGTCATCTCGCGGTCCCCAACCAGGTAGTCTACACTTACAAACATGACTCAGTTCACTTGTCAGTAACTTCATGGATTTGTGCCATGTTTTGGTTTGGCCGCCCCTAGCTTTCTTCCAACCTACTCCTATACCACTGAACATCGCACGTCGAGGCAGTCGGTCTTTGGGCATACGTAACACGTGTCCAAGCCATCTCAACTGATGAAGTTTCACTACTTCATCAATTGATTTGTCATCCTTACCTAGTACCCGTTTTCTAACAACTGTGTTACTTACTCGATGGTCCCATGATATACGAGCAATGTTTCGAAGACACCTATGATCAAATACTAGTAACCTACGGATATCCTCTACTCTTACCGGCCATGTTTCACTGCCATAAAGTAGGACGGAACGAACTGCTGTGCAGTAAACACGTCCTTTGGTTGATAGACAGATATCTCGCCTACGCCATAAATGACGCAAGTTGGCGAGAGCTAGTCGAGCCTTCTGTATCCGTGCTGAGATTTCGTCACACACTAAACCACAAGGGCTGATGAGACTTCCAAGATAAGTGAAGCGGTCGACACACTCAACTAATTCACTCCCTATCACTAGTTCGGGTGTCGATGTAACCCAATCCTGAAGCAACATTTTGCATTTCGAGGGAGAGAATCGCATCCCGAACATGCTTGCATTGTTGCTTAGAGTGGTCAGAAGACTCTGCATTTTGTCAGCGTCTTCACCAAATAAAACTATGTCATCAGCATATTCTAAGTCAACAAGTGAACCTCCTGGTAGAAGTTCAACCCTGTAAATTTAGATGAGGAGAGTGTTATCTCTAAAAGTACGTCGATGACAAAGTTGAACAACATTACATAACTTACTTGAATAAAATCATCCAATTGTTTATTGATTGATATTAATGAATTTTGAACTATTGTTATAAATATTGTAAATAATTTACTTAATTTCTCTGTAATTTCATTATATAATAAATTAAATAATGGATTATAGTCAATTAAAATGAAGCATTGTAAATTATTATTATTATCATTATTGTCATTTAAAAGACTTTCATATTTAACGTGATTTATTAAACGATTGACCCATTCAAATGATGCTTGAAATAAGCGCTAAAAATAAGGTGAATAAAATTTAATAAAAGATCGTTAAAATATGTTGTGTACTGGTTAAACTGGTTCTTATTACGTAAGATTGTTTTTAATAGAGAATTGATAGGGGAAAGATTTGTAGTTCATGTAAATATTTATCGTGGTATTGTATCCTCTTAGTTGAATTGTTTAGATGAAGAGCTTTCATCATCATTCTGAACAAAATCTTCAGCGTCTGTTTCTAGCTCAGATGACACAACAGTACCAAACGTCCTTATTGCCAGTTAAAATAATAGGTATTCACTTGATTACTTACGCCTGTTACTCCTCGTGGAGGAGCATAGGCCACTTACCAGCACTCTTCACTCAACCCTGTCCTGGGCAATCCTCTCTAGCTTCTTCCAGTTGTTATTCATCCTTTTCATATCTGATTCTATTTCCCGACGTAATGTGTTCTTTGGCCTTCCTCTTTTCCGCTTCCCTTCAGGATTCCAAGTTAGGGCTTGCCTCGTGATGCAGTTTGACGATTTGCGTAATGTATGTCCTATGTATTTCAATCGTCTTTCCCTAATTTCTTCTTCAGCTAGAAGCTGGTTTCTCCTCTCCCACAAAAGGTTGTTGCTGATGGTATCCAGCCAATGGATGTTTAGTATCTTGCGTAGACAGCTATTTATAAATACTTGCACCTTCTTGATGATGGTTGTTGTAGTTCTCCAAGTTTCAGCTCTGTACAGTAGAACTGTCTTGACGTTCGTATTGAAGATTCTCACTTTGATATTGGTTGAAAGTTGTTTTGAGTTCCATATGTTCTTCAATTGTAGGAATGCGACCCTTGCTTTGCCAATCCTCGCCTTTACGTCTGCATCTGAACCTCCTTCTACATCGATGATGCTTCCCATGTATGTGAAGGATTGTACATCTTCCAGAGTTTCGCCATCAAGTGTGATTGGCTTGGTGTTCTCCGTGTTGTAAAATATTAGATAGAAGCCCAATAATACTTAGAGTTCAGTCAAAATGTTTTTTTTTCATGTGTGTTGTAATTTGTACACATTTTAAAACATGAAAAACAGAACATCTAATAGTCAGCTGAAATTGTCTCGATTAAATTGTTATTAAAGTAATCAGTATTGGATTGGGTGTATGAGTATGATTATGAAAATTAATGTTCAGTCAATTCACAAACGAAATTCATTAGGATTTATTTTAAATAAAGGTGCTTTCTTTAAAGCAATAACCATGTATTCACTAGTGATCAACTTTAAACTGAATTCTAAGAGTTCCAAATAAAATTCAAGAGATTCAATAAAGTCCAATGTTTTTGAACACGAGACAGTTGTCACTAGTGATCGTAGAATATTCATTACTAGTAGGAAACCCAAGTTCAAAACTTTCTTCCAACTACCTTCAAGCAGATAACGTCAAGACATAGAGCACGTAAAATCAAGTCACTTAAACTGATGATTACATCTCAATCGGACCGGTAGGATGCAATCAACACTAACGCTCAACAAAATTGATGTCTATTATTCAGTAGTGATCAATCGATTCAATTTTATTTATCTAACAGATAATAAAACTCGGTCCAAACAGCTCAAGTGTGCTATCTCAGACTGTAGGAGTGGAGTATATTAGTCCGAATCCTGTAAAGCATAAGTTGCTTCGAGATTGCGAGTGCACATAGCTTATGAGTATCAACTAACACGAAACATAAGTCTGACGTTTTCTGCCAACTACCTTCAACCACTTAACATATCTTTGGATTAATGAAGTTCAAAACGTAAGTCAACAGATGGTACTAAATCTACGATCTTAAGATTTTAAAGATATAATAATGTCACTAAATCATAGGATGAAAATTCAATAGTTTAAATTGCCCAGTAAAATTGAGTTTACAGTAGAGTCTGATTTTTATTTAATATTTTCAGTCGGTAACTTCTATACTTTTGAATTAATGCAATACAATAGATCTTGGATTTTTCCAATAGTTGAGATCATGAGTCAATTGAAGCCAGACCACCATGAAAAACCTGGGAGCACTGGACGGCTGCTTCGCCCTATTGTGGGACTCCTCAGCAGTGCGCATTCACGACTTCGCCTCGCGGGATTCGAACCGAGGACCTAACAACAAAACTCTTCTAAATAAATCCGAACTTTAATAGACATACAATTATTATTAATTTTCGCGGAAAGCATTTGAGCTATTATTCTACAACTGATATCGGTTTGTGGTGAAAATCATCGTCAAACGTATACAACAAATTTTTTAAACAACTGTTAGAATTGAAATGTGTCTTAATATACTACTTGAATGACTCACTTGATGTTTATGAAATTCTGTATGTAAATCTTCATTCCTTAATAGTATACTTAACTCATTTATTGTTTCATCCATATTGATAATCCACTGTAAAGATAGCATTATATTATTCGTCTTTTCATGTATTCTGTCACTCCATGAAGTCAATAAACAGTCATAAAGTTTCATCGCTTCACATCTATAAATAGAATAGTTTATAGTCTAAATTAAAATGTATTGGATTATCTCGTTGTTGATATTTCGACTGAATTTTTATTTGTCTTGGTTGGCGCGTGTCCATCCGCTGCGGATTGTCTCAATATAGCTAATTATGACACAATTTAGTACACAATAGATGGAATGTAACCAGCAATAGAATCCATGACGAGCGTTTCGTCGTATCTTGGGCTCGTCATTTGTACGTACCTGCATTCTAGAGTTCATATCTATCCCGAAACTTAAACCCAGTACCGTTCGTTTCAATTGCCACCACGTTATTCAATTAGCTGCTGAGTCTAGACAGCCAGTAGTTCATTCCATCTATTCTGGAACAATATTTAGTAGTGATCGTAATAATTATTTGATCTAGGTAGGAGCCATTAAGAATTAGTATAATTTGAACAGAATTATTGAAAAACAAAGAGCTACTGTGAATTTATTTCATCTTTAATGGTATCCAACCAATAGGTTCATGCGAAATAGAACCTAGATACTTTGAGTAAAACAGCAGACAAGTGGCCAGTAGATGACTGAGCAAAAACTCAATGGGTTATATCTTCAACTTATCAAACCTTTTGATAGATCACATAGTTTATTTTCTACCAGGAAATTTGAAATACTCGGATGACATTTTCCTATACAGTTAAGATACTAACAAAATGAGGAGTCTACTAATCGCTTTAAGTAGCAATACAAGTATGCTTTGGATGCGTTTCTTTTATTCTACATGCAAAATATTGCTTAAGGATCAGTCCATGACAACAATGAAATTAATTTTAAGTAGTGAAGTAGTTGAAGGTATCGACTACGTGACTTATTTCTCACTTTTCATCCTACATGGTGGGTTGGTGTCCAACTAAATCTCTTCACAAATTTAGACTTCTTGAAGGTAAGAAGTTCAGACAATTTCGCTGAACGAAACGGAATTATTTAAATATCAATCACTGAGATTAATTTAAACACAATTTTTACGTATAATGAGATTATTCATAAAATAAGACAACCGAATTCAATGACCACAATACTATTCCGTGCACTCAACTCCTACTCAAACGTTTTGTACAAAGCTTAATGACGTCAACTAGTTGTTTAAACTTAAATTGCTTAACACAGGATTTGAACCTTTTATTGGCGAAAAATCAACCGAATTATGCAACAAACTACTCTTCATATATATTATAATGAAATGAGATAAACATAATTCGGATTAGCTTGACTCACTGTTGCTCAATAAGAGAGTGTAATCCCATTTGAGATGCATTTTCAATGGTAGGGAAGTAATTATGACCACTAATATTAAGATGGGATTGATCCAGATCCATATCAGATAATATCGATTGATTATGATGAAACTGATGTTCAGGTACAAGGCCTAAAATTAAGATTGTTTGAAATTAAAGAATTAACTTTCAGGCAATTTTATTCATTTGTTAATGGCATTCTCGAGGATTGGTCTCATCTGTTGTATCACCAAAAAGTATGAAGCACTGGACAACTGGTTCAAACTAGTACGAGATTAATGTCAGAGGGTTTTTTTGTATATTATAGTAATTTTAAGAATTGAGATCATGAATCAATTGAAGCTAGACCACCATGGAAAACCTGGAAGCCCTGGATTCCTTATCCCTCTACATCCACGAGTCCGTCAGAGATCTAACCCAAAAACTTTAGTCTCATAACGAACATCTAACCATTCGACTTCTTGGTTGGAATCTCATCGTCGCTTCATATAGCTAATCGGCTGGATTTATGTATCAATGGGACCCAACTCACTTTTCTACTGATTATACTCTCGCTTGGTCATAAAAAATGCTCGACTTAATAGTCGAATTCATTTGCATCAGTACTATCAAATGTAGACCATATCAATTAAATACAGTGATCACAGATTGTGGTTATCTCTCAGATGTAAATCATGAGATAGTTAACTGAACTCAGTACAATATTTAATAAATTCATGGATCTAAATTTTTATTGTTGTTTGACAGGTGTTATTCTCTTTCCAACTTACTTCTCTCCTTGATAACATACCAACTTACGATAAATAGTGTTTGGGTATCCATGATACATGCCAAAAACATTTTTTTTTGATGAAGATTCACAGACTCATTATAAGTCCTGGAAAATCAACAACTATATTTCCATTTAATTCTTTGCTACTTAAATCTTATTATTCTGTTCCATTTTAACATCCATTTAAGTTGCCTCATACATTTTTTGACATATTTGTTAGTATCAACTTGAAACAATCCATTAATTTTTAGGTTTTTCAACGATTGTTATCTTGTCTAATCTTCAGTGTTGATCGAACTATATTGATCAGATTTTCAGCGCGACCACCTAAACTAAGTAACTCTACTTAGAGATGTATTTTATTTTTATGTTACTTGATTGGAGACAAATAGAAAGTGGCTGTGGATCTACATTTTTTACTAGTAGTCACTTCTCAGCACGACATGCTAGTAATCTGACTATGACATATTAAGATGTGATTTCTATTAGCGGAAAGGGTAACAATTTCGTTCGACTGAAATGAAACGTAAGTTTAGAAGCTTTCTTTTGACTGTCCTCAATCAGTGAACAAAAGTGAGTTGTACGAATTACCTTGCTCACAAACACTCCATACAAAACTAATTAAATATATCGTTACAATGAATTTATTTATGTAGTCCACCTTAGAAAGGCACAGTAAACTGATAATTTCATTACATTAAATAGTATTAAAACTGCGGACAAATCAGTTTTCATACAAATGATACTATTGAAGGAAAGAAAAATAAAGCAGAACTTCTAACCAAAACGTTCATGTAAAATGGATCTTCATTAAAAATTATAAAGCAACATTAAACCCATAATATTTTTTAGTCTAATATGCTTATAACATTAAAAAACCCACCATCCAGAAGTGGCTCATATAATCTTGTATGAAGACGAAATGAGCAAAGCCTAACTCATCGTTGACCAAAAGCCAAGATCTATGCTTCACCGAAAACCTGGATACCAAGTAAACAAGTGTAGCACATTCCATTTTGTTGAAGAGTTTTTATGTATAATAGGGTATATATACCTTAGGAGGGGCACTCGTGGTCTCAGTCAGTCAGTAACAACGTAGAACTTCATACGTACGTACATCAGTTGAAGTTGCCATACCAAATTAGCACAAAGGTGCAATTAACGATTCAAATCCCATGGTGATATAGGTAGTAAAAGTATAAGCAGTAATAGGAAAGATTAAGGTTTGAAGATGTTATTCAACGAGTATAATCCAGTGAAATAAATTTGGAAAGAGAAAAAAAGAGAAAGGAACATGAAGAATTCAGAAGATTAGAATTTGGGAGAACACAAAGAGTGGATGCACGTGCTCCATTGCAAACGATTTTCAACTATGTCATTCAAGGTCTCTAACCATCGATTGATATCACCTCGCGGATTGCAATCAGGTAGTCTACATCTACCAACATGGCTCAGTCCACTTGTCAGTGACTTCATGAAATTGTGATATGTTTTGGTCTGATCGCCTCTAGCTTTCTTCCAACCTACTCCTACACCATAAAACATCGCACGGCGGAGCAGTCGGTGGTTGGACATACGTAACAGGTGTCTCAGCCATCTCAACTGATGAGGTTTCACTACGTCATCAATTGATTTGCCATCATCACCTGGTACCCATTTTTTCTAACAACTACATTACTTACTCGATAGTCCCAGGATATACGAGCAATGTTTCGAAGACACCTGTGATCAAATATCAGTAACCTACGAATATCCTCTACTCTTACCGACCATGTTTCACTTGTATAATGTCGTGGTCTATATCTAGGGGTGAGTGAACAAAGTAAATGTATTTCAACGGTCTAATTAGAGCGTATGAAAGATAAACATACTCCATCATTTATCTGAGTATTCGTCAAAAGTTGGACGAATAACTGAACAGAAACTGGGTCATATATATATATATATACCAAATAGAAAATAGAAAGACACAAATAGAAATAAACACTTCATTCATTAACCTTTCACAAATTCTGTATAACTTGGTAGATAACAATTAATCATATCACGAATAGACACATTGGTTACTTCTAAACCATTTGGATTCATTCTATTCCATGGAATCATAGTTGTATGTTTTAAATAATTTCTATTCATTAAATTAGAATTTTTATAAAACATTTGAATGATAGAATGAATATCAACTTGATTATCAATAATTTCACAAATATTATCAATTTCTTTCTCTTCATTGAAATAGATTTGAGTAAGTTGATTTTCTAATATGATTTTGTTTAAATGTAATGATTCTTTGAATTGTTCAAATGTCAAATTGAAAATAGTTACCATAGTGACAGATGGTGGCCAAAGAAGTAATTGACTTGGTTCTTTAATAACATGATGATATGAGTATGAATATAAAGTTGGGTTGTTGTTTTTTTCAAAAGGAAATAGACAAAATAAGATTAATTAACATAGTTTAACATAATAATAAGAGTTTGTGTTATCTTATTACTGATATTGAGGTATGAAGTTTATTTAGTTTTTTGTCAGTAAACATGCATCCTGAAAGAATTAACTCTATATTAACCTCTTTAGCTATATATTTATATTAAGGCTACCTCTACAAATAATGTGTTGATGCTTGAAATGACAGCTATTGAGCTTCAACATGGAAATGAATAGGTGGGATGCGTTTCGTCTTATTTGGAACTCATCATCATGTCTCATTAGTGTTAATGTTCATATTGTAACTCAAACCCAATAATTAGTGCTTTAAATATCAACATGTTTATTGACAAGGCAGAAAATACGAATCCACCAAAACTTGTAACTAAAGATGGTCCTCAGGGGATGCATGTATGTTAACATAGATTAATCCAAATTGGGTCCTTAGTTTTGAAAACAAAAAGTTGCAAACCGTTACTAGTTAATTTGTAAACATTTTGTATTAGATATCTTGAATGAATAATCCTGTACTCGTTACGATACTTAAAGGTTCTTCACACGGTTATGTTGTGTACTTTTAATTACATTATAGATCGGCCACTTTCAAACCTATATTCTGTAACTAAGAAAACAGTTTTTGGGACGTCTGCGAGTAGTACCCTAGTTCAGTTCTTGACAGCATAACTTAAATTATTTGTATGATATGGTTTGTTTCAAGTTAAAAATCTAACAAACTTATGACCGGTGAAGTTAAATCATGTCAAAATTGCGTATGCGATGAGAGACAGCGGACAGAAAACCTTCGACATGCGTGACATATTAGTTTGCAGTTTTCAGCAGGCTGTTCCCGCAATCTTGATACGATTAGTGCTACCCGATGGGATTTAAAACTGCTCTATCAAGCTTACCATGCTAAGACGTTATTTACCATTGTCTTATTCGGGCCTTTACTGATCTGCTGACTGATCCCAACCACATAATATCAAAACATAGTGTACACAATGTCAAGTAACTTAGACTAATTGTTATACCATAACTTGATCAACCAGCACTAAGTAACTTGATAAATGTGACATTGATTACTACACAATGATTCGCTAATGTAAATGTTGAGGTTGATATAGTTACTATCCGATTACAATAAACTGATTATCTATCTGTATCAAGAATTAACTAAAAGTGAAAATATAGACCTTTGAATTCTAACCTAACGGTATGTTTAAAAGTATAATGTACCTTGTTAAACCTAGTGATATTGAGTTTTATCCCGAATACGGTTGTATATCTGTTCTCATTTGTAAGAACCTTCAAACTTTTTACATATTCTACCAGTTTTCTAGTGGCCTTTCAGTTAAAACATACCAATTGATGATAACAAAAATCTATCTTTAGAAATAAAACAAACCTAGACAATTGGAATTAAAGTAAAATTCATTCCCTATTAATGGATAGTTAATGTCAGAAGGGGTTTTGTGGAGATTTTAGTAGTTTCGATAGTTGAAATCATGGGTCAATTAAAGCTAGACCACCATGGAAAACCTGGAAGCACTAGACGACCGTTTCGTCCTAGTGTGGGACGCCTCACCAACGCGCATCCACGATCCCGCACCCCGCGAGACTCGAACCCAGGACTTACCAGTGTCGCGAGCGAGTGCTTAACCATTAGACCACTGAGCCGGCCGGTATCCAACGATGTTAATGTCTAACTTCAACCAATCCACAAAATTGCGCCACCGTACACCATTGTCTTCAGTGAGCTGGTATCTCACAACAGATCTGGCTGAACTCCACTGGTAACGGCTTCTCATTAGAACTTCACGAAATGTCTCTTGAATTCAGTCACTAGTGAGCAGATGATTATTATCAGAAGGGGTTTTTTGGAGATTCCAACAATTTCAATAGTTGAAATCATAAGTCAATAGTTAAGGTTCATATATTGGATACTTTTAACTTACCCTCAGATTGTTTTAATAAAACAGGATAAATAACTAAACGAGAATTGTTCACAATTATATCTTCTTTAATATTCTCTCTTTGTTTATCTTTCTGTTCTATACTGCTCAACTTTAATTCATTATAAATGTAGTTTTGTATACTTGATTGAAATTTATATAAAAGAGAACTTGCCAGTCGATAACGGATACAATGTAATACATTTGGAAAATTATCCAATTGGTTACGTAATTGTTCTAAATCACTTTTTATTACTAAACCTTTTTTCCATGTTTCAGTCATCGATATAGTTTGATTGATTTCTCTTTGTTTAAAATGAAGAATACAACAGAAAGAAGTTATTTAAATGTCAATAAAGAATAATTTAAAAGGTGTTTTATAACGGAGAATTCAATTATATACTGTGGTGCGTGCTACTTATATTGATATAAGTAGTACATGACGCGAGTCAGGAATGTAATGTCTGGCAGCAGAAGATTGGGAAGATCAAGAAAGGAAGAACGGGAATAGGAAGCAATTAGTGTGAAAATGCAAGAACAATGAAGTTCGAGACAATTATTGAACATTTTGCAAATTAAGTATTATAGTATGGTTTTTTTCTATTTTACCAAGTAACTCTATAATTTTGTGCTAAGTAATAATTCGATTTTCCTCACCCATGTTCTGTTCACTACAATACTATTGTAAATCTAGGAATTTTATTGAACATAAGTATTCAATGAGTTTTTGTACATTGAAAGTTGAGATCACAAACAAATCTAAGTTGGACAACCATTGAAGACCTTGAAGTAATGGATAGTTATTTAAATAGCATGAAACTCCTAAGTAATGTTCATTCTTGATGAACTCACAGGGGATCAAACTTAGATCTTTCAGTCTCGTGCGTAAACTCGTAACCTCTAGACCACTAATTAACAACACATTTATATATAACTCCAAACTCAATCAATCCACAATATTTTCCGGCTATCTTTCATTGTCACTGGTAGATATTCGTCTCACATTGGAGCTCGAGTCACAAGTCATGACCAGTGGAGCTCAAATTGGAATCAGTTATCTTGAGAAGACAATGGATAGTTTGGCTTTTGATAAACAATCGTCACTTCGTAATACTATTTATAACAAGCAGCTGTCATCATAACAACATTAGTGAGCCTTATTTAATTCAAGTGGACAAAGTAATGAAATTAATAGTATGTAATGATCAACTTACTTAGAGTTCCAATTTAATTCATCTTCTTTATAACGTATTAGTTTAGCAAGAGCATATCTTGCAAATTTTAATGCAATACATATACAGTTTGTTACATGTGATATTAAAATAGTATTGTAACGTATATTTCGGTTAATGTGAGCACAAAATTGTACCATATTCAATGGACTGTACAAAATAAAAAGTCTTAATAAGAAGAACATACATACTAAGACATAAACGAGAAATCCTAATTATTATGTAGCTACAATGAAAATACTTTTTGACCTGTAGAAAGGAGGTTTTAGAATTATATACGCAGATAAATAAATAGATACCAGTCATTTATTATGTGTAACAAGTCGAGGAAACTACAACTTATGGATAAACCGATGAAATTAAGGATAACACCTATTTCCTAATCCTAACTTTTAATTCTAAAACCTAACCGTCTTTGAAGCCGAACAAGTAAGTGAATATTCTCATGATCATTGTAGCATCGCTTAAAAGGTCGTCCATCAATTATTGTCTCATCAACAAGTCTTACTCCATGATTTCATTTTACATTAGTGCCTACACAAAAAAGAGAGGAGGGGGGTTGGACTAGTTGGGCGAAATTTCGGTAGGTGGATACTGGGGATCAACATACAGGGTTTAAAAAACTATGACTCCAAACCAGTGATCCACATTAGATCCAGGTTTTTAAATAAACAAATGATTTATGAGTCCACTTTGGTTAAATCAAACATTCATAGACACCTTAGAAGAATCATCTCCTCCGACTAGGTAACATAGAGCAGTAATGCACACCTCACGTAACAAATGATAATCAATAAACACTATGATCTATCATATTTAGAATAAAAGTTTATCTTATTATTAAGATAAAATAATCATTCACATAACTTACCACGTGCTATTCGGAAAGAATTTCAAAGTATCCAGAGAATCAAAGAGTCTACAAACAATGAATAAGCAGAAGAAGAAGAACTAGTAACATACACAGACTTTAAAAATGTGAAAATCAAAAGAGTACATGACTTTTTAATGCTAGACACACACAAAAAAATCATGAATAGAAAATGCATGAGGTAATCTATTGAACACTGAACTATTTTACCAAACAGAATTCAGTAATTCATATCTATATAGGATTAAAACAAATCAGGAAATGGAAATGTAGTATAGTTAAAAAATAATACTCAGTGGAGAAGTTTTGTAGCTCAGGTGGATGATTTTGGTGGAGTTTTGTTCTCTGAGCTAGATGGTTTGGTCGTGGAAACTTTCCATTATTAAAAAGATTATGATAATAAATATATGAAATTTTTTGATTGAGATCATGAACCGATTGATGTTAGACCACCATTGAAAACTTGAAAGCACTGGATAGCTGTTTCGTCCTACTTTGGGACTCCTAAGCAATGGAGCTAATCCGTGTCGGGTAGAGACAGGTATCTACATCAGAACAATGGAAGATGGCCGCACAATCGCGTGGATCGGTTGAGGCTAGACATTAACACCGTTGGATGCCGACTTAGTAGTCCGGAAGTTAAGCGTGCACGTGCAAGATTGAAGACCCTGGGTTCGAATCTCGCGAGGGTCGGGATCGTGGATACGCATCGCTGAGGAGTCTCACAATAGGACGAAACGGCCGTCCAGTGTTTCCAGGTTTTCAGTGGTGGTCTAACATCAATCGTTTCATGATATCAATCAAAAGCTTAATAATCTCCACAACTCTATACTGATATCTGAAATTTGTTAGAAATTTCTTAATATGTAAATTATACTCATCATAAATTAATATTCGTCCAAAAGTAATATTGAGTACAGGAAAAACTAAATAATTATCTAATCTTAGTTTATTAATAGTTTCAAGAGCTCTATTTCAATCTTTTTGATGAATCAAACTCAGAACTTGGAATGCGTTACTAATCAATAATTAATTTATAACTCAGTGACCTACTTTATTAGCTTCATTTAATAATAACACACTGAAATTTCATGCAATTAATTCCCTTTACCAATTTAAATAAAGCCAGAACGAACATGGATGCAGAAGAATATGAATTCATTATATTTCGCGGTTTCTAATCAGCTGATTACAACCAAATATGTATTGGAATTTTACATTGGGGTAAGATATAGTGTGGAGCAATTGACATAAGTGAATGTAAAGAATTAGAATGACAATGGTCAACAATGATAACTATATATACATATGTGCAAGGACTGGTCAGAGATTATTTGGTGTTAGAATTAAGGAAACATTAAGGATGAGTGATGTAATAGTTGAGTAAAGTTCAGAGATAGATAAAATAAATTATGTGATAATTTTAGAAGCAATGAGGGGTTTACATGATATTTATGAAATTAAAACAAAACTGGTAAGATGGGTTACGTAATAACTGAATAGGATTTAAAGAATTAACATAATTTATGAGAATCAAGTGAGTGAAAATATATGAGTGAAGGTGTGATTTAAGAATTCGGTAATGGAAGAGGAACATAACAAACTAAACATTAACAAAATAAAACTAATGACCGAAAAATTGAATTACTGAGGTAGTAATAGGTCTATCACTGTCTCTTTGAATACATAGATCCGATTTAAGTTTTTTATCGCGATCGCTTCTGCAAAACGGAGAAGCCGAACTTCTTTGTCTGTTAATAATTTTAAAAGCATAAAGGATGTCAATGATATGCCCGGTGCCAAGTAAATGCTGAGTTATTGCATTGCTGAGAGCCCTTGTCCCTCGCAATCTCAATTTATTTAGAACATGCTCAGAAATGAGAACATGTACTCTTCTCTCGGTTCTTCCAATGTATGTGCTTTGGTACGTACATGTAAACTGGTAAATGCAGTCGGAGCTACTGAAAAAAGAGGACCTGTCGATTTTAGTTTGTTTGAGCGAGCAGTTCGTTTCCCATAGCGTCGTCAATTTTGCTGCTGTGTAGGTCAGTTTCAACGCGGAATTTATTCTGCAATTAATTATTTCAGTGATTTCGTCTCGTTTAAAGAGTAAGTATAAGAAGCAGATTTTCTTTTCCACTCTATCATACTTTACCCGAGGGTTGGTTTCTGCATATTTCTGGATGAAGTTCGCCGAATATGCATTTTCACGTAGACAATTTGTGATGAGAGTAATTTCATCTTCCAGGCATTCCTTTGAGCAAATTTTGCGTGCGCAGTCGAAAAGGGTTCGGACAGTACCCTTTTTGTAACTCATTGGACAGAAACTGTAGTAATTGAGATAAACTCCACTCCAAGTATTTTTGCGGTAATGTGCCATCTGATGTTCGTCTGACTCCAATATCAAGGAAATTGAATTTACCTTCTACTTCATGTTCCATAGTAAAATCTATATCCTTGTGTGCTTTATTAAACAGATTAAGGATGTTCATGGAATGCTTATGATTGTTTCAGACGAGATATGTGTCGTCAATATATCTACAATAGAGTGTAGTTCCATAGATTATGTGCTTGAGCTTCTTCTGTTCAAGGTTTCCCAGAATTGGACCCAAAGAGCTAACCATGGTTACTCCATCAATTTGGCTGTACAACACATTGTTGAAGCGAAATTGTATGTTTTTGGTACGCAGAAACAGGAGCTGTTTAAATTCATGGATTGGTAAAGGCAGAAGTTCAGGATACTCACATATGATATCTGCCGTTTCTCCCAAGGAGATCTTTGTGAAGAATGATGAGACATCAAACGAGACCATGAATTTATCAGAAGCAATTAGACTATCAAGCTTTTGTACAAATTCAAAACTATCCTTCAGACTGTGGGGTGCTAGTTTCTTAAGGATTGGTTCTAAGCACCTTGTCAGCCAGCGGGCGAGTTTATGGAAGGATGATCTGGTTATAGATAATATTGGTCTTATCGGGATGTCGAGTTTGTGTGTTTTAGGTAGGCCGTATAAGTATGGTAATTGTGATCCTTTTGGTTTGAGTCCGTTGTATGTATGATTATCTATTAGATTTTTCTTCAAGAGTTCTGTCAAATTTTTTAAAAGACGCTTCTCAGTCGCATCTGTTAGGTCTTTCTGGGTATTATCGACGATAAATATAGTGGAATCATTTAAAATGAACGTTACTTTCCCAATGTATTCACCTCTGTTTACAGTGATTACACCTAAACCCTTATCTGGACGAAGTAGCAATATTGTTTCGTCTTTCATAAGTTTTCTCAATGCTTGCTGGTGATATTTAGTCAACACCTTAAATTGTGGGACTGGTTTCGTAACGTACGGATTTGTAATATCCACTAATTTCTATTTCAACCAACTTTGTTTTTCGTCATTCATGGGTTTGAATTTCAAATTACCATCTACTGTAAGTGAATCTCATGACATTCTCCGAGTGATGCTTCTCTAATTTTATCCACGGTCATAGATTCATTTGACAAACAAATTTCAGACCACTTCATTCAACATTCAGTTTGGAATCGATCATACTTCGAACGGCCCATGGTAATTGACATTAGCAGTGTTGAGTGAGGCTCCATTTAGACATTGTGTGTAACTACAAAAGTAATCCTTTAGATCAAAGCTCTTGAATTGTCAATCTGTAATCGACCAGTTGCATACTACTAGATTTATCTTAAAAGTTCGAATGATTGTACATTTTCAGTTTGTTTGTATCAAACGGGATTGTTTGAGAATATTCTGTAGTTATTCGGTTGTTAACTATCTTCGAATTCGGTTTGTTGATTGGCTGCTGCTGCAACAAACTTCTCCGTATTTCATGTTCCTGTCCTTCTTAATGGTATAATGCATTGTGTTTGTTGTATTGACATTGAGAACTATTCGTGAGTATGAAGTTTGTACAGCACAAATAACCAAGTCAGAAACTATACACACTATCTAATGCTGTATTCTATATAACAATAACCTCATACAAGTTGCGAATGTCCGAGATTTATTTATTGGTCAATAGAGGGAGTCAGCAGATGACGTATTTGTAGAATGCACACAAATTTGCAAATCTTTCCCAATCTTCGTTTCCCTCTCCCAGACAGTCTATGTCGTCCCACGATATCTTCATTTCCTGTGCTGTCTCTTCCGACTTTGGCGTTTAGATCTCTCATCAGAATGGTGAGGTTCTTTTTGGGAACTTCTCTATGAATGATTGCAGCCGCTCGTAGAATTGGTCTTTAATGTCGTAGTCGCTATCAGCAGAAATTATTCCTAATTTCCCTTTTTTATCAAGTGATTATTACCACAAAACCACAGTTTTCTTGCATACATCTGTCTTGCTATTTTAATTATTGATATTTACTAATTGCGTTATATGAAGTTATTCTCCAAATATCCACCGATAGTTATTAAGATTTTTTAGATGTTTATCAGGAGGGGTTTGTGGAGATTTTAGAAAATTCACAGATTGAAATCATGAGTCAATTGAAGCTAGACCACCATGGAAAACATGGAAGCACTAGACGGCCGTTTCGTCCTAGTATGGGACTCCTCATCAGTGCGCATCCACGATCCCACACCTCACGAGATTCGAACTTAGGACCTATCATTCTCGCGCCAAGAGCTTAACCAACTAGACCATTGAGCCGGCATCCAATCATATACACATTTTCCTGTATGTAAAGCAGAAAAATGATATATGAAGTTCCTCTATGTCTTTAAAATCTACGGCTTCTCGAACGCTAAAAAGGTTGAAAATAATAGTTTAGAGGTCATCAGATTGCTCCTAGTTAGAATTTAGTGCCAGAATTAGGGATTCGGGACTAGGGTAATGAGTCCATTTAAGTTTTATATACAATCTTTAAAGGAAGAACCAAATTTTTAAAACTTATTTTTACCGAATGATGACAAAAAATTCCTTTCAACGGTTTTAAACGTTCTAAGAAACATACTTAAACATCCCTGTCGCTCTCTTAATACGGTATGAGATCAAATTCGTTCATTCTTAAATTTTATGTAAAATCTGAAAATCACTTATGGTGTAAAAATGCCTCTGCATAACTTAGCACAGATACATGTCCCATAAAAAGACTATCAATAAAATAGGAATTAAGATATATTTGAACATATAATTCAGGTAAAATTACAAAAATGTCGGGTTTCACTTATTTAAAAGGTATGTGGTACTGTTTGTGCGGTGTAGAATGAAAAGCTACTACACTTCACTTTATTCTAAACCAATGTTTAATAACGTTTTATAAAATCTTTAAACATCTAATGGAAATATTTTTCATCTATACACTTACTTTTGAACTACCTGAAATAATCGAACATATAAAGGATTTGCAAGTAGACAATTATTTAATAAAATATTACGTATCCGTTTGAATTTTCTTCTTCTCGTAATTTGACGCCAGCTGAAATTCGAAATGTATATGAGATATTATTAACTTTGTGTTAGCACCAGATAAAATCATCACATAATAAATGAATATCATTACTGGACTATTCTGATCAGTCTGAGAGTGGACATTAGGATACTGGGATATTAAGTATATTATATGATCTTATCTTATGCTTGAGACTCTGAAAAGTTGAAGATCTTTAAATGATGGGATATGACGACCCGATTCATGAGAGCGAGATTCGACATGAAAAAAAGAATATAAATAGATCCCTATTTATGTTAGGAACAAGCATCAAAAATGAGCCATAGAAGGGTGGTTGTGTAAGGAAAGAATGTACATAGTTCAGGTCTCAGATCGCTCGATATTTTGGGCCAATAATTAGTTGAATACAGTTTGACAAATTCATCTAACAAAAAATCCGGTACAACGTCAAGCATACACTTATAATTTTATCTAGTTTGCCAATGAAACCCATATTTTCCACAATTCCAGCCCATAAATGAAGAATCAAGATACCCTTGTAATTCAATGTCATCCTAAAATACTGTATTCACGACGCTTGACTTAAATAAGGAACATTAAACCCGTGGTAGACTTATATTTTCAAGTGTTGTTTGTAAACAAATAAAGTGGATCCCGGTACTTAATGTATGTTTTCCTAGTTAACCTAATCAGTCATAATTTATGCTACGTAAAATTTAAAGCATGAGACTTTTTACCAATTTTAGTGAGTTAAGCGGACTAAAATATGACACTTCTTATCATCTGCAGACTTCAGTGTTCATTTAACTTACGTGAAAAGGGGTTTCCAAGCTGAAAGGTAGCAAAATGTGAGATTTTTCTTTAAAGCTTCGCATAAAACTGCTTCTGAAAACCATTCTGTGAGACTTAAATGCTCCTGTTCAGTTCCAGTCGCGACCAGTATACCGAATGTACTGAATATATAATGTGGTTCGTCATTCTGCAGAGAACAGTATAGATTGTAAGAGTAGATTTTATCTACGTTAACAATAAATTTCTCTTGCAATACATAGTTCATAAACATAATTTTTCCAGACGACTTAAAGTTAAACCTTTGCATTCAGCCTTAAATTATTAATCTTTATATTTTTGGCTTTTTAACTCCATGCAATACTCTGACATTCACCTCGAAAATCTTTAGATAGCAGGATGATCTCTTGAGAGTTAAAGGTTACTTTTATCAGATCGTTTACAGAAAATAGAGGTGGAAACCGTGACTCTAATTATTTCCATTAGCCCGAATAAAAGTGTATATAAACTTGGACATGTTAATGTTATCTGAAATAAAAATTATATGCCTTTTCATGCTTGAGATCTCTACGTTTCTTCGTCGAGACTCTTTCCTCAATATTACTGTAAACTGCTCATTATGCTGAATAAAGCTTTTAGAATCCGATTCTTTAGTGATTCTAGTGTTGAACTATCGTATCTTCCAACCATAAGATTACTTTCTGTTGTTTTGTTTCACAAATTTAGGAAACATCTCAGTGATAACACTTGCAAATTTCGTCATCCCTGTTTTATTTGAACTTAACATCATGTTAGTAGACGATAATTGTTGTTATAAAGAACCTGCATTTATTCTCTATATTCGATCGATTTATCCACTAAAGGTATTATTTGGCTCGTCTCAAAAGTTTTATGAAGTTTTTTTAGTGACTGTTGCATAAAAGTGACTAGAAAAAGAACCATTTAGCATTTTGTAGAATTGATTGGATTCGAGGCCAAGTTGTAGATCATTAAGAAATGAAGGAATTACAATAATCCAGAGGAATACTACCTTTTAGCAACAAATTGTTTCCTTAAAAAAATAAAGACGTGAAAAAGTTAAATAGATTATTTGATTATGAAACTATCGCTTAAATTAGCTCATAGAAGGGTTTTCAAGCCTTTGTTTGTCTTATCATCGTCTTCCTGGATGCTCCCAATTCTTAATTCTTTGTTTGCGTATTCGACATTAATATGAGAACAAAATGATACATACCCATAAATATTCCTAGCGTTTTAGATTTGAGTAAAACTATGAATGAAATTCCTATCATACTTTATGATTAGTAATATCAACAGACTTGACACTGACTTATGATGCACATTACAATCATGCACTTCAACCCAGAAACTGGTCATGAAGTATTTCGTTATTACAATAATCAGTAAACAAATCATATAACATCCCAATATCTCAGTTGAAAGGCTTGAGAATCCAAACAAAGCTTTACCTGAGATGATTTGTTGGGTATCTATAAGACACAAATGAAAGCATCTTTCATATCATTATACTTACCAATTCCACATACCAGATTCAAACAATTGGCAATTAATAAAGTAAATGGATCTAAGAATATGCCTCATCTTTTATCTTAGATATTTTGCGGTTGTAAGCTGGACAATGCAAAGGCGTAAACAGAGGTACAACTGGTATGAATTATAATCCCATAAATTCTAAGAAATCAGTTTTGGATTGCAGTTTAAGTATTTATTTATAATAGTAGGTAAATAATAGGTATCTCGGAAAAACTAGAATCCGCTTGTCTGAAATGATAACTCAAAGGGTATAAACTTCACGATCTATTAAAATTATCTCGACTACATTTATAGATATTCTACTAACTAAAATGATACATTATTACTCCTTAGTGATATTTACTAAATTCCAGCACTCAGATAATCACTGAAAAGACCAGCTGGTGGCATAGGTGTAGTCTTTGTTATTCATAATGCTGATAGGAAGAACAGAAAACCAATACTGTCTCCGTGATTATCGTGGCGGTTGAAACCTTTCCCACATGTACTCCAATAAATCTTTATGGTTGGAGAACCTTCTGAAATGTGCATGATGAGGAGGTCTTTTAAGTAACTTGTTGTACTAAAACCAGTTAGTATGATCCAGGTGATTGGCTTAAGTCCGTAAACTGTGACGGACTTCTGTACGCAAAATTAACTTGCATCTAGACTTCATGTTATAACTGCCCTAAATTATTTTAAGAAAAAAATTTGTCCATTTACCCTTGGTCTTAAAATAGGTTCTAGATCATATGGTGATATATTTCTGCTCTCGAGTTTTTTTCTGGTGAAGTACATAAACTCATAAACTCCCATTTTTCTACAGACTGAAAAGTAGACGATTGCATCAAAACCATTATTTGGGCGCATATTCTCAATTTCTTTTGAAGGTGTTTCGGATTTATTACTTGATAAATTCTTTATGTATTCATTAAATGCTCTGTATTTCGAGTTACCGAATGGAATTTTTTGTAAAAGATTTTCCTGTCAGAAGATAATATACAGTTTATTTCAGAAATTTACCAATGGATGATCTTCCTGTCCTAACAAACAAAATAATGAACTTTGATTACTCTTTGTTTTACTACTATCGACAGAAATCTATTATGTGGATCAAAGGAAGTGCATAATTACTGATTTCCCGTCTTGAAAATTACTGACACCGCAGTAACATGAAGGTAAAAGTGGAATAGTGACAGATTCACTATCGTACACCATGTTTGATTCTGTGGAGCATGTAGTTAACACGTACGAAAACATTTCAGAAAGTTCAGCAAAAATAGTTCTTAAACGTAATGTTGGGCTTGACGATCTATCTCCTGATTGGTTATCAAGTGAAATTTGAAGATCCTTCATAGATCGATTGGCAAAATATCTGAACTATAAAAAACTATAAGTTGATGGGGTGGAACCCACAGTTTACCTCAGCCTCATCTTTTACTGATCGTACAAAATCCAAGTTTGTAGTCACAAAAGAGTATAAATCTTCCCACAAATTAATACTTTATTCGTTAATTTATAAAATTACAATGATTATGAAAATTTGAAAATATTACCTATCTCCTGCCAAAACTTGCACAAATAGTGACCTTAGCATAAACTTTTTGTCGAAATCTGATCTAAGGTAGTCTTTGTTCATTTTATTGAGAACTTCAACAATTTCCATCGTTTCCTTTAACAAACATGTGCAGAATTCAAAATAGTGAAATAGCGTAGCCAATAACAATAATACTATAACTGTATATGGTGATTTTAAACAAAACAGTCTGAACAATCATTTTTCGAAAGAAAGAAACACAAAAGTTCTGATTCATCTAACAGACACTGATATGCATTTTAAAATAAATTTATGGTTAACCAATATGACGTATTACAAAAAAGAGAATGAGCGTTTTACGAACAAATATTTTATTCCTAATGTGTTCTGAATTTCTCACTTTGTTTCCTGAGACCTTATCCAATGATCCTTCCTGACCTCAAAGTCCAGCCAGTTACTTTTGTTTTTGATTTTTATCCAACTTGATTTCAATTGTGGTTTTGCCTCGGCTTAACATTCCGTTTTCGTTTTTGGAATTTTCACGTCGACGCTAGGTTTATTATATCTTAAATTTTTTCAGTATCCGTTTTTATACGTTTTGAGTGCATTGTTTCTTATAACGGTCATCAACTTTTGCATGGATTTAACTAGCAACCTATAGTTCACCATGTTGATGTTTAACACATACAAGCGACCTGTGAATGTCAAAAATACAAAGATTGGTTTCACAAAGCATGCATAGATTGGACTTTCGAAAACAAGGAATAATCGTCGATGAGTCATTAACGATCAACGCGGGAAACCATGGGTAACTAGGATGTCTGTCCAATCACATAAGGCTCACTCAGATAAACAGGACTAGGAAACGCATGCGTTTCAAATCAATAGCAACAACGGCCTGTATACGAAAGCTCCGAGTTTTTTCAAACAGAAAAGATGAGTTTTATGAACTAAGTAACACTGGTAGGGATGTTGGAAACATGAGAGTATCAAACTACAGATCAGGAGCTGGCAATACCCGATATGTCTTTGTTACGCAACAACAGATGAAGTTGGATGGTTGACTGAGCAGCCCTATACTTATTGTCTTGCCTGGTAGCGCATCAAATGTACATCTAGGAGTGCATCTATCTTGATGAATCGTATATGGTGCTCATTGAGGTTCTCTAAAACCTCGAGTTGTGTAGTTAAATTCATTCTTGAGAGGACCAATGCAGACACCGAATACATCTATCGTATTCCTGGGAATTATCCAGCTCTATCCCACTCCGACACACACATTTCCTCATTCTAGGAGACTTCAATCTTCCTGAAGTCAACTCCTCTGAGCACACGTACATTGGAGTTGACAGGTCTACTGAAGCTCGACTCTTTAGCATCACTAAAGATTTGGGATCATTCAAAAGTACGAATTTAGCAACTCGTTCGGGAAACAGGCGGACGCCATCATACTTAGGCTGCATATTTACAAATTAGGAATTCTTAATTGACAACCTCTTAATCTTCGACCTCTTGGAAAAAGTGATAATGCCATTATAGCTCTAAATCTTACCAGCGAAACTAAGCTAAAACATCCTACTAACAACGGGCGTTAGAATTTCAGACAGTTTCACGAGTCAGCTTTACACGACAACCTACAGCAGGTGAACTGAGAAATCCATCCTCAATTTGACGTGAATGTTTGCTTGGATTTCCTACAGCACATGATCTTACGTGCTACAAAGCAATCTGTCCGACAAACGATCCCCGAAAATGTACAGTTATAACGAATTCCACACTTTAAACGCTAAGATTCAAAAGGCTCTACTGGGCGGAATACAAACGAGTGATGACAGCAGATACAGGCAGTCCAAATAAGCAATGCACCAATGCACAAAGGCAAAATGAGGAAATATGTCTCAGCATAAGAAAAAGCTAATCGATAAATTTGTCTTTAGTTTGAAAGCTTACTTCATCACGTAGCCTCTCTTCGAGAAGCCAAAAGTGAAGTTTTCCAATTGTTCGGTCTTCATGACACAACCAACAGTGACGTTGATGCTGCCCACCTTCTGGCGAAATTGTATTTTCGAACATATTAAACCTTCCGCGCAATATTCTTAGACGAGATCTTAATCTGCAACTCAGCAGGACCTTCAAAAGTGAACCTGAATGCTAAGGTGGCATATCAGAAACTACAGCATCCAAAAAGCATCGTATCAAAATTATCCCGCTCTATTGAGAGAATCGGCCTCGATCCCAGAAAAATCAGTAATTGTGATATCTTCACACTCGCTAAGCCAAAGAACATTACCAGAAAATTGGAAGTTAGCTCAACTTACACCAATTTTCAAACGCGGCCGAAACAGCAAACTATTGAGCTACCGGCGAGTAGCCCTTCTATCAATTCCTGAAAAGTTAAGGAGTCCCTGATATGCAATGGTCTATATGACTACTTGTCATCCGTAAGCTTCATTTCATCTCAACAGAATGGTTTCAGAAAGGGTCACTTTCACATAATAAACCCGCTGACTGCAGTGGACAGAGGGACAAGTGGAAGATTGATGTCATATACCCTGACTTATTAAACACTTTTCTATAAGGCTTATCATATTCGTCTCATAAATAAGCCTAAACGGTTAGGCATCAACTTACCGATAATTGACTGGCCTACTTCATATCTAAATAATCGTCTATTTGATGTTAATGTAAACCTCACCTAGGCTACAGATTGTCTTAATGAATTCCCTCAAGGTTCAGTACTGATGCCTCTCCTTTTCTTAATTTTTATAAATGACCCTTAACGAACATCTCCTGATGTGAAACTCTGGAGACAAGTTTGTAACCAACACAGTAATCTGACTTTTCAGGAGGAACTGACTCAACCTCAAAGTTGGGAGGATGAGGACGAACTTAGTTTCATCACTTCCAAGTGTAAAGTAGCCCATCTGAAGCATGTGGCAGACCATGAACACATAATAGATAATTGCCCTCTAGAGTTATCTTAAGTTGAGAAGCATTTAGGTGTGTTGGTACCCCATGACCCTCAGTTTTACCCTTCAGTCTGACCGGCTCTAGCTTTCTTCAAACCTACCTCAACGGCAGCCATTACTGCGCGTTTTTAAACAGACATGTTTACTGAATATATGTAAACACTGAGTCAGAATCTAACAATAATCAAAAGCACCGGCTAAGGGATATCTATAAGATTAAAAATCTCATTCAAAAGGAAATTTGTATTGGAGTTCACAGATCAGATAACAAAATGATAATAAATAATAATTAGGTCCTCAAACAAGGTTATACTGTGAGTATAACTTGACCTATCCAATGCCAGAACATCTAACAAAGCCAAACTACACACGCTAATCACAATGTAAAGGATTCTTCGTCGTACTAGCGAATATTACATGACTGCAAATAAGATATATCAAATGACCTCTTTTCTAGTTTCTTTCAAGTTATCTGAGTCAATAACTGTTGTACTTTGAATAGTATTATAGTGTAGCGTGGCGTCGAGTTGGGATTAGCTATGAACACCACTACAAAGAAACACGTGCCAAATAAATCAGAAGGCGTAGGTTGAACGTAACCAAAGAAACCCATAAAATCCCCGAGAAGCCAAATATCAGAAGACAATTAATGGACCAAGTCGAGATATATATATGCTGGCGATCTCGTGGTATCGAAAGGATACCGAGATCGTGCCAGGATACAAGCTTGGTTACAGAACGTAACCGAATTCGCGCGAAGTTACAATCAAAGTGTAAGTATAAGAATGAAGCACAAAATAGCTGTCATTAGCACAGTCAAACAAAAGCACATTAAAACAAGCACTGGTATAGTTGGTTATAATAATAATTGTTTTTATTAAACCAGTCGTGTTCTCGTGATAAATGTGAGTCACTACAATAGCATCGGAGAGTAATTTATTCTGTCGCATGTTTCCCATTGCTTTCGAATATATTTGTTAATCTAAGAGGTTTGTGAAGATCGCTAGATTTTATAGTTTGTGTCACAGACTGGAATAAGTCAGACCAAAAAGCATTGAACAACTGTTTAGTTCAAGTAAGGGACTTCTCGGCAGTATGCATCCAAGATCCAAAACATAAGATTCAACAATCTCTGCAAACCACTTTTGCTAATATCAGACATGCTCACAAATGACTAAATTCGAAAGGTAATTATGGAAAATCTAATAAGAATCTATGATACTTGAAGTTCAAACATGTTGAATCTGAGACCATTACCTGCCAATGGCATTAGAAAATGGTTAAATACTACCAGAAGTTGAGTACGTTTGAGCAAATAATAAACCAGGAATAACTATATACTAACATTACCGTTTGGCTTAATGATGCATGTCCTCCCTTCTCAATCAACTTGTACCATAAAAATTCACACAGATTAAATGATTTACTCAAAGAGTTTTTTGAAACGCATATGCTCGACAAAAATCTATATCATTCTTTCAATTTTTTAATATGTTGAGTGAATGAAACTTAACAAAGGTCAATAGTCAGTTAATTATGTCCATACAAGCAATACATTACTGAACAAAATGAGAAAAACAAGTTTTTTTTAAATGAATCCATCTTATTCTGAGTTTCTTGTCCCATGTTTGCAAGTTCCAATAACTAATAATTACAATGACCCATTTGAAGTCAATCAGGTGAGATGGATGAAGTAAGTAATCCCTTAACTAACCGATGAAATTAATTTAGGATCACGCACATGTATCACAATCTAAATACAGCTTACAATGGAAATCACCAAGTTCTAACTCAATACTTCACAGATATTTTTCCCCTACGAAACCAGTAGCATACATATGAAACGTTGAAGGTATTAATGTTCCCTGTATGACTGTAAATTGCATCACCCAGTTCCATATACAGTAAAATAAGTTACTTCTAAGCTATTCAAACTGTGAACGACGAAGATAGACAATCGTATAGTACTCCTTAATCTTTAAAGGTTCCTCAACATTTTTCATGGTTTTCATGAGAAAAAGATTTTGATTGGACTATGTGAAAGAGGACACGTGAAATAGATTGATGTTTAAGAAATATTATGAATAGATGTTAGATTCATAGGTTTTTTATCATTTAAAGGTCGACGTAATGAAATTATTATTTTCGTAAAACTAAAAACTACTCACAAATTTTAATAGTAACTTAAATGGATATAATAAAATACACATACTTATTCTGATAGGATGTACCCTGGATTTAAATGTCAATAGTCCATACACAAAGTAGTATAATATTTCAGTGTATAATGTTTAATTTCCTGTATGAAACAACTTTCGTCTTCTCAAATAATGTTGCACTTGTGTTGTACATTTATCGAACATATGGATTTCGTGTTTTTTCTCGTATAATCCGTTGGTGAATTCCAACTGTGATATAGTTCATGTTTCAGAAATGGTAGTATTACGGTACTGATTTCAAAACAAAATTCAGTTCATCAAAGCTCAACATTTGTTTATGAAACGCTACTATTAATTCGCAGTATATATGGCCGATTTTCCTTAGTTTACTGTACCAGTGTATTTTTTTATAATACGACCAATCGATAGAAAGAATTTGTATGTCTGGTCAATAATACAATTATGTTGTGTTCCTTGAATTAGATAGCTTAACTGAAAAGCTTTCTATTATCGTTCGGGGAAAAAAGAAAAGAGGAAGATGAAAGAACACATGTGGTTGATAATTTAAGGCAAATATCAAGATCATGAAAGACACTTAGCAGAAACTGGAAAGGACAGTTCAGAACAAAGTTGGTTAGAGATTTCTGGTAGGTAGCTTGTGCCTCGACTTGAGTGAATAAGTGACTGACTGTACTTTATTTTTCTAAATTGTTAGTCAGTTCTTGATTTTGAAATGAACTGGGAAAAGCGAAAAGTATTTAAATCTTCTCTTGAACTATAAATAAAAGCGATATATATGACCAGATCTCTTCAGTTAATTACAAATTCAACAACAGTCTACTGTTACTTTGACATACCAAAAAACCAATATTTTCGACTGACGAAATTCAGAATACAAAGTCTTCAAATGTTAGATTTTATACAATATCACTCGGGTTTAGCTATTCGACTGTTGGTTGAATGTATTCAGAGCATTACACAACATCTACTCATGAATTCTGAATCTTTAATTTCGTAGATTTAAGAATCAGATACTTTTATTCGATCACAATATGAGTTGTGGAGATTGTTGAGTATTATTGAGATCAAGAAATTACTAATTAAAACCTAAGATCCTAAGTTCAATACCCAGTGATGGAATCGTGGCTTGATATTCTTATTATACTTTTGGCAGTGGACAATCTTATCATATGTCAAAACCATCATACTCATAATTCATAAGTTTTCATTTTTACCCTAAACAATGTGAAGATTGTCATGACACAGTTGCTATAAGAATAACACTTTTATATATCATTTGATTTACTCGCCAATCTGAATACGACTTATACAATCTTAGCACTGTGCCAAACCAATGACGTATCGACCAGTATGAACAGCCTAGAGTCCTTGTTGCTCCTTTTTCCTGCCTAACCCTGCCTGTTGAGTTCAGAATACTAATATCAGCTTCCACTATACGAATAATTTATTTCAGACATACCTGGTTTATATACAAGCCATCGAGACCACATGATACCATAAAATAGAAATAAACAATCATACAAGATCAAGCCACAAAGTGGTTGTGATTGTGAGACTGTAACTAATAAATTCAGAATAACTTACAACCTAAAAGGTTGTAAGCAGCTGATGAGAACCTAACGAAATAAAATGAGTTCATATTATTCTGCACCAATCTTTGTTCTTGCTCTCTATAAAATAATAAAGGGAACTATGTGTATGAAATAACTTAAGAATAGAAAATTGTATAATAATAGTCTATAGGTTAAAATAAAGCTTATAATAAGAGGAATATAAATGCACATAATCTAGGTACTTAATAATTATATGTATATTAGTCCATTAATAGATCTCAGAAGTTATCCATAATTTGATCTTCGCTAAGATATAACAATAGGTACTAGGTTTGAGTTTCGTTGTAAATATCAACGGTACGAAATAGGTAATCTAAAACTGAGTTTCTTTCAGGTCAAACCATTTGTCATGAATCCTACTATTTGTCATAATCCAGATATCAAATAATATGTGAACTATACTTTCGAAATGATATTGACCGATGAGTTACAACTATGTTTCATGGCCCAAATATAGAAAAAAAAGAACACTTTTACCTATTAATCAATATCCCTACTATTCTAATTCATCTTCCCTATACCAACATTGTCTTTGTCCATTTGCGTTCTTTTTTGTTGTTATAATAATCACATGCTTTGTTGCTATATAAATGACATACAATATAACTAGGATGTTTTTATATTTTTAACCTGTCCACCATGTGATCACTGGTTGTCACCTGATGATCATGTGTTTGAATAAAGTTCAAATTTAAGACAGGAGAAATTGGGCATATTAACTAATTTTTATTATACCATTCAGAGGTGACACAAATAGTCTCATGTTGAAACAGAGACTTAAATTAGCTATCAACCGGACATTTTATGCAGCCCAACTTGTCATTATCGAAAAGACAAGGTCTATGTTTCACCAAAAGCCCAAACAGCATGAAAACGATTGTGTCACATCCCATTGTGTCTACAAATTTACATGTATGTGTGGAAACACGTACGTAGGGAGGAGCAATCGTGACTTGCAATTAAGGGTGGGTGAGCATATACCAAAATGGTTGCAAAATCAGATGAATTCCAATGGTGAAATAAGACCACAGGATAGACAGACATCATCATCCATTGCGAAACATTTGATTGAGACGGGTCATAAGGTTGATATCAAATCAGCATTTGTTGTGTTGTACAAAAGCCTTCAAGGACGTATACTAAGGTTTATTGAAGCCTTGGCTATACGAAAATTGAAACCCCCTTTATGTGTTCAAAAACAATTTGTACTTACACTTAACCTACCCTGGTAGTACTGATTTACTGTCCAGAGTGGTAATCACATTTGTTTTTGTGTACTTTAATATTTTCCTTTGTTATGACTTACCCTTAACCTGTCTAGTTGACCTTTTAATTTTTCATATATAAATGTTCTTAACAAGTATATGTGTGATCAGATTGTTCGAAATGTATTGCGCAAATATATCACATAATTCTGATAAACTACGTCTTCTCATTGCATTATCGAAAAGTTAGTTAATTTATTCAATAAATAAATTTAACTAAACTTTAGTTTAATTATTATGAGTGAAACAAATACTGACTTCAGATGTGATTATCATCTCCATAGGTTACATCTTCCATCAAGAACTTAAGGAAATCATTCTCTAAACAGATTGAAAAATACTGAAAATCTATATAATGAGTAAATGTATGTTTAAAACAAAGATAAATTAGTGCACATCAATAACATTTAAATGATCTATGATATTCAATGCAATTTTGAATTAACTGTTAGTATACTCAAAGCCTGAATTAATCGCATTTGAAGTGAATGGTAATGGGTTCAAGTCCCAGAGTGAACATGAAATCTCAGATGCAGGTAAAACCAGCTGATAAGTCCCAAATATGACGAAACGCGAGACAAACTAGATTCCATTACTAGTCGCTATCCATATTTGCTTAAAAAGCTTGTGACCTAAGGCTATATCGAGGCATCCGTACAGGATGCACATATGCCAACATGAGACCGAGCAATTGCAATCCTAAATAACAATTGGAAGATACAAGTAAAACAACACCAAATGAATTTCTCTGTAATTATCCTCTCCTCTCAGTTTTTACTCTTTATTGACTACTATATTTTAGATATATACAAGTCTTGGTTTAAATTCTTTGTTTAAAATGCCACTTTTCTTCAAGTGTCCTTGTGACCTTAACTGACCTCTTGATCCTTATTTTTCATACACTATTGACAAAACATGTACATAAAGAGAATATAATTTCAGAAGCATAAACTAATTTTCTATGAATATGTGAATAGGAATGACTAATAGCTATAACATAGATCAGTTGACCCCTATAGATGATCAATCATAGGAAAAAACAAGTTTCTTTGATAAACTATTATGATGGATTGCATGATTATTATTATTATTATTATTATTATTATTATTATTATTATTATTATTATTAGTAGTAGTAGTAGTAGTAGTAGTAGTAGTAGTAGTAGTAGTAGTAGTAGTAGTAGTAGTAGTAGTAGTAGTAGTAGTAGTAGTAGTAGTAGTAGTAGTAGTAGTAGTAGTAGTAGTAGTAGTAGTAGTAGTAGTAGTAGTAGTAGTAGTAGTAGTAGTAGTAGTAGTAGTAGTAGTAGTAGTAGTAGTAGTAGTAGTAGTAGTAGTAGTAGTAGTAGTAGTAGTAGTAGTAGTAGTAGTAGTAGTAGTAGTAGTAGTAGTAGTAGTAGTAGTAGTAGTAGTAGTAGTAGTAGTAGTAGTAGTAGTAGTAGTAGTAGTAGTAGTAGTAGTAGTAGTAGTAGTAGTAGTAGTAGTAGTAGTAGTAGTAGTAGTAGTAGTAGTAGTAGTAGTAGTAGTAGTAGTAGTAGTAGTAGTAGTAGTAGTAGTAGTAGTAGTAGTAGTAGTAGTAGTAGTAGTAGTAGTAGTAGTAGTAGTAGTAGTAGTAGTAGTAGTAGTAGTAGTAGTAGTAGTAGTAGTAGTAGTAGTAGTAGTAGTAGTAGTAGTAGTAGTAGTAGTAGTAGTAGTAGTAGTAGTAGTAGTAGTAGTAGTAGTAGTAGTAGTAGTAGTAGTAGTAGTAGTAGTAGTAGTAGTAGTAGTAGTAGTAGTAGTAGTAGTAGTAGTAGTAGTAGTAGTAGTAGTAGTAGTAGTAGTAGTAGTAGTAGTAGTAGTAGTAGTAGTAGTAGTAGTAGTAGTAGTAGTAGTAGTAGTAGTAGTAGTAGTAGTAGTAGTAGTAGTAGTAGTAGTAGTAGTAGTAGTAGTAGTAGTAGTAGTAGTAGTAGTAGTAGTAGTAGTAGTAGTAGTAGTAGTAGTAGTAGTAGTAGTAGTAGTAGTAGTAGTAGTAGTAGTAGTAGTAGTAGTAGTAGTAGTAGTAGTAGTAGTAGTAGTAGTAGTAGTAGTAGTAGTAGTAGTAGTAGTAGTAGTAGTAGTAGTAGTAGTAGTAGTAGTAGTAGTAGTAGTAGTAGTAGTAGTAGTAGTAGTAGTAGTAGTAGTAGTAGTAGTAGTAGTAGTAGTAGTAGTAGTAGTAGTAGTAGTAGTAGTAGTAGTAGTAGTAGTAGTAGTAGTAGTAGTAGTAGTAGTAGTAGTAGTAGTAGTAGTAGTAGTAGTAGTAGTAGTAGTAGTAGTAGTAGTAGTAGTAGTAGTAGTAGTAGTAGTAGTAGTAGTAGTAGTAGTAGTAGTAGTAGTAGTAGTAGTAGTAGTAGTAGTAGTAGTAGTAGTAGTAGTAGTAGTAGTAGTAGTAGTAGTAGTAGTAGTAGTAGTAGTAGTAGTAGTAGTAGTAGTAGTAGTAGTAGTAGTAGTAGTAGTAGTAGTAGTAGTAGTAGTAGTAGTAGTAGTAGTAGTAGTAGTAGTAGTAGTAGTAGTAGTAGTAGTAGTAGTAGTAGTAGTAGTAGTAGTAGTAGTAGTAGTAGTAGTAGTAGTAGTAGTAGTAGTAGTAGTAGTAGTAGTAGTAGTAGTAGTAGTAGTAGTAGTAGTAGTAGTAGTAGTAGTAGTAGTAGTAGTAGTAGTAGTAGTAGTAGTAGTAGTAGTAGTAGTAGTAGTAGTAGTAGTAGTAGTAGTAGTAGTAGTAGTAGTAGTAGTAGTAGTAGTAGTAGTAGTAGTAGTAGTAGTAGTAGTAGTAGTAGTAGTAGTAGTAGTAGTAGTAGTAGTAGTAGTAGTAGTAGTAGTAGTAGTAGTAGTAGTAGTAGTAGTAGTAGTAGTAGTAGTAGTAGTAGTAGTAGTAGTAGTAGTAGTAGTAGTAGTAGTAGTAGTAGTAGTAGTAGTAGTAGTAGTAGTAGTAGTAGTAGTAGTAGTAGTAGTAGTAGTAGTAGTAGTAGTAGTAGTAGTAGTAGTAGTAGTAGTAGTAGTAGTAGTAGTAGTAGTAGTAGTAGTAGTAGTAGTAGTAGTAGTAGTATGATTGTTAGCCATGTAATTGATAAACAAAATATCTCAGTGAACCTATGATAGCTTAGACACAAACTCACATAATTCGGAAACCATTGACAACCAACAACCAGACAATATATTTTTAGTATCAGAAGTGATCTTTTTGTGGATATTATAGTAATTTTAATAGTTGAGATTATGAGTTAAGTGAAGCTAGACCACCATGGAAAACTTGGAAGCACTTGACGACCGTTTCGTCCTATATTGGGACTCCTCAGAAATGCGCATCGACGATCCTGCCTCACGAGATTCGAACTCAGGACCTACCAGTTTCTCACGTGAGCGTTTAACCATTAGACCACTGAGATACTAGCTGACGGATGACAACAGTGAATGTGTCGCTCGATTTTGTGGATTAGTTGAAGTTAGACATTAACAGCATTGGACGGCAGCTCAGTGGTCTATAGGTTAAACGTTCGCGCGCGAGACCGATAGGTTATGGGTTCAAATCCTGCTAGGCGGAGTCGTGGATGCGCACTGCTGAGGAGTCCCACAATAGGACGAAACGGTCGTCAAGTGCTTCCAAGTTTTCCATAGTGGTGTACCTTCAATTCACTCATAATCTCAACCATTAAAATTACAATACATTTTTCATTTTGGTTTCTAATAATATTTATGCAAAGTCGTTTGAAGGTGGATCCAGCAAACTCAAAGGGTAGATGAGTGAGACACGATAGACTCAATGAGATCGGTCGCGTATCGATTGCAAACTTATTAACATGAGTTTTAAGATTTACGTAACTGAAGAAGATCACTCGATGAATCCAAAAGTATTTCTGAGGTGGATGACATATCAAATGACCTGAATGTGAGGCAATCGAAAAATCTAGTAATTTATAACAGTAATATATTAATGAATGTTTCATCTTGAGTATAATTAGTGTAGTTGTTTCGACAAAGTTTGATGTGATTGAATCCATTTCTTTATTAGTTAATTCAAACGACTTAAAACGTGGAGAAAATGATCTCTATTACTAATTAGATGTCAAGCCATTACATTATTGATCACTGGCGAATTTGGAATTAAAGTTTTCTAGAATACTTCAAGCCTTCTCTCTGATGTTGGATAAGGAATATTTAGTAGTGTGATTCAAGTCAGCAAGTTCTAAAATGTAATTGGTTGCGCGTAATCTTTCATTGAACATATGTCAACGTTTCAATCATGTGGTCAAATTTATACTTCCGACGTTTTTCCCTCGACCTCATATTGCGTTTCGACTATGATTTTCTCGTTCTTCATTAAAATTGCTAAAGTTTTCAGTAGTATTTCAATCACCCATTTTGAAGTAATTTATAATTTAATGGACTGGCTCCAAAACCAAAAAATTTGGTATTTATTTTATCCTACACCATGCCACATACTTTGGCATTATTGTAGGAATAAAATATCGTGGTCAGCCTATCAAGCTTCGTTGGCTGGAGCATTCAGTCTTTTAGAACTTACAATGCCAGTTAAGTTGTTTGGACAGCAAAAACGAACTAACCTCAAGGCCCGAAGGGAAATCGTGTTCCTGATTGAATTGAGGTGTCATGATAGTAAGGTGTTTCTCCGAAACAACTAGCAATGAGGCCTTCTTGCAATGGAGGGGGTCGGGAAGGGTCAACCCTAAGAATAACACACCTCACCATACCCTGTAGATTTACATCCCTGTCCGTAAGGCCTTAAAAGTAGTGAGCTAATGAACTAGCAATTACAAAAACTCAGTGTATGAACAGCCTCAAGCAGTTGTCCGTCGGGAACTATGGTCTGGCCCTCAGATCGTCTATAACGAGCCTAATAGGGTTTCTTTCTCATATACTTCAGGAGGTATCCTTTCATAGTGCAAGCACACAGAAAGCAGTAATCACTCTCATACCTCCGACAGCATTCAAAACTGTTCTATTTTAAGACTAGGAAACAGTGTGCACACACAACTTTGCTTGAAATCGAGCCTAGGACCTGAAGGTCACATGCTGAGCATCATACTACTGAGTCACTACTAAGTTCAAGTTCAATGATTTACATTCCTAAATTTAGTCAATTCTCAATATTGTGCTACCTCCATTCAATGTCATCAAGGATTATCTCTCTCACTTTAGTAAAAATTGCCAAACTTCACCAATCAAGCAACTAGTTATTAAAAGAACAGAAAAATATAGGACGTAATTTGGCGAATTTTTAGAATAACGAGTTATACATTAAATATTTTTTGTAAGATAGTAGTAGATAATTAATTAATATCAGTTTGTAGAAGTTAAACATCCGATGATAGGAATTCCATTTGTGTATTACCGTAGTACTGACACTGACTATTATTATCATCATTATTATTACGTTGCTGATAATTTTCCACAACGTAATTGGTGCATTCCATCTGCTGATATCCAGAAGTTTCGGAAGACGAATCCCAATCAGTTAGACTGTTTGAAACTGAATTTCTCGGTATAGACATCTGAAAAATAGAGCAAAAATGAATGGACTTCTTGTGTGTGATTGTCATTTAATAGTATCACAATTGTCCATCAACGTGTAACAAAATCTTTCTATAGATCCAGTATTTACACGCACACAGACACACGCATACACAGTGATCGATTAGTCGTAATCAGGTGTCATGTTGTCTAGTATACAGTGCTCCTGATCGAATTCTATTTAGTTATAATATGGCAGTCGGTATGTAATCGACTTTAAATGACGGTGTTTTGTTTTGAAAGTTAGGTAGGTGGAGATATTGTTAAGATGACAATTTGACAGATTCTGTGATGACTTCTATTCATCATCAAAGAATATTTGCAATCTTAGGAAAATTCATTTCCTGTAGCGTCAGTCAGTCAGTTATAAGCAATACATAACTGTGGTGTTTGTAGAAACTAACGATTCCTTTGTACTTGTTGAATGCTTGATGTCGAATTCCAAATGCAGTAAATTCGTTCGTGATTATCTTGTACTTCTTGATCCAATTGCGTTATTTCTGAGATTCTGAGTTCATACTATAATTCAAATACTCCTAATTATCAAAATAACCTAAGATATATGTGCATCGTTTATCATATCAAATCAACATAGCCAGATGAAATTACCAAGACGATAAATCAGTTAAGTAGAAGTAGTGACAAGACCAATATGGTTCGAGAAGAAATAGTGAATTAAAATTTCTTTGTCTAAGGGGAGATAATAAATGAATGTATGTGGGCCATTGAGACCAATTCAGAGATATGACACTCAATGTCTCTAAGCATTGGTTACAAGAACAGTGAGTTCCAACTTGGGCCTACTTGCAAGGCTAAGCCCAGTAGTCAATGATTTTATAGACTGATGTTATGTTTTGTTTTCTCGGTCTCCTTGCGATGTCGAACACATGTCGTCAGAGACATGACCGTTTATAAAAAGAGCTGAGAAAAGGAAAATGTAAACTTTGCGAAGTTATTTTTGCGTGAACCAGTTTGTATATTTTATATAAATATTTATTAAACCATTAGTTTATGTTATTTTCATATAGTTTCAATTGTTAGTTAGTTGTTGATTGTTTGTCCAATGTTATGTTAAACCACACGTTTTAAAACTATTCAACTATACTGAAATCAATAAGTCTATATCCAAGGCAGTTCAGGTGGATGCTAATTGCGACCATGAATACAGTAGTCGAGTAAGTAATGGAAATAATTGTTATTATTGCAAGTAGAAAATCTAGTAATTATCACCAAGCTGTTCAAGATAGTCGTAATAGTTTCTTTTTCATGAACATTTATAATTAACAATGAAGAGGGATTTATGATAAAGTATCTGACATACTTAGAATAAGGTCCAACCTATTCTGAAAGATTCTTGATAAGAGTTCACAAGTAAAACCCTGAGATTATTCATGTATTATTGATTGTGGATTTCTGAATCACTGACCATTTTAAATTATTCAGTTGAACTATTTGACATAACCTCAGTTTAGCTAAGCAACAAATTCATATTAGGAAGGAAGAACTAAAGTTAAACTGAAACAAGAGTCACAGTCAAATTCGAAATGACGATCACACAGAAGAGCACAAAATTATTGCCTTTTAAAAAAAAACGCTACTTCATCACTAACTAGTGTCAACTCTGAAAAAACAAGGTTGAGTACTGCATAGTTAGCTCACCATCGAATCAAAACCCGACAGCATACACAATTCGAAATCATTTTAACTAATATGATTTTATCAGAAGAGGTTTTATGTGGATATTGTAGTAATTTTAATAGTTAAAATCATGAGTCCATTGAAGCTAGACCATCATGGAAAGCATGGAAGCACTAGACGGCTGTTTCGTCCTAGTATGGAACTCCTCAACAGTGCGTATCCACGACCCCGCACCGCAGGATTTGAACCCCGAACCTATCAGTCTCGTGTGCGAGCGCTTAACCACTGGACCAGTGAGCTGGCCGTTATCCAATGGTGTTAAGGTCTAACTTCAACTAATCCACGAAATTGAGTGGAACAACCGCCATTTTCTTCATTGAGTTACTATCTCACAACAGATCCAGTTGAACTCCGTAGATTCTGGGTTCAAATCTCATGAGTCAGGATCGTCCATACACACTGCTGAGGAGTCTTACAATAGGACGAATCTGCCGTCCAGTACTTCCGCGTTTTCCATGTTAGTCTCAACTATTAAAATTAATACGACTTGATAAAAAATTTTCATTTTACATATCTAGTTGTTATACACATAAAATATATTCATATTGTAATAAGTAGTAAAAATAGAAACTAAGCCTTTGATCATAGCAACAAATAATAGAAGAATAACAAAAAATCAATAAAGAAAGTGTATAGACTAGACTAGTTTGAAAATTATTCATACTTACATATATACATACACACATACACACATACATACATACATAGATACATACATATCGATAAATAGATTAGATAAATACATCTATAAATAGTTAACAACATACATTTATTATAATAAATCAATAACAATGTTAATCAATAAAATCTTTACAAAATTCATGTTCATTATG